ATGTAGACAGCCGCGTACATAACATTGCTCAAGCGTTAACGAAACATCTTAGTTTATCAGCCGTTTTGACTTTATTCCTAAAAGAAATAATATAATATATTTACATATATACATTTAACTCTTAAACACATATGGATTTAAATTTTTTTGAAAGTCAATGCAATGCTTATTGATTTAAAGGGTTACTAATATTTATATTAATATTCTGAGAACGTGCAAACGAAATTCTTAGCATTTAGATATTTTAAAATAGTGTATACATATTTGTCACAATAGACGGAACATTAATTTATTTGCAAAAATATTTTAATCATCATCCAACCGTTTTATTTTTGTTGTATTGTGCTGTATACATATTTGATTTATTAGTTCAAATTGTTTGTTTCATTACTTAATACAAGAACCGTCAGACTTTAAATGAATATACAGAATGTAAGGCAAAGTAATTTAACTTGACGTTGCCACGACAAATAGGAAACTTGGTAATTCGTGTCAAAGTTTACTAGATCGTGGAACGTGTATACACGTATCACAATTTGTGGAGGCACTATCGTTTAATATTCGAGATCACTTGGAACTTAGGTCGGACTGTTGAAGTTTTTCCCACTTTCCACTTTCTCTTTATCATTTGAAGCGTTCTCAGGTACAAGTATCTCGTTAAAAACTTTAATAAATTTGTGCTAAACCCTCTTTAAAAATAAATCTAATTATTGCTATTATTATCAGTGGTTTTATAATCTCAATATTTCGTAGTCAGGGATAAGGAGTGTTAGTTGTTTAATTATTCTTATTTCTTTTAAAATTGTTTAGTATTATTTTCATTTATAGATTCTTCTAAGAAAAATTACAAAATATATTTATATCCGCAATCTCTGGTTTAAATTTAGTACGGTAATATTTTAATTTTAATCTCGTTTATTCACATTATAATTAATTAACGTAATTAAATATCTCTTACATTTTGATTGTTACTAAAGGGTTCTAAATTAATTGTCTGATAATTCACACTCATTCAAGTGAGTGACGAACATTTCCTGTGAAATAAATTCAATGATTGCTACAATTATTACACGTGAGAAGAGATATTCGTTTATTTATGAATTTATTATAAATTCACTAAAGAAGTATGTCATCACATTTCAACCAAACTATGACTTTAGACTTTAGTGCTATATATAATAAATAGGTTATTAGAATATAGGATAAATATATTGACGCCCAAATATTTGTATAAACCGGTTTGTATTATTACTAAGATCTACTTTAAAAATATTATGTTCAATCATATCATGTTTCTCGTACATTGCTCGTACGCGCAGTGTGCTATATTGAAAGTACATATAACGTCGCTTCATGGCCGCGCTTAATCGTTATATAATCTGTATATTACCAGGCATTATCTTTGTAGTCTTCTAGTTTCCAAGCGGTCAATTATAAAACGGAATCTTATAATAGTACCTGTCAAATCATTTTCACTTGTTTATTTATAAATAACCTAATTATTATTTGATAAGCAAATTGATTATGAAAGTCTAAGATAAAATTTATTTAAATTCCTTTATAAAAACATATTTTTTTATTTCTGTTTTTAACTATGTTTATAAGGAAGACTTATTTTCAGTAAAAAATAATTTGTCTGGCGACAACAAATTGCGCCCTCAAAGAAGCACATCGGAAACACATTAGATACTCGAATCGAAGTGAAAGCATTTCGTATGAATCACTAGCGTGGAAACGTGGGCGAAAAAATCGCACTTTCAGTGTATCTTATTACAAACACACAAAGATCATATTCATTTGACAAGAAATGTCATATCCGTATCCCCTACTATTGCATTTGCCACTCTAGTCGTTTCTTTGTGACAGATGCAATGGTATTCATGCACCAGTGCGCAACAGTTTTCAACAATTCCCAGGTATTGAAAATAAAATACCTCCCTAAGGCTTCAAACGGATGATTGAATTTATTTTATTTTTTCGCCGTCTAGAAAATATCCATAAGTACGTTCATAGTTACATTTAAGACGTATATGATACAAATATATGTACATATTATGCAGGTAAAATTGAAGTGCTTTTTAATTTCATATTTTCGCTATTACATACGATAAATATTAAAATTTGTGTGGTAGTAATTTTTTTTAATTTATTTTTCCGTCTCGAAACCTTTATCTTTTAAGTTTTTCCTAAAACATTCGACTTTTTATTAAAAACCAGAATGAACATCAGGATAATGCGAAATACTGCAAACAAATCATTAAATATTAAATTTCTCCAACTCTAATATTAATAAAAAATCATCAGTCAATTGAAAGAAATATTTCATATAATAAACCTATTTCTGTTTTAAAATTATACAATTGTATGAATTTTTTTTTTCTTTTATATAATACTCTTTTTTTCTTTTATAAAAATACGAAATTATTCGCAAAATTAAAATTAAATACTGTCTGTATAAAATATGACAATGTTTATTAAAAATGTCTTGATCCCAGTTTGACATTGACACATTCATTTATTAAAGTTGATAATATATTGTTACATTTAAAATATTTATACTAATGCAATGCGCTTCAGAAATTAATATTTATCTATAATAATACGTCCTTAAAGCTGATTATTTGCCGGTTCTTCTAACCAATTCGTGTATTGATATTTGAATTGATTAGTTATCAATACGATCTGACTTGTGACAACTCAAAGCTTTGACAGATATTGCGATTGTTAAAACTGGGAATATAATATTTTCAGTGTTTTTTTACAGTGGTTATAAACATTTGTGATGTAAGTAAATAATTATTTATTAAATTTTGTTTTATATCGTTATGTTTCCTTCTTTATAAAATTCTTGTTTACGGCACAATGTTGTTACTAGACTTGCGACTACATCATTTTCAAAAAAGTATAATTATATAAAAAATCATATACCTTTTTTCCTCACGCAATATTATTAACATTCTTTAAAACAATAAATGTCAGATAGTTTTAATAAATTAACAATCTTGTTTAGAAAGTAAATCACGCCAGATATATACGAATGCTTGTATTTCTCTAACACTTCATTTATTTTAAAAGAATCTGTTCATTTCAATTTCAAGCATCAATATTACTTTATTTTCCTATGTTTGAGTCAAATAAATAACAAATTTTTTTACGTTTTTATATCTATAATAACCAGACCTGTAAGTCCTTGTATGTTTTAAAATAATTATAAATACTTAAAAACTGAATTCCTGTTTTGCTCTATCATTTTTAATTTACTTTAGTTTTTGTAGCCTATTCAATTAGTCCTATATGTACATATATTTAATGAGCTATTAAGGAAAATATACGTATATAGAATTAGCCTGAACAAAATCCAGACATCGAAAACGGATAGAAAAGAACTCAAGAATAGGTCTTAATATATCGCATTCTAGCGGTCAGGTAAAAACATAAGTATCTAATAATAAAAAAGTTATAAAAATGTACATATTAAAAACAAGGTAATACTTATTTGTATATAAAACTCATAAATATGGATTAATAATTTGACATTCACTCTAGGTATTCTATAGACACGAAAAAAATTTATTTGGGTAAACTGATTATTAAAACTTCGACTTGACGTAAATGGGAACAGAAAAGTTACCTTATCCCTTTAAATTACCGTATCCATCAACCCACCTGAGTTAAACAAGGCATCGAATTATGACGTTTTAGTAATTAATGACGAGCTCATCAGGCGGTGTCGTTGCCGTGTGATGAATAATTAATATGAACAGAGTGACACGTGTGCTAGACATCACTTTATTTATGAAAGGGTATACGGGATCTCTATACTATTTAATAGCCTATTAGTAATAGGCTATTACTTTCACTCGTTAGTAAGAAAAATATATTTTCGAATAAAACTTTTTCCTTCCTAACTTAGTGTTAATAGAATTAATAAAGTTCTTTATCACGACAGCTTATTGCGTTAATATATTGTTTTAGTTATTTGTGATGTATGTCGTGTAAATACATCCGCAGTCCTTGTGTTTCAAATGACCATAGCAGACGGTTCCCCTAGCCATCAGGTTAGCCGTCCGTCTACTATGACAAAGATTAAAAATATCAAATTTGTTTTAATTAAGCCATGTCAACCTTAACATATAGCCAGCCGCTACATTCGTTATCGTATGACATCAAAAACAAATTGAGTGTTAACACCATGTCAGTGTGTGACAAAATGGCTACCGTTGTACTCTCTATATTTTAACTACATGAGAATATATCATGGAAATAATTTGAAGACAGCCAATTAAAATAAAACCATTCTTTTGTTACCACGCTTCATGCGATTGGATTGCGTTATAATTAAAATGTAGTGGGTGATATGTGATGTAGACTTTGCCAGTTTTTACTTTTGCAATCTCGTGTTCCGTTGTGGTTTTTAATTATCAGCGCATTGGTCAGGAAATAAATCTTGTTTAATGTCCCTCTAGTCTGGTCAGAGGTACACATATGGTTGCATGAGCACGTGAATCGATTGTGTGATATTACCTAAAGCAATTGTTCTAAATGTCCCTTACACTGCGACACTAAAATGTATCTGAAGTACGTTTGATAAACATAAAACAAATTATATTACACGATAACAGTACTTGTTGAGCGAACTTAAACTGATATTCACAGCCAATTGACGTGAAAATAACTTTATACTTACATAAGAATTTACTAGTCGAATAAATATATAATGACAAGTTGGTTTTATTTACTTATCGAATTAATTAGGTTATATTCATTACACAAACATGAGAATCACAATTAAAGAAAATAAAGTATTATCTAATTTCTTGTACCTGTGACACGGTTCGTAAAAAAAAACTTTCTGAATAGGATCCTGTTTTTCTTCCTCCGCATGATCAGAATAATAGAATGATAATGGATTAAAATATAAAAGAATTTGTATCATTACTTAACTTAGAACTAACTATTAAAATTATAGGACCTATTTTGAAATATTTATTTCTTTTCAGGAATGCTACATTTCTAGAGCCTCATCTCCAAGGAGTACGGCACAGGGAGAGTCGGAGTTCGGAGTCTGATCATGATGGGCGTTCGACTGAGGATGACGAGAGATCTCTCATCAGGAGCCCGCCTCGAACACGACTGCCGCAGCCGCCGCCCCCGCCGCCAGACGATGAACCCCCGCCGATGAAGCCTCGTGAATTCTTTGAAAGACTGCAAAGCCAAGCTATGAAAGAAGCTCAGGACAGGAAGCAAAAACGAGAAATTAAAGAAACGAATCACCTCTTTCAGCCGCTAGACGCTGAGGGCAGTCTAGGGGATAGCCTCAGTCAGGTACGTGAACCTTGCATTCAAAAGTTTGAATGAAATTTAAAACTGTCTCTGCAGTCTAATGAACTCCCTACGTACTGTATTCGAAAGAGTTTAACTGAACTTTTCTGCATCCGGATAGTCGAGAAACTCCATTGACATTAGTAATGACCCCATAAATAAAAAATTTTGCATAGCCGGAATAAATTTACGTCTTTTCTATTACCGTATTATAAACATAAATTTATTAAATATTTTTAGTTTCTTGCAATAAATACCCAAGCAAAAGCTCGCGGAAATTCAATGTATAGACTTGAAATCTATTTGTGAACCGTTGCAATATACTTTGAATAACTTGCATGCGGGATGTCTTTATACCATCCTACATGAATTACCATGTGAATAGGGAGTTATTTTACATTCATTCACATAAAATCTTTATACAATTGGTAACGAATTTCCCAAGAAGCTGATGTAGATAAGTAATGCGAGTTATAACGGCATTCAACATTTTATATAATACAGCATGACTTACATACATACATACATACCTTTTAAGAATACTTTTATTTTTATGTGTATATGTAAAAAAAAAGTCAGTTTTGTAGTTTAGATATTAGCAAAAAATTATATTTAGATTTATAACAATAATACCTAATGTAGGAAAGTCTCAACTTGTATCTTATTATTCCTAAAAGGCATAGTACGTCGATTATACATTGAATGAATACGAATATTAACCACCCAATTTATACAAAATATAGAACTATATATGTATCAATTTAATCACAGCATAAGATTATACTTTTCCAAAGGGTGCTTTTGCAGTTTGTGTTTAAAGTAAAAGTATTTTTAGTTAAGACTGTGTCTTAAAAATCAAGATTCTAAAAATATATTCGTACGGACCGAAAAAAGTAATATGATAAATTTAAACTCTTAAATCTTTAAGTATCGTTGTCTAGCTCTAACACTTTCTGTCTATTTGCAGTTTATTCTAAAAATGTAATATGTCTGAGAAATACAGAAATAAAATCACGATAAAATAAATGTAGCGAGGAATTCTCTTTATAGTCACTGAGATTGTTCATAAAATGGAATTTTCTTGGAAATGACTTTTCTCCACTATGTAGTTAAAAATACTTTTCACTGTCTGAAATAAATATTGAAGTATTGCTACCCAATATTATATTTAAAAAAACTTAGTAAGTAGTACGATATGAAATACGTCTACATTCAAACTATAGCAAAAACAATATTTACGCACAGGCGTACGAGGTGCCCTCTGCACTTGTAACACGACAAAAACACTCGAGATGTTACTTCAGTCAATTGTGGGCTTGCGCTCGAGAATACTAAACCCTTCCGCCTAAAAGTACGCCTTGTAAGATTCTGTTTCTTACTCATAAATTGCAACTTCATAGAGTACTTCTGTCTGTAATAATGTCGAAAAATACTAATATTTTAAAGGTTGTATATCGTTATAAAATTCTTAAATTTAGAACTGGCGTAGGAATTTTTTTTAAAGTACATCAATTGGGAAATAAAATTTAATAAAATATAATTCATATTATAATTTTAATGCCAACAAAAAATTTCTCGTTGTAACCGAATTTATAAAGTCAAAGTTAAAAAAAAAGCTTTCTCAGATACACTGCCTACGAAACAACAATAAATAGAGACTGTAACTATAACTGGAAAAGTCTAGTTTAGTGCCTATAATAAAAGTTTACGTTGCTAATAGCATTTAATTGAATACCCTTCTCTGAAAACAAAAGGGTGGACAATAGTATTCATTATGGCACACTTACGGATTGACAATTAACCCTCAATTGCTGTCCCTAATGTCGAATCAACTGCCTTTTGTGGGTCATAAATGACCAACTACTTAGAGTTACGGACATTAATTCGCACATCGTCATCAGCACCCAAAATTCACTTATTTTGTTGTAGTATTCTATGTAATCATTCATATGGTTCCTCCTTATGTCAAAACGTAATTTTTGTGAGCTATGTGATTTTATTCACAAAAAAAAATTAAATTTAGTAATATTTTTCTACAATTATATGTAAATGTAAAAAATCAGAAAGGAAATGGTAGCTCAAAAGCTAGAAGACATTACATTTAAATAGAGGCAAATTAACACAAGGTTCAAAAGACAAAAAAAAGTTAATACCGTATAATTCCAGCCATTGTCAACGGACGATTATCGGCGCACCCGTCACTTCCTGCACGGTGGCGCCCTCTGACGTCGTTCAAAAAACAACCTACCGTAATTTGCATCCATTGCAGTGAGTTTGAATCAGTACCTACTCCTGTAATGGGTACATTCAAAAAATGTGAATGCATTAAAAAAGTTATTTCTGTATTTTTTTCTTTTAAGTTGTTACATAGATTTTTTTAAAATTTAATTTTCATACTACAGTTTTAAAGAACATTCATTATTTAATTCTTCTTCTTCTACCTGGCAATTTCCCAGCTATAGCCAGGGTCTGCCTTACATGTTGTGAATAGTTTTGGCTATATGTTTTTACCACCGGCCGCCTGCCTGACATCAACCCTCTTTTGGGAATCAACATTAATCAGTGATGTCTAAATACTCTTAGAAAGTACATATGACTTGCCCGGGCCAGGATTGAACCCGCGCCCTCGGCAACGAGAGGCGGGCCCTGTAACCACTAGGTCACCACTGACCACATTCATTATTTAATTATACTGAGATAAATAACTAATTCCAGTTTATTTTAAGGACGTTACGTTCGTTTTATTTATGCCTAGTTTTTTTTATAGTGAAAAAAAAATTACATTATTATTAATTTTAAATAACAAGTCGATAAAAAGTGAGTCACATATCCTCAGTACGTGAGGCGACGAGCGTTGTACCTTATTTATTATTCCTCGTTAGTAGCTCATTAAAATTCAGGTCATTGTTACTAATTATCTAAATACAGAACCCACAGTAACCTCTTGTTTTAATCATCTTTTCCCTTACTAAATTGTTGCAATGAAATATTTAATTAGTATTCAAGCTTAAAACGTAATTAACTTTTGCTACCTCATAAGTCTTAACGAAACTATAATACTGAGTATTCATAATATCTTTTATATTACCTTTTGTTATACCAAAACGAAAGCAACAAAAGATATATACTAATTAAGCGCCCAATTAATATAATTTGGGTCCACAAAAGCCGACGTTCCCTGCACGAGCGAGGCGACTTATTGATTTTAACTAGCTGTGCCGTGAGTCATACACCCCTGCATCCCTGGACCACAGTGTTTGCTCTCTTTGATTGAACTTGAAGAAAACTAAAGGGTCCACAAGTCTATTTGTAATACCTATAACTCACAGCACTTACTCTTTTTTTAACGTCTGCTTTCGATTCCCGCTCGTTAAAAGTTTGTCGCTTTGTCAATTTCTATACACGTTTCAATAAATAACCGCGGTTTTCTGTGAAATTGGTTGTACATTATATCGGTTTATTTTTGTCTGATAATTGTGTTTGGTATTTATTTACGTTTACATTTACTGGATTCTACCTTGGTCAATAGAATATCTTATATTTTATACTAAAAGTTAGCATATCAATACAGAATTATATACTGTTTTAAATATCAATCACTAAAAACTATATACCAAAAGACGTTATTAACACAAAGTATACAATATTATTATTCAGATTTCATTCATACTATCGCAGATAGTTGAATCTCATTATGGGCATAATGGTAGCACCGATATGAGTCACTGTTAAACATTAATCGAATCACAAAGTAACTAGTTCAACAAAGTTGTAATTGATAAAGTATCTTGTCGTAACAAACCATTAACCCAATTAAAAGTACCCTGTACTAAAACTTCAGTCACAGGTGTCTACCGTTCACTCCTTCAGAGCTCTAACCGTTTGCAGCACTTAAACATGTGTGACCACTTTTCACTTGCCCAAGTGAAGTAAAAGTAAGCTATTATGAGACACTAAATATCAGGAGTTGTATATTTTTATGAGCTCTGTTATAACACAGCTGCGTCTAAAGAGATTGGGATCGAGTGGGTTCAAAATTACAGTTACGACTTCATCTCCGAAGTTGAGGTATCTTAAATTAATTTAAGGAACTTCCTCTAAAATATTAAAGAAAAATTTCATCAAATCATTTTCTTTTGTCAATTCTTACTCTTGTAATATTTTTTTTTAACAAAATAACAACGAATATGAATACAGTGGGACTTTAATATCACATTAAATTTCCCTGCGGGCACAATAATATTCCGAAACAACAAACAATACCGCAAAATTAATGTAGCAAATACACTGCAGCGTTTAACACCATAGAAAACTAATTGGAATCCAACTTTGCTAATAAATCTGCGTGCTTGGTCTCTAGAACCCACTGTACCATGATGTCTCCAGAGCCGTAATTTAGAAGCGTCCTATAGCATTGTTAACACCTTGGTTGGGGACGGGTGCTCTAAAGGCTATTGTTATATGATTCATCGCCTAGTTATTGTTGCCAATTATGAAATTAATTTCACCAGGTATTTTTGGCTTCTATAACACTGATATTGAATTGATTCTTACCATGCCTAAGGAATTTAAACGACGTCATTTATCGTTTAAGACATGGTATTTATATTATTTCATTTGTACATAGCAATGTCATAAACACTATATTTCATTTTTACCATATACAATAGAAAGTAAATAATTTTAGATCGAATGATTATTTCGAAATATACGCAGTAACGATTTTGTTTTAAAAGGTAACAATTATTATTCTAGTAAATTTCAATAGTTAAATTTCATACAAAATTTAAGTGCTTAAATTCTGCAACCTGCAGTTAACCGAGTGCGAATGTCGGAACGATGTATCGTTTATTTGCCACAGACCATTAATTTATGACCCAATAACAGCGCCTGGTGATACGTTTTTTATTTATTTTCAAGATTGTGGCTTGAAGCTTATTTATGTGTGGCTACCTCAGTTTCCGTTGGGTTTATTTATCAGGACTCCGAAATGTGAAGAGTACATATGTGTATTTCAAGATAAATTCTGCATTCAATTAAAACTTTCTTGCCGTTTAGATAAATATTTTAATTAAATTCAATTGAAATGCAGTAGTTTTTTTCATAAACTAGTAAAAAGCTTTTTCATTTTAATGAAAACATGTATATTTCATTTCAGAATCTTGTCGCATAGACGACATCGTTAGCGGGAATTAAAAATCCATGCATTTATGAATTTATCTGCAGTTGGAAAGTACTGCGACATAGTTTTTAAGCTCGCTCATTACAAAATGAAACTTCATATTGTACGTGGATCCAGATAAAACATACTTCGTTCTTTTTGAGCTATACAAAATGTTATGAATGAAGTATGGAAAATAACAAATTATTACGATAATATGGAGTCTTGTTCACCGATGTTAACAATGGAGTATAAGTTTATTACAGTAATATTATAAGCTTATACTGTATGTATTATATAAACATATTGGTTTTAAATCCTCACATAATATACAAAATCGACATCTAAGACTTAATAAGTAAGCAATTTTTTGTCGTCTGCACAGAAATAACCCTGAAAATGTTTCATAAAATCCCCACAAAAGTGCTATGCATATAAATTGTCAGGAGAAGAGGTTTTTCTCGACAAAACTCAGCGGAGTTAAAACCAGCAATTACGAGAAAAATACGAAACTCGGCAGTCGTATACTAAGTAGTTAAATTTTTATCATGAGCATACATATTTATACTTTCAATTCAACAGTTAATAAGTAATAAATACATAAAAAACTATGATACTATATATAATAAAAATCTTTAAAATTTGTCAGTATGGAGATATAATATTTTAATATTGGAAAATATTTTAAATCTCTAATATTATATTGCGAATCCAGCGTTAAATTTTAATATATTAAACTATTACATCATACGAATAAGTAAACCTTTGTATTATTAGCTAATTTTGGGGGAACAAATACAGTTGTTTCATTAAAACTTATTGTAATGAATGGCGCGATTTATATTTCGACTGCACCCCATTGAATATGCAATATTGTGCAGGCGGCTTTATCTCAATTAGCAACAGCGGTGAGACAATGAAAATATTTACTTTATGAGACGGGGACATTTTAAATTAAATTTAGTACATTTTCATTAAAATTTCTTAAAGAAAATATAATGTTATTATATCCAGATAGCTTTAAAATTTATTCCGTTTTACACTTTTGTGTTATATTAATAGGAACGTTTTAGAAATAGATTGTCTACTTATATAAATAAAACATAGCTTTACCCTTAAAATTTTATTAATATATAATGACAAAACTAATATGTGATATCCATAACATAACATAATTTTAATTTTCTTTAATGTTGTTACTTTACCCTAACTTCTTTTTTCTACTATCTAAATGGAACCCCATAAAACAAACTCAAACAAATTACACGTTCAAATTAAAAACCTCTCATCCGCCTATTAGACTTCAGATTTATTACTCTCACATTGAAAAAGTTTTCATATTACACGTTATATGCCCGAGGCAGTGCTGTATAACCGAGAGGTATGGGTTCTCAAAGCCCTGTTATCGTTATCATGGTAATACGAGGGCGATGACCGCCCAAAGGGTAAAAATATCTTTTGGCATAAACAGTGGAACGTATGGAACAAAACGAGAACGTATGATTATATGTGAAATTGCTTGCCTTATCCTTTGTTGGAACGCGTTGAAGCTCGCGGTATTGGGTAATAATATTTCCGAGCGCCTGAACAAAGAGCCTTCCTTTTGATGTGCTCCGAAAATGTGCCATGAAATACCGTCGCGGTATAGAAACTACTCTCATAAGGTATCGTTCCATTACTTGACTTTTGGAAATAGCCTGACATTTTCTTAAATTTATTACATGTTAGTAATCCAATTGTGTTTCGGTTTCGGGCAAAGTATTTGAAAGTAATAATTTTAATTTGTCATGTAATTTATTTATTTTCTTTAAACATGTCCCATAAAACGTAACAATTTGAGAAAATTTACTTTCTACTAGAATTTGTTGAATATTTAATTCAACCTTAATTTGTATGTATTAAATTTTAGTATAATATTATAAAAAAACCGTTTTCGATCATTCTATAAATCATAAAACATATTATATTCAGTAACAGGGAATTATAAAAAGTTTAATTAAAATGTACTGCGTCCAAGTTCATAAATAACAGATCCTATTAGAAGCGAACGTAAAGCGTAAGTCTACGGAAGAACCTAATTCCCGAGTCGCGCTGCTATCTCCATAAGAACCTGGCAACTTGCCTGAACCTATATTCAGTATATTATACGATTCGTTATCTCTAATATTTTATAAAGTTATGCGTGTTTCTTTATTGAATAAGTTTTTGGTTTTGTATTAACCTAAGTCGCTCTACGAGTTTTTTTTATATATGAAGCAATCTTTACCAATACTTGTCGTATTGATTTTGTCCCAATATATCTTACTTACTTAAAGACATCGAACAACAGTTTCGAATAGTATTTAAAGTAAGACCATATATATTTTTTAATTTTCTTAAGCTCCTGGCTTTTACTGACTTATAATATTGACGGAGACTTAGGCAACAGAAATATAAACATGTTATCGAATTTTAATAAATATATTATTTTTATATAACTATTTTAATATCTTCATGAATATAATTATTTATTATATTAAAATTTCCATTTTAACTTTTCCGCTTACATTGTACTAAGTCAAATACGACACGACGGACCTCATCACCCGAAACATTAACCTCGCTTTAAATGTTGCTCTAAAAGTAAAAACTACGGACAATATTAGACTATATCACTTTAAACATTAAGTTTAGAATACTTTGTACATTCACAAGTGATACATCAACGTACTTTATAGCCGACCGCATTAGAAGGTATTAGGTGATATAAAGCTTCACTGTATGTTTGTTTCATAGCATCAAAAGCAATTAGCGTAATGTTTCGTTCAGCGTGTTAATTCGAATAAAACAAAAGAAATAGAGGATCATTTTGTATCTTCGCAAATTCAGCTCTTAGGAAGTAGTTGAATGTTATGACACATTCTCATGCAGCGGCACGAAACGGTTTTCAATATTTCGTGACCAAACCGTGATTCAACTCAAGTGTTGTAAATTATTTACATACGAAAATTTAAAAGACTGGCTTAAAATATGTGTGGTAATTTTTTAATATTACATTTTCAGAGTCGCGAAAGCCTGACGTCTGATGGAGAAGGTGCAAAAGGTGACTGTTCATCGGTTGGATCCTCTGCATCCGAGTCTGAAGAACAGCCTCCATGCGACATTGGCCTCCTAGAGCGCCTGATAAGAACACATCCAGTATGGTTCCTGCCTGGAATCCAAAGAGCTGGTGCCTTCCATTTGCTTCAAGGGAAAGAAGAAGGCGTAAGTTTGTTAATGATCTCAGTAATTAGAAAAATCTACATGCTTTCTCAGTCCGACTCAAAATAATTATCATATTTTAATGAAGATTTTTACTTCATAAAACTGAATACAGCAATTGACATTCTTTCTCAGTCCGACTCAAAATGATTATCTTCTTTTAATGAAGTAAAAATGTTAATAAAACTGAATACAGCAGTCTGTTATTAATTAAAAGAGGTTATTTTTAAATAGATATAAATATATTTTCAGAACTTTGTGGTGCGGCAATCGAGTCAGCAAGACACAATGGCGATCAGCGTACGCCTCCCAGCAGATAAAGGCCCTTACATTGAGCACTATCTGATACAGGCATCAGGTGGCCGTATCGGTTTAGAGACTTCCCACAATCGCTTCGACAATATACCTGAACTGATTGCTCATTATTCTCAATGCTGGTAAATGAATCATTGAAATACTATATAAGATGCTGTGATTGCAGCTGCATTAAAACTGATATGGTTAGACACAATTCATGAGTAAAGCAAAATTTTATTATAGGAAAGTATGACCATCGTACAATTACTAAAACTGTAATCAAATAAGAGTTTGAGACGAATATAAATGTTTGTAACTACTATTAGTTAATAGCATAGTACTACATAGCATAGCAAGTAATAATAATTCATTATTAGAATATATATCAGGTTTGAGTATTTAGTTTTTTTTTTTATTACAGCGACGAACTGCCTGTTCAGCTTCAATTGCCGAAGCCGCTTCAAGAAGCTAAAAGCCGTCATCAATTGAGTTCCCTCGCTCTCCTTGGTCAAGAGTTTTGGGGATACCCAATGGCTAATTCAAAAACAAATCTTAATAATCTAGTGTCACCTTGTCAATTGACCAATGGAATTGTTCCCATGGCTGTTACGCCTTCTGATACTGGTTCTAGTCTTAGTAGTATTCATGCCGGTAAGTTTAATTTTTATTGTATATATAAACAAATAAAGAAAGAAGGAAATTATTTATTTAAAAAAACCTATTTTGACAGGTACAGCGGCTAACTCCCGCGAACAAATTTTAAGTCCAGATAAGGATCAGAACGTTGTCCTTAAAATGTCACCAGTTGAAGCTTCTGGCTCCCCACCGAAACAAACCCAGAATCTTTCTACGTTCAAAGGTCGTAACGTTCCATCCCCGCCAGCTAAGCCAACCGGATCATTCGTAAGAGCACCGAGGCCAACACCACCGAATACCCTTAATCTTATATCCAGTACGGTAAGTAGACATTGATTACATGAAATAGCTTTTTAAATACAGTATCTCTCAAATTAAAAATGCTTTAACATCATTTCAGGCACACATAACACAGCCTCATACATTTCCTACAACAAATAATCAACATTCCCCTACACACTCCAGTAGCGTGAAAATGACTCCACCCCCTCCCCCACCTCGTTGGGCTAAGCCCCCATTCACAAAAATGTCCCTATCTCCAAAATCGGAAGCGCTCGCTTTCAGACCCATTAATAAAGCTACAAATGGAAATATAACTGTTACTACAACGGTGACATTCAGTGTCAATAATACACAAATACACAATCATCAAATAAACGAGAGTATACAAAGTGACCGGCTACAGCTAACGCTTGGCTCTAACACTATGAACAATAATGATTGCGAATCCAGCTTCAGCTTAATGGATGCAACGAAACATATAACAGAATCTAACGGAGAACTGCAGGTGAGAGTTATGTATAGTACAGCATGATGGATATAGCAATTAGCATGTATTTTCGTTGTAAGCAAACTATATAAAATATGGCCTTATTGCTCCATGTTATTTGTTTCTAACAATTAGACTTGTAAATTGTACAAAACACTAAAACCTTGTTCCTCTTTCAATATAGAATATGATGCACCGTATGACACCAGAAGGAGAATGTATAAGTACAATGACAGCTAGTTTACACGGCAGCTTTAAAAGGCAGATCGCTGAACAAAGTAACGCTGATGCGGGATCACCATTAGACCAATCTCAAACAAATTCATCCGAATTAGTAGATCCTGTCGTAAATACGTTGACGAAATCCTGTAATGGAAGCAACGTTTCTGCTTCCAATCAATTAGTTTCACCAAATGGTACCAATTCCGTAACAAGTGGCATATTTTCGCCCACAAGTCAAATAAATTCTCCAGTGTCTAATGATACAATTTCTTCTAAAAGTGGTGTATTTTCACCAATCAGTCAGAATAACAAAAGTGAGGTATTCTCTCCTATATCAAGAAGTTCACCAGTTTTTAACAAAACTGTATTTTCTCCGACTTCTAACCATTCTATTGTGCCTCCTTTAACTGGTAGAGATAAAGTGTTGTCACCTAATACTAATACAACAAGTTCTACACCTTCTGGTAGATCAAGGAGGAGTAAGCACTCCATGCGCAAGGAGTCCAAACATTATCAGGTAGAATACATTGTAAATTTTATTTATTTATTTCGTTGGCTATGAAAAATTTAATGTTCACTGGCTAATTTTGAAAATATTCAAGATCAATTTTGCATGCGCTTAATGTAATAATAATTTATTATGAATTTTACATTACTTTATAGCAAAAATAATATTAGATTCGGTGAGATAAAAATTATGCTACATTTGAATAAATATGTACGTATCTAGTAGGTCATATAAAAAGAGGTATTGAATTAAAGAATTTTTTTAGGAATCAGATATCCTTGAGTCCCCTGGAGTTTATTACAGGAGTTCTCTTGTAGATAAGGTTAGTGATTATGAGGATATTTGGGGACCAGAGAGTAATAATTGCTCAACTTTTAAACCACAAAAGGCCGAAAATGACTATAATATTAATAATGGAATAATGAAAAGTAAAAGACCAGATCTGCTACCAGATACACTTCGTAAGTAAAAAAAAAGTTTCTTATTACTGTAATCAATACCTACTTTATTACTAAATTAATACCTACTTATTAAATCCATTCCATTAATTTATTATTCTCTTATTTTTAGCTAAACCCAATACAATTAAGAACGCACAGTCGGTCCTGGAAAAAGAAAATCTGATCATATTAAACTCAACAGAATGTTTAAATGAAAAGAAAAATTACTCTACAAATTCTCTGAAAAAGAAAAGTTTTAACGGATCTAACGAAATTATAGCCACCACAAACAGTAAGGGTGAAGTGGTAGCTAAAAGGCCAGATAAACTGCATATCGCGATGAATATGAACAAGAAATTAACGGAGGAGATTGAAGCAGCTTTAAAAATAAGAGAGAATCATAATATAGAGAGCATGGAAACCGTTAAATTAGAAGATGATACGCAAGATGATGATTCGGATAAAGAACACGCTGGTAGTCCATTTTATGCTGATCCAGTGGACGCCATAAAAGAAGTAAGCTCACGTACTAATCAATTATTTATATATATATCTCGTACTAAGTCAGTGGTGGCCTAGTGGTTAGAGGGCCCGTCTCTCGTTGCCGAGGGCGCGGGTTCCTGGCCCGGGCAAGTACCAATGTAATTTTTCCGAGTCATATGTACTTTCTAAGAATATTTAGACATCACTGATCAATGCATTCCCAAAATTGCCAAGTAGAAGAGATATATCGTAGTGATCAATTAATTATCTATATATTTATAAAAACGAAAGCACTCAGTGAACGTTTATTTGTATGTCCAGGCTGCTCTTCTTCCCGTACAACGTCGAAAACTCCTCAGATCTGGAATAAGTCAATCCCAAAGGTATTCTGAACCACCGACTCAGAACCATCCCTATTATCCACTCCGTGATATGCATAGCATTGAAGAGCTATCGCGTAAGTAATTTATCTTCTAATATTAAATACGGTATATGATCTTACATATTATAGTACACTGTAACGCCTCGCGTTACCTTCGGGATCGTTTTATATGTATAATTTAAACTGCTTCATAATTTATTATTTTATTTTTATTTGAAATCATTAACATTCTTTTATATTATATCTGATCCATACTATCTAATGCGATGGCAAGCCTTATTCACTCCAAACTGAATGTTATTCTCTTTAATTCTTTTTAATTCGTTTTATTTGAATTTATTTTAATTCAATTTCTTTTTTTATCGCCTGCCAGCGCCACCATGTGATATGTAGTAACTCCTAAAGAGTCTCCATATCACAATACTAATAGCTATTAATTGATTTCCAGCATCATCACCTAATACTTCAACGTCAGTAGATAATCTTGTATCTCTAAGATCTAAGCCGAAGATGAAACCAGTGGAGCCACCACGTGTCGCAGCCAAACCACCAACTGGCAAAAACGAAACTACTTGGGCCGTGGATTCTAGTTGGCAGTTTATAAGTAAGTTAAAATAGTGATAAATCCTAAAAGAAATACACTTCATGAGATAAAAGATAAGAGCATGAAAAATAGATTTAACTAAGAAAATTTTATTTTTATATTTTTGTAGTCAAAAAACTAACGGTAAATTAATGTGTCAGTTAGTCAATCACGCCTTACTGATGGAAAAAAATTAGTACTAACTTTTATTTACAGCAAAAAACGACGAATGTTCGAACAGTGACGGCGCATTCCCTTCTCTAGCAGAACAGGAGAGGCTTAATGTGGATGAACACTTGCTCACGGTACATCAAATTGTCGCTCAAAGGTAATTAATCAGTTATAAAAGTTAATACGCTTTTAGGTAAAATAAAATAAACGTCATATTTACTCTAATAAAGTTTAGTCTCGCAATCTCCTCGAAATAATATTTCTTTTCAAAGACCTATAATTTTATAGTTATGAAATACTATTATATAAGAGTCACATATTCAATAAGGTTTTCTTTCATTATCATAGTTTTAATGTACAGTTTCTCTTTAACTCAAAAAGTTGACTAGATCTTTCATTTAATACCGGGAACTACAAGCGTGCCTTATAATGCGCTGCTTATGTATTACTGTGTACCCATACTGTGTACCAATCAAAACAAAGCGCCTAATTAGTTGGTAATAATATTCATTAACTTATTACGTTAATAGGATTAAGATAAACTATAAAAGAAGGTTATATTATTATTAATATTTAGCAATATTATACCTTTTCTTAGACTACCTGAGCTACGTCTGAACGCCGAACCTTTCGCATTACCAGATGAAGTCAGATCGCCTCCTCGCGCATCTTGCTATGATAACGTACATGATCTTCGACCTATGTCAGAACAAGTAAGATTTAGTGAATCATCAATTCACACGGATTTTAATAATAAACGGACTATAAATTTCATCATTAATGATACTTTTAAAAAATTTGCTGGGATAGACCCTAACTTATGTCCTACATATGTTATGTTGACGAAATGTTTGTGATAATTAAAGACCATTACCTTTACTATCACAAGAAATTTATTCAACCAAATAAAACTTCATCAATCTTCAAGACGTTTAACAATGTATGAGTTATATGCGCAAAACAAATTCACGTACGAACACGTGCAATCACAAATAAACAAATATACTTACCAAACATTATCAGCAATTATATTAGTAGGTTAATATGATAATATTATATGTACAGGCGAGTGACGATGGAACTGTGTTCTCTGAACCTTGGGACAGCTCTCAATGGGATGGATTATTGCCACCACCTAATGGACAGGCTTATGACAATGTAAGGAAATAATTTTAAACACTTAATTATATACATATAAGTCCTTTTAAAGCGCTTAGCTAATAATCTGAAAAGGGGTTATTTCTTGTTTCACTTATGGTTAATCACCATGTGTTGTACATTATTCTTAATGATAATGACCATACATTTTTACTGTTAATTAATAGAATTGAAGCATTGAAGCAGAATAAATAGTCATTTATAACATTAATTTATATAAAATGTATTGTAATATAAGTTATTTATTATCAGGAGGAAGTCTGTGAGTGGGAATCTCCTACCCCAAGACGAGGAGCGGTTCCAGCACGAGCCAAGAGTTTCAAAGATCGATTGGATCCCTTACTTGGTAAGATAAAACTCAACATACCCACAAATAAAGAAAAATAAAATTTTTCAGTAAGAAAGTATTTTATAAACAAATTCTAGAAATCATAAATCAAGTATAACACGTGGAACAATATAATTAAACATCACTGTTTGAAATACCAACATATTAAAGTAAACACTATAATTATGTTGCATTACACATACGCGCGTACTACGTCTTACATGAAACATACAATGCTGAGACCATTGTAGTATGCATTTTGTCGACGAACGTTGAACTCGAAGATAACTCATGCATCTAGTATTAACCAGATACGTGTCATAAAACAAGTAGTAAATAGTTAAAGGCTTTTGATTTTAATAGCAATGTACTTTTATTAGTAATAAAATGAAGCAGAAGCATATATTCGCCGTTTTATTGCGTTCTGATAAGCTTTTATGGCTCATTACGGCTCGTTATTGGAATCAATTATAACTAAGTTGAAGTCGAACAATAGCACCGCAATGCACATCTGTTATCATCTTCATTAGGTTAGTAAATAATATATAATTATGAGTAAAGGCTAAAGGTCTGCGCGTGCCGCATTTCTACTCACAACTAGATTGAATCCGCAGTCATATTCCGACACTCGTGTTCGCAGCGCGACTAATCTTGTTTGAATGAGAAATCATCGCTTCAAATCTTTCGTGGAAGCGGGACGTAACCGCAGAGTAATCGGACATGAAGTGGTTCACAAAGTTGTTCCAAGGAAGATTCGCGAAACCGACTGAGCTGAAAACGGATAATACAAAACGGTTTAGAAAATGTAGTTCTTTAAAGGAACAACAAAAGAATCCTGATGTTGTTGTAGTACCTGAACCGGAAGGAATATATGCTTTGACGACGATCAGAAACTTCCACTGTGACAGTTTGAATGAGTTCGTTTTTGAAAGTGAATGGGTGTTTGTGACTCGTGAAAAATTAGAAGAGCCAAGATTCCAACAAAATTTGACAAAAACGGAAGCCCTAACGAATTTTTGTAAGAAATTATCAGCGAGGTGTGGTCATAAAAAAAAAGCTATGGTTGTAGTAAGACCACCAGCTTGTCATTGTAAAGATCTTAATGCAGAAGAAATGGCAAACTCAAAAGCCCCATATATTAATCCTTTCAAGCGGTTCTTTAGAACTGTTTGTGGTTTTTGGAAACGAATTTGGTGTAGTATTAAGAAATGCTTTTGTAAAGAGAAAAAGTCAATTAATATTGAAGATCAAGAGTCTATCACTAATTCGTATCTGTGTAGGTAATAGTTGTTCTGTTTTTTTTTTTTTATTAATGAGATCAGGTAGATCTGGATTAAATATGATCAATGCAATTTTCTTTTCCAAAAAAAGAGTAAAAAGCTACTCTTATTAGATTTATTACTAAGAAAACAATAATTTAGTCGTTACAATTAATTACAACAAAAACTGAAAATATTAATAATCACACCTCTTTCTGATCACTCGCAGTTGAACAACAATTTTTAGTGTCTCCTATGAGTAATAAAGCAATAATTGGATTAATTACAAATGTTAGATACTCATTACACATTACAAGTTATGTTTTCTATTAGCAGCGGGACGTGTCCGAGCTTTGCGCGGCGGTCGTTCGTCTCGAGGAGCCGGTGCAGCATTAAGAGCTTATGCTCTGCACTTGGCCCAAGATAAGAGTACTACCTTCGCACAAAACGTGGATAACTTCATTGCTTGCACACTAGACTCTAAGGAAACATGCCCACAGGTAAATATACATTAAATAATATCTATAATAGTAATACTTTGTTCAGTACCGTTTTTGCATTCATAAATAATATTCAAGTATCACTTTAAGTCCTATACATTTTGCTTAACGTCTAAAATATATGTATAATTCCCCACATAAGCATGATCTCTACACGTATACTGCACGTGTTCCTATTCCATTGATCATTCTTATTATAAATACTTATCTAACTAGCCCTAATCAAAGGGCAAATAATCATGCACTTGCATACATTATAAACATAGACATATGTTAGGAGGAAATTTAATTCCTACTGATAATGAGAGTTGAATGTCCATTATAAAATGTTACCTTAGAATTATGATTTACAGAAATAGCATTTATAAGACAATTTAACTTGACCTATTTTTTATTTCTGTTTAATAGATAATGATGCGGAATATGAGGCAGTTTATGTCGGGTATGAAAAACTATTTGGTGAAACACGGCGAGAGAGAATTCGAAAAAGAAGTTGAGAAAGAGCGGCTTAAGGTAAACAAAAACTTTCTGTTACTTTAATAAGGAAATTTGAGAAAGATTTGTAACAATGCATATATAAAATTTTTCAGCTAAAACCAACTGAATTCTTAAACCTGGATGCAATTCTTGAGGGTGTTATGCACCGTCTAGTGGTGCGGCCTCTTCGCTCTAAATTGTATTCTCTGCTAGCGTCGTGGCATTCCGCAGATGTACGTCAATTACATTCAGCTATTGAAAAAGCACAACACGCTACACCCTTGCAACTTGGTATTAAGGTATGAGGAATTTCATTTAATTTGTTTTAGTTGTCAATTTCAAATAAAGTCAAAGCAGCAAACCTTGCCCTAGGAAGTATTTTCAATAATAATAATAAAGTCATTTATTATCTCTCTTCACAAAATACTTGATACACAAATAAACATCTTATATAAATAGACATTTGTGAGAGACTGGAGCCCGTGATGGGTATAAGAATACCTGTATTACAGGTCTCCAAAATAATGGAGAAATATATTTTTGTGCAATCTTAATTTTTAATTTTAAACCGTTATTTGATTTATAATTATGTAAATAATGTTAACAATGTAACACGTGTTTACTATTAAGTGAGACCACAGATTAGCTACGTAAATAAATGAATTGTAAATATTATGTTTTTACTGCAGACACTCGTACATACGCAGTATGAGTAATTGTTGTCTACTAATATATAATTATTATTATTTTATATCGATCAGGAATCAACGAAAGTGCCATCAACAGCAGTATTGGCGGTGATATCGAAACATTTCCTCAAAATGCAAGAAGCCGATTCTCCGTTGGACAAATTGGAAAATCTGCTCGCAGCAATATCTGTCATGTTTAACGCGGTACGTTATTTCAATTTTTTTATTAATTAAAATATGATATTTGTTTAAAGTAATTTAGTTTTGGTTAGGTCCCTACCTCTCCCTAGAGATGCTTGGACGGTGTAGGTAAGAGTTTAAAGGGCGCTAACCCTTAAACTTACACTTGGGTTACACTCCTCTCACTGCAAGGCAATGGATAAGCCCTGTACCATGAATCCATTGAATGCTAAGAAGTTTCGTTTTCTCTTTTAGATTCGTGGAGAGCGTACGTTGGGTGCGGATGATCTACTACCGGTTTTAGCATGGACAGTGGCTCGATGTCGTTTGGTCTGCGCTGAACTGGAGGCGGAACTAATGGCTGGCTTGTTACCCGCAGCGTTACTGGCTGGTGAAGGCGGTTATTACTTAACCGCTCTATTCTCAGCCGTCGCTGTTCTGAAGAGATTAGCGCCAGATCCTGGACCTGATAGTACGACACCGGTTAGTTATAATCGACTATTTTACCCTATAAAACTTTAACCCTAACCTTCTCTCAACACTTAAAAAATTGAGTATTAGTTGGTTTAATTTTAAAAACATAACTGTGATAGGATATTGATTAACTGGTTAATATAGTCGGATTTATTAAGAACATTCAATTGACGTTCAACATGAATTCCGTTGCGAGCATAATCTCTGAAAATTTCTCATTAAAATATAATTTGAGTTCACTTTCTGATAAAATTTACTCTACTGAACCTTCACTACCAAAATAATAAAAGAAAGAAAAAAGTAAATACAAATTTTTTGCTCATAATCATTAATTAGTATTATTATTTTTAGTGGCGTCGTGGATCTGGTGAATGTCGCGAGGTTGGTGTAGCGGTAGTACGTGTTGCTTTACCAGATGAATGTCGCGGGTCCATACGTCGCGTGGCGCTCCCTTGCCGGCCCGGAGCCCGAGCTAGAGACCTCTGCAGAGCCCTAGCACACGCCGCTCATATTACGAACCCACAAGACTATGCGCTTTTTGCCCTGCATGATGGACAAGGTTTGTTTCAATATAATGACGTCACAAAATTTAGAATTTAAAAAAGCAGTCCAATTCTTTAAGCTGATTTAAAGTCGTATAATTAAGGCCGTAGTCATTCTAGAGCTTAAAGTTAATATATAATCATATAATGATATCTAATAGTTTCACTAGTATTCATTTAAATAAAACTAATATTTTCGGATGTACTGAGCGTTGTTTATTACTTTATAACTAGCTGCGCCCCGTGGTGTCACCCGCGGATTTCCGGGATGTACAGTAACCTATGTGTTATTCCTGGACGTCAGCTTCCTGTATACAAAATTTTATCAAAATCGGTTCATTCGTTTGAGCGTGAAGAAGTAACAAACATACACACACACTCAGAAACTTTCGCAATTATAATATTAGTAGGATTACACGCTCCCGAAGTTTCCGTTACTTTGCAGCTACCGTGATCACGGGAGACGAGATGAAAATATCTTTTAGATGATCTTGTTATTTATCGTCTACCGCTTATTAGTCTTATTTAAATAGAACATGTTAAATATAGAAGGAACACTTATTTACTATATCATTACTTTCGTTACAGAAACAATGTTAAATGAGAATGACTGTCCCCAAGAAGTGATGTCAGAGAAGAGTGGTCAGAACTTCATATTGGCTTATAAGCGAATAGATGCTAAAATCGCGTGGCCACAACAAGCGCTCCTGTCATACCCATAGAACTCGTTACCGTAATGCGGCAGTAATCTCACTTATAAGAACAATGACAATGTATAACAAAACTTATATACGAATAACTCTAGTTTCATGCTCAGTAACAACAAATTATATTGGATAATGGAGATTGGAGATATATTTTTGTCATCTGAAGTGATATTTTCTACGATATTAACCAATTATAAGCGAACATTATTTCGTATATAAGTAGGCGTTTTATAAAGCCTTGCTATTTGCTATTCTTGCGTACTAATGTTTTATCCATGTAGCTTTTTTACCTTTAGTGAGTAACATTTTATATGATACTATGACTGAATAATTCTGATTCTCTTTTGTACATTTGTATGTCTCTTGATTCTACCGTGTGTAATTTATTTTTTATTTTTGTTTTTTTTGTTTTACTTAATTTTGTTTAAATAACCGATGCAGCCTTATGAAGGTAGCTTATCATTCGGGTGTATGTATGTATATGTTCCTAAATTACAAAGTACCCTGAGAAAACTCACCAAATTGTCGTTTTAATTTTTAAAAAAACTAAAACCTAGTTCTAAATTCATTTTAATAACATTTATTCTAACTTTTATAACGCTATGTTTATTGAACTGTGATGTAATTTGTATTAGTAATGTAAGATTTATATTAATTTTGTATATTCGTAGAGGATTTTCTTAATATAATTTATTTAAATTTAGCTTAAGATTCTGAAGGATTCAATTGTAATGGAGTGATGAATAAATGCAGGCGTCTGTTGAGGCTTTTAGAACAAAAGTAACAATAGTCTTTGGCTTGGAACCAAAATTAAAGAAAAGAAATGTTTGGAAAAAAATCCTTGACGTCAAGTTTATTCGTCATAGAACATATTCAGATACGATGGCTTTTGTTTCTCATAATAATACAATTTACATACTTTCCTACGGTTTTAAGCTTTTACCATTAAATTAGATTATGACATTCCATTTCACGCAATATATATACCTTAACTATATAAAATTTTTCTTAAATTTCAGCAATTTTTAATGTAAGATCTAAACTTACTTATATTATAAAGCTTAGTAGCCATGAGTGAATAGGTTTCTTGATATATACTGCGTATATTATTAGTTCCGATTGTAAACCATAATAATAAATAATGCTTAAACTGATAATTTACTTTAAATCTAAGTATATTATATAATTTTTCGTCTTTTAGTTAAAGAAAACTGTTTTTAAGAACATATTCATTCATAAATAATAATAAAATGACTTTACGTATATGCGAATGAATTTATGAACAAACTAATAAAATAAACGAAAATACTAGTTGTCTTTAACTAAGAGAAGACTCAATATAACAAAATCAACGAATATCTAGCTTATAGACATGTTACCAAAATTATTACATGCGTGTTATGTTTTAAAATAGCTTAAGTACTAAGTAGATTTATTTGCCTAAAATAGTATAAAATTTTCAGAAAGCCTCGTATCTGTATATGTTTGAAGTAAGTATTACTACAAATATACATTTACAAACCACGACTTCAATATTTCTGTATTTCTCGTTTTGAATTTCGTCATTCATGCGTTACGAATACATACATATTAAAAATTCGATTAAAATGTTTTAAAATATCTTACACAGATAAAATGTTAATATTTGTTGATATTAAAACAGACACAAACATGTAACTGTTTATTTTGTAGTAATACTGAATGTTTAAATGCAGTTCGTATTTATTGCAGTCTTGTATTTTAAAGTTAGCCAACACGTATATTGTGTTTTGATAACATTTCAGTCATTTGTGAAAATTAAAAGAATTTTTATGAAAATCTATTTTCTTATTTACAATCTTCCCAAATGAAATTCCGAAAATTTTAAACGCGCAATATTTATTAACGCAGAAGTTACAAAATAGTTTATTCGGTAATAAAGCAAGTAGCAAGATTTGTTTGTTCAATAAAGATTGATACAGATTTTAATAGAGACGCGTGGTCATGGTAACTGATAAAATTAAATTTCTCAAAGTTAGGTTTAGTCGTTTACAATAATAACAGAAATGGATATGCAAGCGAATTATCCGAAGAAATTAAAAACTACGTATTGGGATCCATTGAATATAGATTACCCAGTCAGAAAATGTTTCAACACTGGAATATCGAGTGAAACTATGGCTAGGGTATGGAGGAGTAATCCTGAAGTAATGCTAGCGACAGTAAGTATGAAAGTTTAAAATTATGATGATTTTTATAATATAATCTATATCTCAGTAAGAAAGTTTTTTTTTTGGTTTTAATAAATCTTTTGTAACTGAAAACTAAATATTTGCTTTACTTTAATCAGTTCATTTATAAGGGATCCAGTAAGAGAATCTTTATGTTCGTATATCAAAATAAACATATGAAGTTGCAAAAACGGAAATGTCAAACATTACTTTGTAAGAGTTAAATTATTGAGTAAAATTAAGAAAAAGAAGCTCAATTTTTGGTTTTATTTCTAACTGTGCAAAAAACACTCAAGGAATCTCTTAGTTTCTTAAATTTTTGTTATTAAATTAGTTTTTTATTGAAAATATCTTAGTTCTCTAAAGAAAACAGAGATATTTGTAGAGTAATTTCAATAACTACAGTAAACGTAGTATTTTTTTTCGTTTCTTAATTTGATTTTTCAAATTGTTTATAAGTTTGCAGTAAATCTAAAAGTAATAATATGATACGAATGTTTTAAATTTATTCCCAACGCCAAATTTTTTAGGAGAAAAAACTAAATTTACTATAAAACAAAACTTGATATGAATTTATGTAGGAATCCCCGAAGAAATTAATTAAAGAACTTGTAAGCTTTCAATATTATTTTGTACAAATAAATTTGTTATGTTGCTCCTTCATAGTACTACGTGTACTTCAATTTTCTCTATTAATGAATTTTTTGATAATTTTTAAATTTTATTTATCTTAATATGTACAGGTAATCATATATTATTTTTGATAAAATGTATATATACAGGGTGACTGGTGAATTACTATCAATATTTAAGGAGCATACTCGGTACATGATTCTCATTCGAATTATGTAAAAAAAATAGGTACTTAATTTTTGACCAAATTTCCGTATAAATAAATAAAGTGAGGACACGTTTCAAGTGTTCCAAGTGTGGACGCGTGCGGCGGCGTGCTGATACAACACCACGCCGCCAAACGCGCGTGTGTGTGTGTGTGTATACCTAATCTGTAGGGTGTTCACACGATGCGTAATGAATTACATAAATTTTGGTTAACTTTACTTAGAAATTAATTAATATTTATGTTATATTAATTTTTATTTTGTCATATATGACGTCCTCAAGTATCGATAGTAATTCACCAGTCACCCTTTAATATCGTGGATATTATTTTCCACAGAAACATCCCATAAATGAGGAAAGGAGTTACATAAGAGATTACAATGTAACAAATGATCTATTGAAAACACAAAATAGCTTAGATTATGGGTACAAAATATCAGAAACGAATAGATTCAATAAGCACAATGCATGCAACGAAAACTCTTATATATACCCGCCAAATAAACAGGTAACTCGAATTTTTTTTAAGTTTTAAAGGGTTTTTTAAGATACGATTTTTTTTTATTTTAACCGGTATAGAAAATATAAGCAACATATGCTTTCTCTCTAATGTTCTGACACTTTGAAACTTTAGGAATGATTTCTTATTTACTTCGATTTCAGCTCGAAGTCAATGTTCCAGCAATGACTGCTCATGGAACATCTGAAATGAGGAGCTCCTTCATCCAACCCGTAATACCCAGCAGAGTTATTACGGATAAAGATCAATTTAAACATCCTAACACAATTTATACAGAACCAGTATGTTTTATTGTTTGTAGCATAAGACTTTCAATACATATTCGCTTCGGTTCAGAAATTATTTATATTCAATACAAGGATTTAATATAATAAATATACACACTTTTTGAGCCCTTAAAACTTTCAGTTAGAGCCATTCTATAAAGAAATAGAGCCACTGGATACAAGTCATGACGGATTCGAGAAATATTTGGACCCTTATGTAACTACAAGTAGATTGCATCATCGGCCATTCACGGCCGAACAACTAAATAAATCGTCGAATTCTAAAGACGTTCTCACATATTATACATTCGCTAACATTCCTTGGGTGAGACAAAGGCTGTTTTTGTATGCATGTTAGATTTTTACGCTTTTCACCTAAGTCTACTATGAAATATTAGTATGTACATTTAAAAAAAATGCTTTTCTTTGGGTAATTTTAGTCGTTTCTAAGTGGAATGTAAGTAAACCTATTTTAGTATACTATAAACATAAGTTTTCAACTTGTTATTTGTAATTCGTTTATATATACATTCTGAATACTTACACCTTTGAAAATACCCAACACATTGCGACACCGAGTCTTTTATAGAGTTGCATGTTTAATGATGTAAATTATAGATTGTGGAATAATATTATAGTTTGGTGCATGTATAATGTATATGCAAATACAGTTTACAAATCCTACTAATTTTAAAAGTCTCTGACCTGAATCATGAGTGAATATTTTGCGCTTACCTTCCAAACGCTGGCCAGATGTTCAAGATATAATATAAACCTTATATTGTATGGGAAATGTTTATATCATATAGCTAACTACTAACTACTAATAATTTGCTACTTTAAAAACGAAGCAACTGTGGCGGTTTGGTATGATTTTTTTTAATCAATTGTATATGTATCTAATTCATTTAGTATATTAAAAAAAATGTGTTTCTTCTCAAAATGGATGTCACTAAATTCACCATTCAATATTTTGAGGATTCGTCTTAAAAATAGGGTCAAGCTTTTCGTTTGAAGTATTAATATTTAATCTAGCAGCCTATACAGAAATATATTTTGTTTAATTTATAAAAATAAAAAAAATATTAGTTTATAAAAGTAACATTGACACGACAATAAATACTACAATCTGTATTATTTTATCTTTATAACAGGTGCGATCTCCAAAACCTAAGATAGATGAATGGCGTCTACCCGTGACTAAATACAGATCAATTTATGACAGAGAGAAATTCAAAGATGAATTTCGAGAAATAAGAACACATCATAAACCTCAATGGGTACCAGGGTGAGAAAAATATAAAGATGTCTAAATTCACATTCATTAATCTACGTTATTTTATTGCTATAATGCTCATCTTCGTACTAAAATTAAGTGTAGCAAGATGTTTCTCATTTCTCATATTTTCTCGTATTCAACTAAATCCGAGTAATATACTAGATTAAAATATCAAATTTTATACTAAAAATTGATGAACAATGCATATAGAAAATGTATTTTTTGTTTCAGAGCTTTCAGAACAGAGAATAGTGACAACTACAATATTTTAAGTCAATCAGCGCCAGATAATACACAAGAAATAAAGTCTTTATATAAAAAATCCATAGCCAAGATACAAAATGACATTCAAAACGGTTGTTATGCTACAGAAAATTCCCTTATTGGATCAAGAAAACCAATATGTTCCGTGCTTGATCAACACATTGAAAAAAATAAACGTTTCACACATAAAACTGTGAAAAAGACATAATAAAATCGTATTCACTTACTAAACCATAGTTTTGTTTTATTTCTAAAGCCTAAAACATTTTATAAAAAAAGGTTACATCAAAAAAAAAGTAAAGTCACAGCTAATCACTCAATAAAATTGCCATATTGGTTTCAAAATGTCAAATTGTAAAATTATTTGTAAACAACATGCATACCACATATCCTCAAACCATTAAATGGAAATATTATACTTCATAATAATAGTTGCAGTGATATCGTATGCTATATATTTAATACAACCGTACTGGGTGTTTATTGTCTCGATAGCATTCGCCTATGCGTTATACACACAAATAGCTATGATATATTGAGACAGGTGAGTATTAAAATCAATAAAATTATATTTGATTCTCTATAAGCTAGAAAAGGACGAACATCAAAATTGTATACATAAATATGGCTATGCTCAGTAGCAATAATCATGGTAATAATTACATTAATTTCTCTGGATTATGCTGCTATTTCTGACTACTTATACATATATATTTGTTTTTATAAATTTAACTTTATAAGTTTCCAAGATCGAAAACAAAGGGATTGGGATATTATAAATCTTTTCTGTTTTGAGTCTTTTACATGCTTTTATTCAACTTGTAATAATATATATATAATGATAAATAGTTTTTTTTTAAGTAAATAACAAATACTCTCAACCGATGAAGAAGCAATCTTGCATACAGTTAATTTGTTAGCTTACTGAAGTCAGAATACTTAGTTTTTGTACTTCATAATGTGCCCATTAAAATAATATACTATTAGATTTCGAATTCAAAGGATCACTACATAAATAAAAATGCAAAAGTTATTATATTTTTTTTTACATTCTAAAACGACAAGGATACATAAAAATTTTGATTAATTAAATGTATATACATATATTATTAATTTATTTATTTATGAATTTATTAAATTTCAAAAAATTTTGTACTATAAAACAGATACAATTTCCACAGGACTTTGCATTAACTGTGATAAAGGATATTAATATCTAATATATTATGAAATGTATCTGACTTATTTTTATATCAATAAATATTTTGAATAAAATTATTTAAATAAAGTGCCTTAATTAGAAGTGAATAACAATGAGGTCACATATTTTATTGCCTCATTACAGTGGAATAAAGCGATTATAAAAGTTGATTAAAACCTTTTTTATTAATGACGTCATGAATTATCAGTTGATAACAACTATAATGTTAACTACAGTCTCCTTTCGCTTTAAAAAAATAGCGCAGAACTTATTCATTCTCTTTATTAAATCTCTGGGTTAAAATCAAGAAAAAAATATATGATTTATAGATGAGTACGCTTAGTTTTACATTTGAAATATATGTAAAAAGTCGCCAGGTCGTATAAGTAGTGCAATTATTGAACCGTTCACACGTGTCTAAACACAAAATATTAAATACAATTTTAAAATCGTTTAAACGTTATCGTGGACGGCATTACATAAATTGTGTTGTGACAAGCTTAAAATGTTATTAAAATTATTATTATTAGTTTTTGTTGTAATCGATCGTTTTGTTAGCTCCGGTCCGCAAAAAGTAAGTTATTGTTTTATGTTACCTGGAATTATTTTCTCTAGCATGTACATGTACGATAGCAACTTCATTAGAGTGTACTAAAACAGCTGTGAATATAACAAGGTTTATTTTTAAACATACGAGTATATTTGTATCAATTTGATTATTTTCTTTGACCTTACTTTTATCTATGTTTCATTATATCTATATCATTAAGATTATTTATCTATATAATTAAAATTCAATAAAACAATATGTAATGTAAAATTTAAGTGTGTTTATGCAAATTTGTTCAAATTTACGAAAATGCACTTAATCATGATATGCAGGTAATTAGTTTTCTTGTTTTTTTTTACTTAAATCGGTAGTAGATAAAACAGTGTCACGAAGACGTACCCTGTATATCACCCAGATTTTATATCCACAAGGAGTGTTTAAAGAGCGTATCATGTCACATCGTTCGCATATCCCTAAGTTGCCTAAAAACACGGATTTTAAAATTTCATTAAAGTATTGAGTTCGATCTCCCAACGCGGTGAAATTATCAAAGTGATAAAGTCAATGGATTTTGGTCGGCTGTGATATTACCCTAACTGAAAAGAGAATGAAGTTCAGTATTCTCATTCTACGAGAATGCAATAAATATATCTAAAGAGGCGATGAATTATGAGCAGGTACTCAAGAATTCCATAATATCCCATTAAGAGTGTTTCGTAAACTTCGACACAAATAATGAAGAGTCTATCACAAGCAGCCACTGAGCAGCATATGCTCGGTGCAAAAAACAAGACAAAAATGGCTACGCGTCTCTAAAGAAGAAAGAGAAAAGGTCTCTCAAACCGTGATAGTTTGATAATTGTAATCCAAAACTTGCTCGGTCAAGAAGAAAAGAGAAATAGCGTTGGTTAGGTTTGTTTGCTTGTTAATATAGAAGTGAGTGAAAGGACATCTACAGAGTCTACTTTGATAAAGAACTCAGCCTCTCTGAGAAGGATTTCACCTGTTAATAAAAAGAAAATACGATATTTGTTCAAGGTCATTAAGTAGTAATTTTTCAATAAAACACCTACTGTATATTTTCCCTGGGATTTTTGGAGCGTAATATTAACATTTATTTTTAGGTGCAACTAAAAACTTATTGACAATTATTATTCGCAAGGCTGATGTGTCTAATAGCCGTGACAGAGTTGTATTATGTAAAAATGAATTATTATGAAACAATTTATATTAAAGGCAGAATATTAAACACAAGAGTAACTCGTCATACTAATTATGAATAACATTTATTGGGAGATCATTAAATATTATTAAATATAATTATCAGAACCACAAGAATATTCCAAATAATTTATTGCTTTCCGTTGCTAACAGAATTATTTACACTTCTACGCTTAGATTATATAATATGCATTATATTTTAATTGACATAAGATTTTTCTGTTAAGTTACAGTTCATTAAAATAAACATTAAAACATTTGTTTTAAAAGAGCCTTCATGCCAAGCAGAATTCAATATATAACTTTATTATAATATAGAACATTGTAGAAGTATTGAAAGTAATGCTAAATTGGCAAAAATAAATAACGGGTTATTATAAACAAATACATATCATACTCCTGCAAGCAAGGCTGGTTGTTAAGTGGGGCAGTAAAAGTTGTCCTATGATCATTGAGCGTCAACACACAGCATGTGTGATATTTAGAAGCAATTGTTACCAACCGGTTTATTTATTTAAATATTTATCATTAACTCAAATGGTTTTATGATTTGCGAAATAGATTTTAATTCTAAAATTAATTTTCCATTTCACATTGCCCTTGTAAATATACAATAACAAAAAAAAATCATTATGTAAATTTAAATTTGATATACCGATTGTCCTCCTTTTTATTATTACTAAGGGTAGACATAAGATATTTAATTTATTTCAAAGCAGTCCACATTATTTATTTATACTTACAATTCTTGTAGATCATACTATAGTCATCATATGTTTTATCATCAATAGTCCGCAGCAATACGAAAAAGGACATTGTAGGGCACTTTTTACAGCTTGGTTAACATCCCTTAAGTTTTAGTAAAGATCCCTATCTTTATTGGCAACAAATATAGAATATGTAAATCAGATTGAATGTATATGCGTGCATGTACATATAACTTTCCAATGGTGAAAGATTTTTTGAAATACACAAAAATGCAAATTTATACTCTTTAAAATTTAAACAAATTGTGATGGTTTCCTCGATCTCTTGTACTAAAGCACTTTGAAATTCACAGAAAAATATTTTTGCTGTGTTGTTCATAGAAAAACATTATTAAGAATAATTCACACACCCAAATAAGAAGCAGACAAATATGTAGTTTTGTTTTGATTTATTTTTGTTTCCTCACCCAAAACTTGTGAAGGTTATGTCAATTCATTTTTTAGTATAGATGTCCTTGTTTAAGATGTCCTTTATATAATTTTTACACGATTTTTTTGAATCACATTATTATTAAGAAACTTAACAACTTCTCTTTTTAGTTGCTCTTAAGCGTGTACTATGAGAGTAACTGTCCAGACAGTAAAGCATTTATTCTCAATCAGCTGCAACCAGCATTCCAATTGCTTCATGACCACATGACGATCAAGTTTGTGCCATTTGGGAAAGCAAGGGTAATTTGACAATTTTTTTATACCAATGGGTCAGTCAACAAAGCAAAACAATTTACATAATATTTGCTAGTTTCCAAAAGTATAACAAAGCTTTACCATGCGCATTAGCATCCACTTATTCAACAAATAAGGAACAAACTTTTTACTTTATGATATGTTCTTGATATAATTTTCCGCTAGATGCTTTTAAATTTCTCCTACGACTTAAATAAATATCCAAGTATTATCACAAAATAATTAGTTGTAAATATGAACAAAAATGATTAAAATGAATTTTTAAGTGTAACACTATCGTATCAGTGAAGACTATAGAATAAAATGACTGTACATGAATTCCAGAGTATAAATTTTGGAGATGGCGGCTTTCAATGCCAACACGGGCCTTCAGAATGCCTCGGGAATATAATGCAGGACTGTAGCTTGCATTATATGAAAGAAAAACCCGACAAACATAAATTGGCATACGTCGCCTGTGAAATGAAGACTCGCTCCGCATCCCAAGGAAGATTCGATGTTAGTATATACTAATATAACAAAATTATTATAGTTATCACAGTTAACATGTCAAAACGAAAATTTATTTTTAATTTTTCAGTGCGTTCAACAAGCGAATCTGCCCACTAACTTGATCGAACAATGTATCTTTCACGGCAAAGGAACTTCTTTTCAACTAGAATCTGAATACCTCACAAGTCTGGTGAACCACAAATTTATACCGACTGTGACTATCAATGGCGTAAGTTATAATTATTTACTTAAGTTGTTAATAATTAAAATGAAATTTTATCTCTTATAGTACTTATATTTCTATCAAATTTGAACGTAAAATAGAATAACAAAATATCAATATAGACGTTACATTGCATAGATAAAATCAAGCAATATATATTTGTTCCAGGTATATAACCAACGCTTTCAAGATGATGCTCAGGAAGACCTCATGGGCGCGTTGTGCTCCCTCTTAAAAGGAGTTCAGCCCTGTTCTCAGTATTATAATTACATGGCACTACGCAACCTTATGTCAACGAAATATCCACTGCTGACATAAAATAATATGCCCATAAAATAAACAACTTTTTCTATACTTAATCTTAAAATCAATGAATTACCAATAATATAAGTATCATTTATTATAAATAAAATGGCATTATCTAAATACTCAAGACGGCATGTTATCAACAATCCATCTATAATAATGTGCGATGTTTGTATACACGCTGGGTATGCCTTCACTGCCACAGTTCTCCGACCCGAAGGATACAATGCCGATCTAAAAATATACAGAGAAAAACAAAAAAAATCGGTTAATAAACTTAATACTAGTAGAATTTAACATGTTAATTAGTTTTTACAACTAAATGGCATTAACAATGATTAACCCTGAATATGTTCTTTAACTGTTACGGTATTTTGGTGGGACTTCCGAATTTCAACATCATTCTTGAAGGTTCCCCTTTCATACAAAAAATATATTCAGGAAATTTAATTCATGTCTGCATTTACGATCTCTCATATATCTATGTATGTAGATATATGAGAGATTGTAATTTTTCGTTTTCGAGATTTCATTCTTTATTTATACATATATACTGTGGGATTAAATTTCAATTACCTGTACAAATTGGCCATCTCTATTAAGAATCAGAGGAGCTCCTCCGAAGCCCGAACAAGCGTCTTTGCCCTCTTCGCCGCCCGCACAAAGCTGCCCTTCATGAATAGGCACGGATTCACCAAAAACCTTCCCACACATCTCCAGCGACACCAACGGTACTTCTAACTGTTGTTGGCGACCGATCTGTTGTTTTAAAATATTATGAGGGCACAAATTCATCAGCATAACTATTCATATCATTGAAATATTGCACTCATTGTTAGAAATTGAAATAAAATTGTCCGTAGTTCAATGCAAAACTTGTTAAATAGCTTTCGCTGTAGTTTTTATAAACTAGCATAACCGATAATTTTGTATAGTCCAATACAATGGTTTGATTTTTTCCTAGAAAATAATATCCCATTAAAACATTTTCCAGTACCAGGTTGTTTTGTCCGGACAGTTTCCCCCATCCGACAAGCGAAGCGCGTTCGTTGATCACAACTTCCGGCTTATCATTCAAACATATCGGAGCAGCTGTCACTGTAATAATGAGAAACATTGCTGTCTGATGATATAATATAAACGACCTTACACAAGGACGTAGCTGTTGAAAAAATTGAGGAAGCGTCGACAATAATTCTTTGAATTTAATAAATCCAATACAATTAACAACTTTTTATAATTGAGCTATCATTATAATCACATTATAAACACATTGCATTTTTTCTGTTTAAATTATTATAAATTTAATGTACCAGAAAATTTTATCTCATCCTTCAATATAATCATCGCTATGTCGTGTCTGAATATCTTCTGTTCGTATCCTGGATGCACAGACACACTCTCCACTTTGATGGCTTGTGTCGCTGGAGCACAGAAATAATCGCTGCAATCCGGACTACTACTGATGTCCCACTCACCAACTACTATAGTAGACCTTAGCAATTGAAATGAGCTTATTTAATTAAAAAAGCAATTGCTAGTATACATAAAATGATAATCAGAATTTGATATATAAATGAATAATTAATAGGGCAAAAGTTTAAATAACCAATTTAAAAAATGCATAAATTAAATTACATTGTATTATTAAATGGTTCTCACAATTTGTATCCTTCAGGTTTCGCCAAGGCACAATGCGCCGCTGTCAAAATAACCCGCTTCGCAATAATGGAGCCACTGCAAGCAAATCTTACGTTGCCCGTGTCTTTATCTATAAATATTTTTTTAAACATCGAATAATTAACATACTAATTTGGTGTAACTATCGATTATGATGTAAATTTTGTTACATCATAAACGATATAGTGTTATGAGTGGCGCCCTCCGTGCCGTACTCAATAATAAAATCCTTAGAATTATTTTTATAACTGATTATAATACTGAACAATTGTAATTTTGTACTGGCAACATATAATTGTCAACCTGTATTTGAAAAAAAAATATGAATAATAGCTTCAGCCGTTGTGTACTGCCAGGACATTATTGAAAGTAACGCTCAACATTAAGAATCAAATCTGGAACTATATCTCGAACAACATAAATTAATAATCTGTCTTAGAACTTGATACGATTGGTCTAAATTGTATTTTTATTTATATACATACTTGCAAATCCTATCCTAGCAACCCAAGGATGAGCTCCAATGCCACTGTAATCAATTCCTTGGACCATACTCTTCCCGCAGGATTCAGTTCCTGGAGCGTAAACTCGCCCACACTCACACGACGGGCAGCACACGTAATCCTCATTGTTAGCATTGCCACATGTTAAAGAATTCAGACGATGGAAATACCTGTTATATGGATTTTATAAATACGTTTCTAGGGTACTTAATAATAATCCACCAGTAAGTGGTTGAAACTCTTCATTCTATATTTTCTTCACGAATTCTTATTTAAGTATTTGACAACATTCCTTTAATTTTAAGATCATAATCACAAGACTTACATTATTATGACATTAGTGTCGGTCTTACAAATAATTTGTCTAATCATTCACACTGCCTTAATACTTGTACTTAATAAAAAAGAACCGAAAAAATAATTTATATTGATTGTAATTTATTTCATGATTGAGTTTTAATAAGAAAAGTTACTTTGTTTACAATAAAGCAATTAAAAAATATAAATTCAGTCATCTTCACCTACCGAAGCTTGCTTGTTTTCAAGCTGTAAAAGCCTCAATGTATGTGCTCAAAACATACATTGATAATTTTGGACCAGCGTCAATGTTATAAAAAAATATATATTTACCGATCGGATGAAAAGCACGAGAAATCTAATAGATCTTCTAACAATGGACACGAACTTATTGGGACACACGACATATTAACAGGACAGCGATTCTGCAAAAGAAATAAATATTTAAAATATCATAAAATTCGTAGAAATCAAATAAATTTCAACATCATTTATATCTTACGTGAGTACTCAAATCAATATCTGCCCGTGGATCCATATTGACACTTATGGATACAGCTGAAAATACGGTAAAATATATATTAAAATATGCCTAATTACATTGAAAAAAATATGCTACATATTTCCAAAAAACATATACATCATGATCGGCCTATCAGAGCCCACTGCTGAGCAAAGGCCTCTCACATGAAGAAGGTTATATAAAGAAGGTTATATAAATTAGTCAAAACCTAATGTAACATATAATATATTAAATCATATAATTATATATGTTTCATGATAAAAACTTTGTCGATTTTATGGTCATAGTTAGCGTGAGATAATCATAAAAAGCAGACAGATTTTTTTTATGTATGTAGGTATTATATAAACGAATGACCTTTAACTAAAACATATATTAATGTTTAGACCAATTTATAAGCGATGTAAACAAAAACTACACTTATTTCTCAAGAATTATATATATTCAAAATGAATTTTATAAGAATAATCTTAAAATAGGATTGCTAGGATACAAATGTTTAGTAATTTTTTTAAACTAGAGTATCAGTTTATAAAGTGTTTTTTTTTTTTTGTTAACATAAAGAAATCTATAAAGTAATATAATATATATAGTTATAACAAAACAATAATTTAGATTTGATAGTAAAATTTATTTTCTTTAAATTGACTAAAACTCTGACATCCAATCAGGTAGAAACGGGAGATGAAACGAGTGTAGATGGCACATTTTTAATGGAGATACAAATCAAATGGAGATACACTATTATCTATAATAATCGGCCCTGAATTAAATGCATTATGGTGTCATCAAAGTTATATGTGGGTTGCTACTGGATAAAATTATATGTAACATTAGGTATATACATACATACATAAAATACTTTTTCAAATAATAATACGTGCTACTTTAAATTAGATATTAGACAAAATAAGACATTAAAAAATATATTCGTAAAAAAATAAACTGTTATTACTTACTTCCAAACTGTGCATTAACTGTTAATTTTAAAATACTTAAACATAAACACGCGTATAGTTTGATCATTTTGTATTATGTTATCACAATATCACTGTTAATATATTTATTAAATATTTTTACATATAATTATAAATTAAATTGTGTGTAAACATGTATATATAAAACGAGATGTTTGTTATTCCACGGCACCATGATAGCGAAATGACACGCAACAAAGCCTCCGTTTCGACCGACGTGATTCAGAGATGTTAAACATTTTTTATTTCATATACATATTAATATAAAATTGTTTTGTCTGAGTGATTTTACAAATCAAAATTAATTTTTAGTACTCTTTTAATGTTTCATTTGATATTATTGTTATTTCTGCTTTTCCTAAGCGTTTGACACCTTATAAAATGTGTGTGCGTATTATCAAATTTTCGATTATTAAAAAAATATACATAATATGTTTTCTGATTACTGACTATTTTTTATTTATGTTTGACTATAGTTTATAAAGGTTAGTATTGTTCATGTAATAATCGACAAATAGTAATAAATTGTATCAGTAAAGCTATGTAAGTCAGTAAGTGAATACACAATTACATATCAGTTACATAAATTATAACAAATTAATGTATTTATTGTGAGATTCTAGTAATTTACTTGTTATAGATAGTTTTCTACTCCTGAATCTGTGATTCACCGCTACACACGCTTACTTTAGATTTGTTAGACATATTGGCTGCTATTAGTAACATCGGTTACAAAACTTTAATGAAACGAGACTTAATTATAGATAAAATAAATTACATTAATTTAAAATTTTTCAATAAATTAATAACAAACTTAACAGAAATTTAGTCCTTTTAGTTTAATAGTATATACTAAATTAAATATAAAATATATACAGAGAAACAATCATGAGAAGTATTCCTTGTTTAATCAAAAATATGATAAAGATATGAAAACAAAATTAAATTAATAATAATAAGTTTTGTTATTTCGTCGTGATGATACTCACAACAATTATTTCCTATTCATTATGTAGTTGAGAAGTTTTGTTAGGTTTTTATAGCAACGAGTCCTATTAATTTGATAATACGTTTTAATTCACATTCAAACTATAGATTCATAAAAAAAAATGAATACAACACAACGATCGAACCGTGGCCGCTAATCTTGAGGGAAAATCAGTTTTTTTATCTTGTTTCCTTTGTTAAGGCTGTTTTTACACTACCAAATGTCATTCACACTGGGTGACTGGACGGCGGTACAATAATAAAAACTATTTAAAACGGTCTTATTACTGTCGCATTCCTTTGAAATGTAATGAAATACGTAGTTTTTTTTCTATAGTAATTATACATATTATTCCACTGATTTATAGAAATCCAATCTAAGATGCTTAACGAAATTTCTATCTATTAAAACATTTACAATAAAAAAAAAATTAATAAATTTTAATAGTTGTATACATATGTATTGAAATTCACAAAACATCCGCATAGTTCAAAATCATACAATAAAACTGTGATGGTAATTTACATTGTGTTACTAAGCACTTCCTAATCTAACAAAATGTCATTATACATAATTACACTCTCACTTGAATATAATAAGCTAACTGTTTTCTATTATGAAAACGATATGTGCGAATTTTGTATAATAGCCATAAAAATCCATTTAAACTATTCGTTAATCTACTGTTAGTGTAAAACCTTTATCAATGAGCAAAAAGTTAGGCGCAATAAATACTCTTTAGACAAACTTCTTTTTGTTTATATAAATTATAAAGAAGAAAATCAAATAAATTAAAACTGAAGCTTTCACAATGAATGACCATGGCTACATATTACTTTAATTTTCTTTAAAATCTTCAACCAAAAATTCAACTATCTACAATAAAGTCATGGCTTTACGAAAATAAATAAAATTTTAAAATCTCATTGAATCTAATAGGGATGTTTCATACTCATGGATACCACAACATTTCTGATATGAAATTGACGAACAGTGCATCAGATCAAAATGTCTACTTCACATACGTGTGCCTGATCAATGAAGTAAATCCATCTTTTAGCAAAAACGATAATGGGATGAATTCAACGGACCACGGACAAGACCCACCATCGATCCGTACTATTGAAGCGGACGATGAAGATGTATGTATAACGGAGATGTTCATTTTTTTATCTTTTAGATATGCATCAATAACTTGTATGTGCTAATATTTTTTTATAAGCTATTGTAACATATTTTTCAGGATGAGAAAAATGCTTCCATAAAAGTAGAGAGATCAAAAGCATTACACGAACTTGTAGAATCCCATCGCCACGAATATCACCAAGGAAACAAATATAATGCATCTCCTAAGGTAACATTTAATTATAATACTAATATGTAGTATATTAATAATTGAACAAAATAAGAAGGAATTGAGATATAACAGTGTATAATTGTTAATTATTCTTTTAACGAATCCAATTAACATTCTAAAGTCCGTTAATAATCATATTTTCATAATTTAAATGTTTGGCATATCTCACAGTATTACTAATTTTGAATTAAATTTTATATTTTGGTGTGTTAGTTACATTACTCGCCAATTTTTACAGTTAAATAGATTTGATGAGGACAGCGAACCATCTGATGATGAAGAATGCAGAGACTTTCCAAATCCAAAGCAGTTGAAATTGACAAAGATGAAATGGCTGAGCGAGGGTCGGGAAGGATCAATGGATTCCAGGTTTTCGTACATTTATGAGTATTAGTATATACTTTTAGTAGTTTTGAAGCCTGGTATAAGTATTAATAGCGGCAGTTGTCGGTTTGAATACACACGATGTCCTTCCAGAAATGTAAACGCCATAACCGGCGCTAGTGTAGGGAAAAGAAGACGACGTTCTCGCTTAAATGGAACTTAAAACGTGCGGTATGATGTAGTAAAGGAAATATCCAACTCTAATCTCTAGAGTATAGATATTAGTTCATGCATTTCTTGTTTACTACGTACTTCTATAATAATTTTCTGTTTCAGTTCGCCATCAATATCGCCATTCTATTCAAGCAGCTCCCTGGACAGCAGAGAATCGGATGATGTTATAGGTCAACAAATGAGTTTTGGAGAAAAATGTCTATCGACGATTCTCAAATTAGACCGAGAACACAATATGTTTGGTTTATCAAATATAGCTATTGTGGGAAAGAAAATATCTAAAAAAAATCGCAAAGAAGATGATAAACCTGTATTCCCGCAAACAGCAATAATTCAGATTTGTTGTGGAAAGAAATGCTGCAGATACAGAGTATTCTATCATTCTATATAAAGATTCCAATATTTAATCTTTCCCAACGAATTTTAATTCACGTAATCTTTTTGTTTTAGAGTAATACTGATCTACCTTCATCTTTAAAAGTAAGATCACTTAATATTGTTAATCTTTAAGCTTTTCATTTAATAATTGTTAGATTTACGTAAGTGTAATATTCGTTTTTTAGTGTGGGGGTTGCCGAAGTTGCTGTTTTGATCCGTGCTGCGCTACTTGCAGACCGACTTGTAGAACGCCTTGCAGACCAATCTGCAAACCCGTTTGCAAACCCGTTTGTAAACCAGTTTGCAAACCAATTTGCAGACCAATTTGCAGACCAAGTTGTAGACCACTTTGCAGACCCATTTGCAAACCAATTTGCAAGCCAATTTGCAAGCCAGTTTGCAAGCCAATTTGCAGACCAACATGCAAACCAATTTGTAAACTTATTTGTGTATGCTATTCAATAATATAAGAAATATTTCCTTAGTATATAAATAATATTTTTAATAACATAATTTGTTTCAGGAAGATCAACCATGTATAGGGACGGTAAAAAAGATTACATTATTATATATTGTTACTTTACAATGCCTTATGACCAGAACATAAATATTAACACCAATATAATCAAACTATTTTTTTCAGTGCTATCAATGCCCAAAAGAAAAATGTTGCTGCCAGGTATAAAAACAATCCATAACGTTTCTTAGTATTTAATTAAACCAATTTTTAAAATAATTTATTACGTTATAGACATGTCAACCATCTAATTGTAGAGTAGACTGTTCTTCATGTTATGGAATGAAGGTATAATGCAAGCAAAAACACCAAAAGTATAAGTATTTAAACAACTTTTACATATGTTTTCCGTATAAAAATCGGTATTACCTAATTTTTAAGCACAAATTTTCATTTATTTTTCATGATATATTCATGTTTCAGATTACTTATAAAAAGAAGCCGACATTTGAACCATCACCAGTAAGTAATATGGAACTTGGCCGGCGCACTACCGTGCGCTTAGATACCGTGATCCAAAATTAAAGTACATAAGTACGAAGTATAAACTAGGATGATGACTTAAGAATAATAACTGAGAATTATTTGTTTCAGTGTGAACTAACGCCACGATCTAGTTGTATTCTCCAAATAGTAAATATATATTTTCATACCTAGTACTTATGTATTTATGATAAAGACTATATTTTAATTTTTTTATCAAACAGCCAATGGTCGCCCGTTATTGTACTCACGTACCTCTATGTGTGCCACCTTCGTCATGCTTTCCTTACCTGATGCCCTGTTATTGGCCGTCACGTGCAGGAGCTCCATGTAATAACCCCACACAATGCTTTCACAACCCACCTTGCAGAGGACCTCGAAGGAGGAAGACTTGTAGACCCATAGAAGAAACATGTCCACCGGTATTATTTGACACATTTCACAATTTTAACCATATTCTTTTTCATTACAGTATTGGATTTTTTTTAATTTTCTTTTACTTATTTTCAGTCTGGGAAATGTAAAGAAGGATCTGACGATGCAAAATGCCCGAATGCAACATGTCCAGGAGTACGTTTATATATGATAATGTATTGAATTCATTCCATCGTATATTTAATACAATTATAATCTTTATTTTTTTTTATAGAATAACCCAGCCATGAAAGAAGCCATAGAAAGCAGATTTGGTTCAAAAAAATAGATCAACATGGATAAATGTTCAGAATGCCACGGGTCTTGTTCGTGTTTACAGGTATTTTTCTTCAAAGAAAAAATATCATTATACAGAGATATTACTTCAAACTTACTTGCGAGGTGAATTTACTGAAACTAGACTGAGAAAAGAAACTAAATTTCATACTACTTAAACAACTACTTTACTTTATACTAACATTGATAGAAAGATTAACTTATATTTTTATATCCCAGAATATTAGTTGAAATCTTTAAGATCATCCTCGAGTACTTGATACGCTACCTACGCCCCCTCCCCCCTCCTCCCATACAGAACTAGTTCTGTATTTGTATCAAGTATTGTACATTTAATTTACAACCTTTTTACAGGCTGTTTCATTGGAGAATATATTTAAAGGGAGGAAGACCAAAGAGGTAATTCGATTAAATATATGTATGAATAATAATGTCAGCGCAAGTAATATTTAATGATAAAATTTGTTTATAGAGAAAAAATAAAACATTTAAATGCGAATGCAACTCTCCAAAATGTTCAAAATGTTTCGTTCATAGACCAAACGAGGTAATTCTGGAAAAGAAGACATAATTAACTCTGGTTATTAATCGTCATTTTAAAAATCAACTCCATATGTTACAGACAAACAACAACAATAAATGTGAAAACTGCTTACAGAGAAAATCGACGTAGGTATACATTTTATCAAATATCCGCGTCACTTTTATTTCTTGGAGTCCGAAGTATATATATTCCTTAAAGGTAATTCAAGAAATTACTTTTAACTTGCAATTTTCGTTTAAATAATTAATTCTATGGTTGATTAGCAGGTTAAGCCATGACGAAGGTACAAACAAGAAAATAGTGAGCATCCATCTGTAAATTCAAGTATAAAGAAATAAAAGTCGATAATTGTCGATCATGACATTGTTTTATTTATATTTTGAAAGGAAAATAAAATTTTATAAAGAATTATCCTTCGATACGACTAATCTCTGAACACATTTCTTGTGAGGTTTCTGACTGTGTTTTAACTGGTCAATCACAGTGTAGGGAGGAGTGCCTTGAGCAATATGACAATAGTCGCTGCAGTACATAAACGGTGCTATATTGGTCTGCCAAACATTAGGCGGGAAAGGAGCCAAGTCAAACGATTCACCATGATCCCATGATGCTAGTGACGATGAAGCATATGGGTTTCTATATTTCTTCTTCATTTCTGATTCGAAAACCCTATAAATACAATACAATGAAATATGCTTCTTAATGGCATAAAAACAGAGCTAATGAATGTATTTTTACGACTGTTAATTACTGAAAAATTTACCCTTTTATATTATTGACGGGATTGTGACAAGCAGAAACTTCTTTATATTCTTTTTTAACATGTATTCTATCATATACTGATCTATGCACCTTTCCAGTTAATGGCATCCATATTTCTTTATACCTTGGACCAAAACCTTTGACCTATAGATATTTTATAATTAGGTAAATATCAGGATTTGAAATAAAAGTCACACCATGAATGTTATACCTTAGGTAAATTCAACTCGGAATATAGAGTAATATGGTCTTTAGCTCCGATTCCGTATTGATCTTCGACAGTAAAGGGTTTGTGGTAAGCTTTATTTGTGGAGACATATGGATCGAGCAGTCTACGAAATCCACCAGCACTATTCGGTATTACAGGAGCTTCGTTTCTACCTGATGCCACCACCTACATATGTTATAGTCTTTAAAGTAAAACTGCTCAGAAATCGTCTTATTATCACCATTAAACTAATTTAAACTTGTACATACGTCAAAGATATATTCAGTATCAGGTGGTTTAATGATAATTTCTTGTGGCGCTGTAGGAGTTTTTGTAAGTCCTCTGAAATTGTCCTTCATCTCAGATATCATGGTAGGTTGAACTATATTTTTGCTTTGCAACTGGTGTGATAAAAAAAACATTATTTTTCAACAATTTGTTATGAACAAAGTTTATGTATATTTGTTGCAATTAAAGACAGTTTTACAGAGAAATTATAATTTTGAAGAAAATTTATTAAATGGTAATGTTTGGAAAAATCATTGAGTAATAGCTATTATCCAGTTATATGACACTGATGTATTTACCCGTTTTTCTACTCCAGTCATGAAAATAACTCTTCGGCAATTAATAGCGCAGTCAGAACGTTCCATGGCTTTATTAGGATTGGGCTTCACACAATATTCCCCGGTGGTTGTTTTGTACGACTCTTTTTCAACCACCATATCACGTCCGGTAACTCTTTCTGGCAGAGGATTATCTATTTTCTGTAAGAAACTGATACTTAGCGATATAACACTATAAATTGTATCAGGAAACTTTCTTAATTATTATTTTTTGAGTTCATTCATTTAGAAATAAGTTTTTTTTATTTCAATGGCGGTAAACTAGCAGATTGCCAACTTGATATAAGGTAGTTACAATAGCCCATGGATATTTGCAACATAAGGTATGCTGCAGATGCATAGCCGACCTTAACTATGGCAGAGGAAGAGGAAACAATAGGAAATAGGAAAAGGGAACCGGCAACAAGGTCTCTCACTCATCGAACGAAACGCAGCCATTAAAAAGATTTCACGCCGATCTTCTGTGAGAGGCTGGAACTTCTCCGTTCGAGCTAAAGTTGCTTGATCACAGTTAAGCCCAACCACCTTACAAAAGAATATAGTAGAAGTAATCACATACACAATCCAAGCTATGAGGTATTGCAGGTATATGTCGATGAGCAATATTAGTGCCAGTTCTTGTTTCAGTGTTAGAATGCCGTAATGGTATATTGTACTGCACATTGCCCCATGTGTTAACATTTTGTATCAAAAGTTCGTTGAGGACGAGGGGTTTACAACTTTGAGTCATTGTTATTTTATTTTTGGGTAAAAATTGATAAAAAATAAAATGTCAAAATAAATCAAATAATATACTTTGACGTTGTCATAACAGTGATCATAATAGTATCGTTATAAAATTTGGAGTGAGTGAGTAAGGAGCTAAAGTAACTATAGAGGTAAGAGCCACTGCAATCAGCTCTTAAACAAAAACATGGTTAAACTAGTTTGTTTAAATTTTATTTCCTATAAAATGTTAAACTATTTGATGTCTTTATATTATACAAAATTAAAAAATTTATTTACGAATGTTGCTAGTAAAACATCCACCGAATTAAATAGCCTAAGAAAAATCCAAAACAACTTTGAATTGTATACTCTAACAGAACATAAAAAATAACAATAAACTTATTAGAATTAACTTCAACGACAACTTTAGAAAGATTGTAGAAGTATTAGGAATTAATATCACCTAAGAAAAGTTTAAATCTCTATTTAAAATACATATTATAACGACTGCTTTGTTATATTTCATTCAATTTCTAAGTAATCTCCCCGAATAAATCCCTAATAAAAATATCATTTATTCAAAAACCAACATAAAGAGTATTTATTAACAACAACAACATAAAATTTATTGAAAACGAAAATTTTAAAAGATCGTAGATAACATTTTAGTCATAGTCTTCCTTCGTTTTCTAAATACTGGATGTTTGTCAACATCGTGGGCGTAGTCCGTCGTCTGCCACGGCTGTAAATACATCGGCAGTAGAATATCGTTTTCTGATAGCCATTTAATAACATAGTCAGTAATGGCTTCGTAATACGGTGACTTTTCGAATCTGGATCGAATCTTGGACTTTGTCCTTAGTTTGCAAGACTGTAAAAGATATTTTTTATATTAAGTAATAATCTATCTGCTTATTGTATAATAGAAATATGATAATTTTTGTTTATCATGTAAAACTATTAAAGCAATATCACAATCCAACCTGATTGCTTATGCTGTCACCAATATTCCTAACAGTTTCAGCAAGAGGGTCACCTTGACTCTGTCCCTAGATATAAATATCAATGTTAAACGAATTATTTAATCGTTTTATTATCAAATTCATATAAAAGTATATGACGAGACATAAATTACAACCTTTGGAATAACTTCCTTAACCATCGCAAACAATTCATCAACCTGATCATGATATAAGAAATATGCCCATGGCGCTCGAAAGAATTCATAGAAATTGTCCAACTTTTTTGTCTGAAATGTATTTTGAATATTTATTATTTTCTCATTAACTTACTTTATCAAATATTTATAAGAGTTTTTCTCTAACCGTGTAACGTAAGTGTACGTTATTAAGAACAGTTGCTGACAGACCGTAAAGGTTTTTGAAATTATCCAAAGAATGTTTATCCATGGACAAACAAGTTATACCGTCTACAATAAATTCGCTGGTAAAATGGAGCTTAAAATATCCATCTTTAAAAGTCTCCATTAAGTAACCCTACAAAGATAAAACGCTATCAGGTCAGAACAGTTTATGGAACAAAATATCAAATAAAAATTACATTAAAACGTACATTATACTCTAAAGACTGTACATAATAATGTGGTAATTTTTTTCCCGGAGGACATACTTCTAAGTACTGTAGCCCTCCAGGTAAATAACAATGCAATACAAGAGGTTTCTTAAATTGAGGTAGGTCAGGACATACTTCAATATCTCGAGATTCCCGACTGAAAAATCTAGGAATGTAAAACCATTTTGTATATACGAATTCATTTGAAATGTTTGTATTACTAACGATCCGCAACTATTAAACGACGTGTTCCCTATAGAGGTTTCATCAAAACTGACATTTTTTAATGAGTTTCGAGGAAATTTTTCCGAATTCTTTACTTCTGTAAGCAGTGGGTCTAATTTGTTTCTTATTTGATTGCCCAACTAAAACACGACATAGATATTAGAGTATTATAAATTTACGGAGATCATATTCAAAAATATGTTGAATTACCGTCATTCCCACTTCATACGCATCGTAATATTTTTGTCTTTTGTTCTCTGCTTGGTATTTTCTATAATACTTCGTGACCGATCCCGCTGCGTATATCGAAGGATCTTTTGTTTTGAACTCATGATCTATGAGTATACCTCCATCGTAAGCCATGCCGCTTTTATTAATAGCTTTAAAAATATTGTAAGGGACTTCTCTTAACATTTACTTCACCAAGTTCACATAATTATGTTTACATTTTTTCGATTATATTGAATTAAATTTAAAGTTATCTACCAATAAATGCACTTTCGTTGACGCCTCGAATCCCATAGTAAAAGAAGACGGAACATTTCAATCTTAAGCGATTGAAATGAGACATGAAATCTACATGTGTGACCAAATCATTAGCATCCATATGCCAACGTTGAAAGTAATATGATCTATATATCTTTATATTCAAACTTCTGATCATCTCGTTAACTGATTTATCAACCTTTAATTAAACAGATATAAAAATTATTGAAGAAAAATAACAAATATTTTTATTAGACTTACGTAAACATTGCAAAACAAGGAGACGCGTGTTTTTCTCGAATCGTTTGATGGAAAAGGTTCGACGTAAATGATGTTTTTTCCAGAAATTTTCATTTCAATTAACGACGCCAAACAGCAGTATGCATGTGTGTTTGCGCCGTATACTATAATTTTATCTGAAAAACAGTAAAATAACATATTTTAATGACATAGAAATATTTTTATTATGAATAAAACATTGTGAAACTCTAGTGAAACAAATACGAAATTTTAAGTACTTGTTGAAAAAGATTAGTAATTCAATAGGTGTAACATTATATTATTTCAGCTAAAATCTCATCATTTAATATAGAAAAGGCATTTAGTTTCAACCGTCTTTTCATTGGTACATAAAACTTAAACCAATAAAAATATTAAAGTATTTATAGCATGCTGACCATAAAAGGCATTTTTTTATATACTAAAAGAACTTACAATCCATATCTTGCCACATGAATAATTTAACAAAATTTAGAGCTCTGTTAGCATCATGTATACTGTTTACAATGAAAACATTAGACGGTGTAAAGTTGCTAACGATTGGCTCCGGATTAGATTGAGGAATATCCAAACGAGTGTACAAAGGAATTTCACCTCTCCTGCAAAAAATATTCACGTAAAAACATAATAATGATATATGTATATTATTTTTAAATGAAACTAATGTTTTTCGAAATACTACGCGAATTTATTTATTCACATCTCGTCTGCCCGTGATCATAGTTGCTGCAAAGTAGCCGAAACGTCGGGAGTATGTAGTTTTTTACAAATATAAAGTCGCGTAGTATGATGTGAAAAATATTAGTTTCATTTAAAATTTAAATAAATAAAACTCGCGAAAATCTTAGATCTCATTATGATATTTTGTTTCTTATTTACCAACCGTTTTAATTTTTCTGTATATAATATATTCTTCAAATAATCTGGATGCTGATACTGTTTCCCGAATAATAGAAACAGGAGATCGTAATGTAAGCTCCCACCGGTAGATGTCGTTATATATTTTTGTTTTCTAAAATATTTATCAACTATAATAACATCTTCAATATACTTACTATAGACGAAAATTATAAAGCTTTTTGTCTCTTTAGTTTTTATTATTTATATCAATTTAATTTGATAAGTAGGACTAAGCATAAAGAGTAACTAGTATGGGTCAACTACTTTGACGTGTTTGTACGTTAAGCCTGTCTGTTTACCATAATTCAGTTTTTTATTATATTCTATTCTATACGTTCTAAAATATCAAACATGTTAGGTATTTACATTACAATAGTCCCATCGTCGCTTAAATAAAACATAGGTCCTGTGATAATTTTATAGCAATTTGTTGTTACATAGAATTAAATAGAATTAACTCTTACTTGTTTATGTCGATTAAGTAACCCTGTACGACGTTCACGTAATAAGTATAAGGCATACTTTTCAAATATTTATCTGAATTCAAGCGATATTTCTCGAACATCATCTCCGATGTATGTTTCGTCCGTCTCGCATAAGGCAAGCCGTCGGGCGAAACTAGTGTTACATTAGTGAAGAATAAATAGGAACTTGAGTCGCTGGAATTATACACAAAGTTTGGTTATATTTACAATATTATGTAGGACAGAACAAAAGGTAAAGATATATTAAGGTTTATGTCTAAAAATCACCTAAAAATTAATGTGTTTAAAAAAGACATAGCTGTTCTAGAAGCGCCGACGACTACTATTCGTGTGTCAACATTAGTCCTCGCGATGCTTGTATACTTGTTACTTATAAACCACGAACTAAACGCCACCCTGCAGTTGAAAACAACAATCTATTTAGAACAGAATAATATAATACATACAATAGTATATAAACATAACAGAATATAATACATAATATAATGAAGTAAGTATAGTCCTGAACCAACAAAAATTATCAACAAAAAAGTTTGTTTAATTTATGTCGAATATTAAATTATACAGAACAAAGATTCCCTCCAAATGCTTAGGACGGAGAGAGAGAGAAATTTTATAAGAATTTGAAATGTTACTTTTTAATATTTTCACTACTAATGCTTATTACTAAGGACCAGAATAATTAGTTCTGAAACATATATTTATGATAAATATTACTTAAATTTTGCTATAAAACTCTAGTCTGAGTTACAATTGAAGTTATTTTCTTTTAACAATGTTAACATAAAGAAAACATTTTACACAGTCTTTGAAAGATTGCGGATTCTTCTTAATTCTGGTACAGATGTACAGTCGATCTCTGTCGGTCTTGGTGTGAGAGGTATCATTGCTCCAGCCAAGGAATTCGCTTTATGTGTTACCTGAAATTCATAACGTTCTTATTTAAACCTCTATGATTACTTTAATAATGTAGGAATTATTATGAGACTTCGCATTATTATCAAGTTTAAGATGATAGCAATATAAGTAGTTTATTATAAAACGAAATTCAAAAACAAATTAAATAGAATATTACATACGAGAAAAACTAAATTAATAAGTTATAAAATTAAATACTGATATGTACATATTTACAGTTTTCTTTTTGCTCAAATTTATTAATAAGATTGAGATCTAAGACTTTTGAGATGTTCATTTAAATGAAACTAATATTTTTTGATTTTACAACTTTGCAGCAACGTGACCGAAACGTCGGGAGTATATTATAGTTTTTAAAAATGATAAAATACGAGTATTTATCTGAAAATATTTGTTTAACTTATTGATAAGAAATATAAATATACAAATAATACACATAATTTACCCATTTATTCTTATACGCAGTTAACCACAGAAGTGAATTATTCCCTGATAGTCTCAACAATTCTCTTGCAAAGAATCTATAATGCGGTTCAAATACCGAATAAACTACAATAGCCTTTAGTGTCACAAAACCAGCATTTTTGCCCGCTTGTATGTGATACTTATGAAGTCTTAGTGAGTCTAAATTAAACTTAGATCGCATGAATTCTATTTGTTCTGGTTGTCTGTAAATGAAGTTTTATTTCAACGATTATTTGTTTACCTTAATAATTTATATAACAAAGTTGGCTGTGGAACCTTACTCTAAAATACCAACTCCTATTAAAGCGGTACCACTCATAAACACAAAACATTCCAAGCGATTTTTATTTAATATAGTATTTTCAACCGTCCATATTGTTTCTTTACCGTCTAAGCTTTGCAATAAATGTGATACTTGGGGAATATCCATTACTTCGGCTTTACGAGCTCGGATTTTCCTAATATAAAGACTTTATGTGAAACATGAATCGATTTTGCATAAAAGCTACTAATGAGAAATAAATCACCCGAATACGGAATTTCGATGCGCTATGTACAACGCGTATTTACAGCTTGCATTATCCTTTGTGGGAACGAACTGAGAAAGTTAAAATAATCACATTTAGCCTTCAGTATTAAGTAAAGACATCAAAATATATGAAAACAGTTTAAAAACTCACACAAAAATGTTGTAACAAAGCAAAACTTGGTTCATCGCATGGAGTTCGTATTATGCAATAATCAAAATTCTTGTTTATTTCAAAGGCTGCTTCTAATAAATTAATGGATTGCCTGCAAGAAAACTTCTGTTAATGCCTTCTTCTTCAAATTAAATGTTATTTTATCCTTCAGCGTAACTTAAAAAATATAATTACGCTTAAACTTATTCGATTTTATAGATATTTTATTTAAAAATGCAAAATTTTATTTCACCTGTCGTCGATGTCATCACGTAAACCAAACAGTTCGATAATAAAAGCATTTGGTCCTCCGTGATATTTTGGAACATGAACTTCTTTTATAGGACTGGGACTTTCATCTTTAATACAATTAAAATAAAGTTTAAATTTCAATGTCAAAACATTAAATATGATTACTATGAAAAATAATTACGTTGAATTTTAATTTGAGATTTACGCTCAGACGATGACTTGGATTCTTTCTTGTTTGAATCTGGAAGGAAGAACAACGAACTCGTCCTCCTAGGAGTGAAAAGCAGATAAAATCCGTGTTATTACAGTCTATAGAATTTTAATAATAAAAAAGGTATGGTGCGTTTGAATTAAGCTGAGCTTTGCATTTGTGTGAGTATACACGGATAGTGTAGGTGAGATGTCAAATTTTCGAATACCACGTTCTTTTCTAGTTTTGAACCGGTTTATACTGATTTTACTTCGCCCCGCACCTTCCCCACTTCACCCTTTGTACTGGTAGCAAAAGCAAATGTTGAAAACGCCATGTCAAGTGAAGAATAATTTGTATAGTTTTTAAAAAAAAATATTAATCATTAATTTTTTTTTGTATAATATTCATAATATTTCCATCTGTCCTTTTACAAGTTTTGCTTATTTTGCAGCACTTATGTTATGTATCTATTTAAAATATAATAAAATTTAATTCTAAAGTTGTTGCTTACTCTACTTTTACTTTCACTCACACAAAGGCAAAGCTCAGCTAAAGTCTAATACGGACTATACCTAAGTAAAATAATATATGAAATAAACTGATTTATATGTTATCCTAATAATATATAATTTTAATTACTCACATTAAATCACATGACAATCCCTCGGGTATTGTCAGTAATGTTTTATCTATATTAACGATCTCGTACTCAAAAGCATCGTCGTCTAAGAAGAAATTCATAATCGATGGATTAGTTGCTACTGAAAGCGACGGAGAATTAATTTCCTTCTCGCTGAAATCCTCGGACGTATTCGGATAATAGAAATGTTCGAAACTTCGTTTTGTCATGCCTTCCGAATCGAAATTTACTTTACTAGCAGATTTGGAACGTTTACTGCTTTTATCTTTATATTTTGACTGCAAAACCGACAAAAAAACATGATAGTTGGTTAACAATCATGAATAAATTATTAATTTTGTACATATCATCAAGTCCTTAGCGTCTTATAAACAAATAAAAGTTTTTTCTAATTAAATGAATGTCGATTGTCTTACATCAACATGTACAGTATTTGTATTATCACGGAACGGACTCCACTTGCCGCGCATTATAGGATCTCTATATTAATAAAACAATAAATTGTAATCATCTTTACATTAACAAAAAATAATTTAAAGTATACTTAATTATTAAATTTTTAAACGTACCCAAATATATCTAGAAGCATATTTGCTCGTTTATACTTCTCCTTTTCTAGAGGTGTAGATTTTCTTAATCCATGAAAAGGAGTTAGATCATAGGTTTTTTGAAGCATTTCATAATTAATTTCAGTATTCAAACACATTACACCGACGGCGTGATCTTGATACTGTTTTAAGAGTTCAAAATATTATTTTTGTACATAAGTATTGGCAACATTTTACTTGTATTAGATAAAATTTTATTTCTATCAAAATTCCTTTACCTCAGCCACGATAATTTTTCTATTCATCTCTGGATGACATCCAATAATTTCGCTGATGTAATAATCGCCATATTCATCTTGCAATCTCGGACAGTTATTACCGAGTAGCTTTACTATATCATCATTATCTTCTTCTCTATAAAAAGTTAGTTGATTTACACAACCTTAATAAATATTTACGAAGTTGCGTTACACACAAAATATATATCGGATAAAATCATTATTAGGAACTTCTTCCGTCTTCCTTAATATATGTACTATCCACCCATATTTTTTGAGATATAAAAATTACTTTAAGTGGGCAGTTCTACTTTTTTTCCGAAAACGATGACTTTAAACGTAAAAAAAATTGTAATTTTGTGAATTAATTAAGACGATACTGACATCGAATATTAAAATTAAATAATAATAATCCTAGAAATGACAATTTTATCAATATTTTTACTAAATACTCACACGGCGCGACGTATTTTTAGCTTCGGACAAAATTCTTTACGTATTGCAGTAAACATATATAGAGAATTATCAACGTCGTAATCAGAAATAGGTTTGTATTTATAAATATTATGTTTAGTGAAAGTTTTGTATCTTTTTGTCCAACCTAAAACACGGGAATACTTTTTAACTTAGTGCAGCTAAAGGAGAATACGAAGTGAGGGTTAAAAAAGGTAGACCATAAATTAAATAAGTTTCAAAAAGGTGGACTTACGAGGCGGCACTTTTCTATCGCATATATGCGTATGACTTTGAAGTATATTTTTATAAAGAATAACATCAATCCTCGAATAAACATAAAGTACAGGAATTTAAAACGTAAGCATTGAGTACCTACTTTCTCTCAACCCTCAGTTTTGCAAAAGATATTTCAAAATGGTTTAAAGCTTTTTTTAGTAATTTCGTTTTTTAGTAATTTCCTCTTTATTATTTTTTCTTTCACTTTAGATTTTATAGAGAATGATTAGAACATCATATAATATAAGGAATACAAATCGGCATAGTACTATGCTTTAAACGTTTCTCCTCCAGTTTTTTTAAATCAAGTTAACGAATGTTTGAACAAAAGAGATATTCCGGAACATTGTTAATGACGTCATGTGATATTCACGAATTGGTAATTCTATATATATTGAGCTGTTTCCCTAAGGATAATTTTTAATGGCAGCCCGTTGTCTGGCGGAGTTAAAAAATACGTATACTTCAAAAATATTTGAAAATATCCGTTTCCGGTTGCACCGCACTCCGCAGCCATAATGTTGATGATTCACGAATACTATTATTTTAGATTAAACAAAATCATTCTACATTTAAGTACACTATATAAAAACAGTTTTATGCCTATATTTTTTATGATTTGAAAAGGTAAAGGACATTTCGTCAATTCTGTAAGAGTAATGGGAACAAACCTTTCGGACAACCGGGTGGAATAAGAAGAACTATATTTATTAAATACACGTCGTTACGAAATACAGATACAAAAGCTTCTTCAAGGAAAACATCAGCCACAGAGTCTATACAACACATGAAGTGAATAAACAATGTGTTGCATGATAAATAGTATTTTCTGTAAAAAAAAATATTACATATTGTTTAATGCTTTACCTTATATAGCACTATTAAAGGAAGATTTTATTTTGATTTCTATAATGATTAGGTCGAGGTCACAATAATTGGACACCTGACTAAAAATACTACAAGACAAAAACAATGTTTACAGTTCTAACTTGATATGAATTCTTTAATTTATGGTACTCATACGTGTAATGCATTGCGCATTGTCTGTTCGTTTCTCAAAAAATTAACAGCATATTCTGCCAATGTCACGTAACAAGTAGATTCCTAAAAACACGCCTCTATTTCATTCTACTACATAACACAGTCGCATTTCCTCCGCACAGTACTCAAGAATATAATTCGTCCAACAAAGAAAAACGTTGACTTTGGCAGAATATTCCACGATTTTAGTTCGAATGAAGCCATAGCTTAATAAATTAGAAATCAAAGATCATGCTTTTCATGTATGTATATTAATTATGAATACTTACTGAAATAAATTACGCATCCATACTTCCCAATCAGACGGATCAACTGCGGGTACATTAGGATGATCGCTGAGAGCCATAAAACCTATCACCTCCTTGTTATCATTTATCATACATATTGATAATGATGAGAGTTCACTTTAATAAAAGATATTGAATTGAGATTAAGAAATCTTAATATTCTATTTTACTTTTAGCTTTAATTTATTATTTTTTTTATAGAAACTAACAGTTAAAAAACAGATTTTATCAAATATGTTAATAAAACATTATTTACAGAAAAACCCAACTCGTATTATACTATGTAAAGGCAAAAATATAAATTTTGTAATTTAAAGGCGATATCAGATACTACAAAAGTACCTCTAAATATCTTTAATCATGTTATTGTGTGACTTCAATGAAGAATAATGTAATAAAATATGACATGAATTGATAGCCTCTTCCTTTTTGAACCCATCTAATCGTAACAAATATGAAGCGTTACTTAGAGTACAATAGCTATCCAAAGATATTTACATTAAATCACCAATATCCGGTTTACCGAACAAACAGTCAGTATGTTCATGTTTTATTATAGATGTTACGTCGAACACATCACAATCAACAGCCCTTCTAAATCTAGTACCTTTACTTCCAACATTGAAATCGAAATATATAGACATGTTCACTAAAATAACAATGACTAACCAATATATCTAATAGGCCATGACTGAATGAAACCAGTAATAAACTATGAATAATATATTACAACCATAATTTACACATACAAATTACAAATTATATTAAAATTATCATATTATCGTGATTTTATAAAGCGAAATTCGTGCGTAACTTCAAACACATCAATACTGACCAGTATTAAGTACATCCCCAGTTTAATAAAGCTGCCAATTCACGAATCATTTGCTATCGGGGCCTTGGAAACGGTTTCAACCCAGTTGACACAACTAACATCGATTGAAATGTCTACTAAATAACCAAAATTAAATTATATTCAACTCAAAAAATACATAAAACCTTATCAAACTAAGTAAACAAACTAAAGTATTACTCGTAACATAATCTTTTAACAAATAAGATATCAATTAAATGTTAGCAAAATTTAAGAGATTCGTAATTAAGGACAAATAACTGAATTCAATCATAAAATATAATAATCGTCATATATGCGAACATTTTAATACTAACACGATATTTTAAATGTACATTTTGTATTAATATGCATGCATATGTACATGTTATATGAGAGGCGGTAGGTTTTTAACTCTGACCAAATGTGTGTGTGACTTAGAGCGGCTCACGCTGTTGGGGGTAGTTTTAACCGACATAGAAGACAAAGTGTTCTGTCTTTGTAAGTTAACTTTGTTAGCGCTAAGAGGTGCTCTTGGTGTTGCGAAACCGTCGTTATTTAACTTTAAAGCAGATCTTGTTAATCTGGTTGGTGTGTAAGGTAGATTGTTCTTTGGAGTGCTGAGCATTACGTGTTGTATGTTTTCTTTCCCTACTTTAGGGGTCAGTGGAGTTTTTTTTGGGGTTCCCTCACGATCTTCGGATGTTTGATAAACTATAACGGGTATGTTGACCTCTTGACCTCTGGTCGCCATAGAGCTACGACTGATTTGTTTCTCATTGATCTGATCCTGTTTAAATAACAATACATTAATTATAAATATTAAAATTTTATATCTGTAAATTTATAAAAAATATCTGTTTGTTACTTCAACAGAAACTTTTTTTGTAACTTCAATGAACCTATGATTTTGTTAGTTTTAATTATAATCATCAAAAAAATAGGTTTAAAATATATTTGCATATAAATGTATTAATGGTGATTAAATGCTAGCATTCTAACACAGTTCAGTCATTCTACTCATGATAAACTGTGTTAGAATTTTGTATCACTACAATGAGTAAATATTATGACTTCATTAACATTTCCAAATTCATAGATATGCTTTTTTTTATGCTTTAAGTCATGATTTACCTTAAAGTCTGTGTAAGTAGTAAGCAGCGTGGTTTCAACTAGTGGATCTCGTTCTTTCGAAGCCCCTGAAGATGTAGTGGCGTTGATAGAACGACGACCACTGCGACGGCGGCCGGCCGACTGTAATGTTATCAATATAATATGTTAATTTACTTCAAAATATATAAAGCGACATATAAACATATAAACATATAAAGATATATAAGTACACACATATAAAACTCGAAATATATGTTTTAGCACAGTCGATTACAAATATTAATAATCAATTGTTTTTTTAACTAAGCAGATAAATGTATCACATTTTTCTTCACTTCGTCTCAACGAAACTTAACTGCTAGGGGCCGTTCAAGTATTACGTAAGCAGATTTATTACAATTATTTACCCCTCCATCCCCCTTGTCAGCAAGAGTAAGCAAAGCTCTTACCCCCTCCCCCATGCTTACGTAAACATTTTCAATTACTATATATTTTTTTTAACATAAGTCCAGAAAAAAATTATAATTGTATTTTTTTATGGATCTACTCGATGTGACGATTAAAAATTAATAACTACCGATGACGTAATCGATACCTAGACTCCCCTAACCCCCATGTCATCCAAAATAAGCAAAGCAAAGACCCCCCCCCCCTCCACAGTGTTACGTAATACTTGAACGGCCCCTTATCAGTTCATTGAATAAAATGAATACATTTATCACAGAAATTTAACTACCGGAGTTATCCCTACTAATATTATAAACGCGAAAGTAACTCTGTCTGTCTGTCTGTTACGCTTTCACGCCTAAACCACTGAACTGATTTTAATGAAATTTGGTATAGAGATAGAGTTGACCTTGAAAAAGAACATAGGATAGTTTTTATCAAAGACTTTTGAGAGGTTCTCTTGGAAACGCGATATAACCGAACTCTACGCGGGCGAAGCTGCGGGCGGAAAGCTAGTATGTTATACATATATAAAGCATTATAAGATATTTTGTATATGTTCTTTGGTCTATAATATAGTGTGTAGTACATACGGCACGCTTGTGTTTGAGTATGCTGCCGTTGACGGTAGCTTTAGGTGTCCTTTTTCCTTCTCCGTAGTCGAGTTTCCTCTTAGCGTGATCACCTTTACTATCCACAACAGCTCTGGCCGCTAAACGACCACTAATACGCCTGGAATTATATATTTTATATAAAGTTACATAAAAGAAGATATTTCAAGAACAGTAAATAATATTCAATGTTCGACACTATAAAATATGTAAACTTGTTACATTATATAAGGAGCGTTAAAAATCTTGTGCGAAGATTTATAAACAAAAAACTGGAATAAATACGTTTTTAGTTTCATGTGGAAACTTGTAGTAAGGGTAAATGATTTCAACGATCTCATATCCCGGGATAAGTAGAATCGAATTCCTCATTGGATAATATTTGAGTTTAAAACCATTTAAAATTGCTATACTAAACTACAAAGTAATATAAATTTATCGTAAATAATACATTCTATTATTGCCAAAATAAATAACTATTAATTAATAGAACCTTCTGTACTACTAATATTTAAAAAATAATACTAACAAAAAATATAAAGCTACAAAGATACATTAACAACTAACTACTTATCGTACATATTACGGATAATCTAATTAATTAACTTTCAAGACAAATCGACATGAATCAAAGTTAATTGTTCACGTTAAATATAAAACAACAATAATTCTCATTCCCTCTACAGTTATGTAACACTACGGTCGCAATTCACTTGCCTGTGTGATGTAATGCCTTAAAAACGCGCGCTGAAACGGTAGAAGGGATGCTAATTATTGTTTATCGCCATATAATTAGCATATAGCAAGCGTTGCACCAATTTTAATAATATTTAACTAATTTTAATAATTTTTGTACTAAATTCCACAATAAATCATGAAAATACAGGGTGACTGGTGAATTACTATCGATACTTGAGGACGTGATATTTAACGATCATGTATGACAAAATAAAAGTTAATATAACATAAATGTTAATAAACTTCTAAGTAAAGTTAACCAAAAGTTATGTAATTAATTACGCATCGTGTGAACACCCTACAGATTAGGTATACACACACACACACACATACGCGTTTGGCGGCGTGGTGTTGTATCAGCACGCCGCCGCACGCGTCCACACTTGGAACGCTTGGAACGTGTCAACACTTTATTTATTCATACGGAAATTTGGTCAAAAATTAAGTACCTATTTTTTTTTTACATAATTCGAATGAAAATCATGTACCGAGTATTCTCCTTAAATATTGATAGTAATTCACCAGTCACCCTGTATATAGGGTTAAACAATTAACTTACTAATTCTAGTTAAACATACTTTTATATATGTTAAAATAATATAATTAAGGCTATTATAGACTTATGAGAAAAAATTTGAATTCAATAGACTTTACTGTCAAAATAATTTAAAAATCGGATTCCGGAATTTCAGAATAGGTATAGAAATCTTAATAACATATATGGCATTGACCTAGCAAATTATCTTTTAACCCTTATTATCCGTACTAATATTATAAATACGAAAGTAACTCTCTGTCTGTCTGTTACGCTTTCACGCCTAAACGCCTGATTTTAATGAAATTTGATACAGAGATAGAGTTGACCTTGAGAGAGACCATAGGATAGTTTTTATCCCAGACTTTTGAAAAGTTCTCTTGGAAACGCGATATAACCGAACTCCACGCGAGCGAAGCTGCGGGCGGAAAGCTAGTTATTATACATATGTTTTATAGTATATCAGTTTGTTTACCTCTTAACAGTGGATATAGCAGATCTCTTTAATGCAGACAGGTTGGAGGTGAGTGTAGTGACGGCCTTGGTTGCGCTGCCAGTGATCAGCTGACGCTTGGTTGGTCTGAAAGATTAACATTAACTTATAAATACGAAAAACCTGTGTCGGATATTCAAACATTTTTGTTATCAATTCCCAATATTGGTATTAAATATTGATTACATTAAATAGATTGAATTTAAAGTATATAACCCAGAAACATACATAAAATGTTCTTATTTTATGCCATTTCCCAGTAGAAATAATTGTTAGCTCTGTCATTCATTTATGGCTTTTAATCAGTTTTTGATTTTGAGTAGCAAAAAAAGTCGTAACTAAAATTCTCGACAACAAATGAACAAACAAACATACTGAAAAAATAAGCTTATATTTATGGTTTCTGTTATTCTCTTTTCTAAAACAATTTATGCCACAACATATACTATTAATATTAATTAAATATATCACGATTAGGACTGACCCAAGCGATAATGTTCCCTCTAGAGAAAATTTCATTTAATTTTCATAAATTTTGGATAAATAAAATTTTATTATATACATGCATTATTACGTTTGATGATGAAGAGCCAATTATAAACTATTTAATTGAGGAATGCCGTATTTGTTCTTCAAAGTTCTAACATCTGTAGGATGTCTAGCTTAAATGTGGAGCAATATACGGCTATTTGATAAGAGTAATAGTAGTAGTCTTAAAATATTTTTATATAGAATATCTATTGAAGATCCAGTACTAAATTGAATACATTATGAGATGTTCTACATAGTCAACCTCTTTCGGTGACGCTTTAAAAATCTCAATACTAACAACAATACTCCTTATACAATAAAATATTATCTACATAGTAATAATACCTATTTCTTTCAGCAGTAGCCGCTAGCCCGGCAGCTGTTCTATTCCTCTTGCCGAGAGGTGACGTGGCCATGGAACGAAAAGACGGAGTAGACGGAGTTAGCGCTTGGTTCTGTTTGCGAGCGGAGAGCTTGTTGTGACGTTCCTGGAATAAAATAAGTTTTAAATTACTTTAAATTAATGTTTAAAAATGTAAATACATATGTGAATGTATATCCAATATACATGATCATATACTTAATCCATCATTGGAAGTTTATAAAACATTTAAATATTAAAACGAAGTTTATAATATAAAACATTTAATTATTTAAAAATCGAAGACCTAACTATAAACTGTATCTGATATAGTGTTAAAGAACACTTGAATTACTACTGAATATTTAACATGTAGTGTGAATTTTTTAAATATATGCACGACATTTATTTGTATTGAGTTTGTTGAAAGATAATCTTTATATATACATATAATTCTTCTGTGAGTGTGTATGTCACTGAACTTCTTTCAAACGACCAGACCAATTTTGATGAAATTTTTGTGTGTGTTCAAGGGGATCTGGGAATGGTTTAGATTCACAATTTTTTCTTGATTATAGGGTGATACGAAGTTCGCCGGGTCTTCTAGTATTAATATACATTCCTGGTTTATGTATGTATGATTGAATGCTTTCATAGAATTTTTTTATGTAATATTTTAATTTTTACCGCTTTCCTCGTTTCCCATTCATCTTGTATCAGTTGCAGCAGAGGTTTTCCATCCACAGTGAACACATTGCCAGTCTTCTGTTCGTATTCAGTTACTAGATCTCGAATTGTCGCCTCGATTTTGGGCAGCTGTTACATACATTTGTAAATTAAATTGCTATATGTGATATAATTGTATCAAACAAATTTTAATAGTTGTAAGATACCAGAGAATGTCGCAAGTAGAATATTTTATCCCTACTAAATTATAAATGCGAAAGTAACTCTGTTTGTCTGTCTGTTACGCTTTCACGCCTAAACCACTGAACCGATAATAATGAAATTTGGTACAGATATAGAGTTGACCTTGAGAAAGAACATAGGATAGTTTTTATCCAAGACTTTTGAAAGGTTCTCTTGGAAACGCGATATAACCGAACTCCACGCGGGCGATGCTACGGACGGAAAGCTAGTAGTATATATTATTTGTACAATATCATGCAAAATTATTGCTTATTACCAGCTTATTCCCAAAAACTTCATATTTGGCCTATTCTTTCACAATTTTTGATAAAATTGAATATTATTCGTTAATTTAAATGTGTAAAATAAGCGTAAATAACATTATATCAACTCACATTGCTTGCTATGGCCTTTCTTTCCTTTTCTTCCTTGAGCAGTTGTCCTCCACGATTGTGATAGCGGCCGGGCTCGGTCGCTCGAGCCTCTAATTCGGTCATCTTTAGCCACAGATTCTTACGAGTCACCACCAATTCAAAGATATGTCTATATATAAAAAAAAAACTATCAATATACATGTAGGTCATGAATTTAAATGTAACTAATATTTTCAGATTTACTATGCGATTTTATATTTTTGACTATAAACTATACAGGGTGACTGGTGAATTACTATCGATATTTGAGGACGTGATATTTGACGATAATATATGACAAAATAAAAATTAATATAAGATAAATATTAATAAACTTCTGAGTAAAGTTAACCAAAAGTTGTGTAATTAATTACGCATCGTATGAACACCCTACAGATTAGGTATACACTGAAACTCACACATACGCTTGTCGTGACGTGTTGTTGTATCAGCACGCCGCTGCACGCGTCCACACTTGAACACTTGGAACGTGTACACACTTTATTTATTCATACGGAAATTTTGTCAAAAATTAAGTGCCTATTTTTTTTACATAATTCGAATGAGAATCATGTACCGAGTATTCTCCTTAAATATTGATAGTAATTCACCAGTCACCCTGTATATACATACTCCCGACGTAGTCAAAAATAAAACCGAAACTATGAGTTTCATTTATATGAGTACTCGCGAAAATCTTAGATATCGTTAGGTCATGAATTTGCTTGTGGTAATTTTATATATAATATTTTACTAATTATTACTACTTTATCATATGTTTTATATAACAATAGTAGTAATATAGTTTTTTTTCTCAAAGTATGTTTTTTAGAGCAATATCTTATTTTTTAAACTTTATTTTACTACTGAATATATACAAATATATTATCTTACTTGTTGTCATAATAGAATTTAGTTATTTTGTCCAGGTATAGTTCGTGTAGTGTGAGTGTGTCCTCAGTAAAGATATCCTGGTAGTAATGAACAAACTCTTCTCTCTCTTGGCTCGAGTACATCACATTGTCCCACATCAACTTGATTTTGGTACGGACATTTGCCACAAATACCTTTTGGACACAAAAAACATTTATCTTTAATTTAATCTATTTATATATATTAAACTTTCTTTAACATGTCTATTATTTTTGGGTGTAGATATATTCATTTCTGGATATCATAAGCAAGACAACTTTGGTTAATATATATATATAAACATACAATATGACTAATAAGTGTATTAAAAGGGATATGTACACCAAACATATACTGAATACATATTTAATTGTAGAAAATATGATGATAAATTACCCCAATCTTTTGCCTCTTAATCTGGTCACATCTTTTGATCTCTTCTTTGATAGCCATTTCAGTTTGAGGATGGCAACCTTGGTGAGCTTGAAGGAAATTCTCACGGTAAATATGATCCTCTTCCAAACATTCCCAAAGCTTTGACAAACGTTCACGTAACTCTAAAACCTATAAAAATACATGTTATAATTTACAATTAAGAGGATTATTTGTAATATATTATATGAATTTCCTTACTCTGTTGTTAGTTTGCTCATATTTTTCCTGTAAATCCTGTCTCAGTTTAGCCAATCGATCCATGTTTAAATCTGTAACTTTGAAGTCCACAGACAGAGAGGACACCACGATATGCTCAAACTTGTTCTGTGGTTTTATCTGAAGCTTGTCTGAAATTAAATAAATTTATAATTAGCTAGATAATTTAGCTTATTTCAATATATATTTCAAATTATCGATAAATGTAGTGTTTTACATGAAAAATTTAGTAAAACAACATTTTTTTTTCGCCTATCAAAGCCCACTGCTGAGCCTCTTTCTCTTATGGAGAAGGTTTGAACATTAATCACCACGCTTGCCCAAGACTGGTTGGTGATTTCAAACTTATAATTGTGAAATTATAAGTCCAGATTTCCTCACGATGTTTTAATACACCGCCTACCAGTGGTGTCTAAATACTCTTAGAAAGTACATATGACTCGCAAAAATCACATTGGTACTTGCCAGGATCAAACCCGCGCCCTCAGCAACGAGACCTTGGCTCTTTAACCACTAGGCCACCACTGACTAAAGCAACATATATGAAATAAATTCTATATAATATAAATAAACCTACCCATAATGTCCTTGATTTCAACTTGAGTATTCAAGAACAGTTCAACTCTTTTGTCCCTTTCAGCCTGTAACACTTCCAAGTGTAGTTTAAGTTTGTCTAATTCCTCCTCAGCGGGGAGTGGGATCTCTTGTAACTCGTGTACAGTCACACCAAGCTTGTCAGTCAGATCTCGCTGCCATTCAAGCAAGCGATCCATTTTCGTACGACGCTGTTCCATTTGTTGTCTATATCTGTAACAAAACAATTTTATTGTACACCATAATAGATGTTTATATATTTATCATATTCTGATGGCTGTAACATCATATGTGTAATGTTTGGACTTGGACTCAGGGGGAAATGTAGAAAGAATAATATAAGTGTGAATATGTAAACCTTCCTAAAGCAACATCTATGTATGTGCCATTAGTCTATATTAAGAGTACAAGTGTTATGATCCAATCATGGAACCTTAGGCAATCAGGGATAAATTACTGACTTTTTCAGATGTTTAAACTACATAACTACAAAGATGTACTGTAATTTCCATACATTCTTACATATTTTAATATTAATGATATTAGGATAATTTTATAGAAAAAATTTAAGTCTTGATATAACTGAAGCAGCTAATGGCGATAATTACCCAGCTATTTGATCTTCCAATTTCTCCTTGTAATCAATCAACATCATGTCATCTTTGAAATCCAAAATTGAAATATCAACAGAAAGGGCTCTGCTTAGTTCTTCAGTTTCTTCTTTTAACTCTGAAATAAATACACAGTTTTAAATCCTTAAATATATAAGAGACATATTACATAATTTTTGATGTAGGGTAAAATTGTATAATTTATTTAAATGTTATGTTCTTATTACAGGGCATAAAATTTGTTGTTTTAACAATAGATAACATTTAATTTTAAAATTAATACATAAGCTCACTTACTATCAACTTGACTCTGGAGATTTTTGAGCTTTTGACGAGTCTCTGATATAACATCTCGATGGAGTTCCTTTTCAATAAACACCAATTTGTTGATGTTGCTGACTTTAGTCTTGTAGTCTACACCTAGATGAGACCAATTGAGCCAGAGCTCTTCCATCATGTGACGGACATTCTGAGATATCTCATGAAGAACTTCATCACTGCAATAAACCAAGTTTATAGTTACAAGTTATTCCGATGGCCTTAAGAAAAAGTCAATAAAATTCATGAACAACTTATTTGTACAAAATCTCATCAGTTAACTAATTAATAGTGTAATCTATACTAAATTGATTACTAAACCCAATCAATACGACAATTATGTAACATAAATAATTTAAACTTTACCAGAAGGGTCTAAACACATCTCAACGTTAATAGTTAATAAATCATTTATATATCTCCTCAAAGATGAAGAGTATATGTAAAGAATAGTTTATCCAGTTTCCAGGACCACAAAACGTACTTTCTGATGTATTACACTGCTAGCTCTTTTGAGATTTTAAACGACAATTTCTGCAAACGCCTAAACCGTAACGAATTATGCCGGCCATTTAAGTTAATTATGCACTCTAGTATAAACTTTACAAATTAAGGATTTCATAATCTTTCTCTTAATTGAAGTAGAAAATTTAAATACGAATTCAATCCCTAGTAATCCATAAAATTTTTATATTGCAAATACATAACTTACAATAATTGTCCAACGTCTTCTGTTAATCCGATCATTTCACCGATATTAACTAACTTCTATATCTCACAGAAACATGAAAACTTTAAAACTAACTTATAACAATTAGTTTTAATATGTAATCTATACTTAATGATGTTTTTATAGAAAATAGCTGAGAAATCTAAATTATGTTCCAAAAATATAACGACACAGCCACAAGATCCAGCTTTCGAACGTTTGAAGTTTTCAAAATGCAATACGTTAATCGGTAAGTCAAATAATGCGCTGCTGTGATTGGTCTACATAGATAGTAATAAACAGACTAATAAATATAGAGTTTAGTGTTGCTAGCTTCAAACTACCATGATTTTTCTTTAGGAGATAAATATTAGTGAAATGTCTTCATACCACAAACATAAAACTATAAATGATATTTACAAAAAGTATTTCCAATCCTTATAGAAGTGAAATTATATTTATAAAAACAAACAAAACACTTAACAAAGACTACTGAAAATTTAAAAATGACTTTATTTCTCACAGACCACATCTAATGAAAAGACTTTAAATTGATTAAAATCTTTAGTTATCAAACACAAAAATGTTTTTTTGATAGTGTGGAATTTATGTAATGTAAATTATAAAACACTAATTCTGGTGGATGATAGCTCCAAGTTTTCGAATAGCTCTAATTCTAGAATATCAATAAACTTCGCAAAGGCAGTCTCACATGCTCGATTTGCTATGCGTTCAGAAAACATAAATCACTTTGATGAAAATAACATATACCGTAAGAGCAAAAAAATATGAACATTTAAATTAAGTTATTAAAAATCTTAAATTCAGATACTTTTTACTGTTTGTGGTAAGTGAATAGCAGAACAAAGGAGACAAATACATACAAATCTAATTTAATTATCCATTTTCTAAATATATGAGTCAAAATCAGGTCTAAAAAGTATTTACTATACATACAAGTTTTTTTAGATCAAACAGCGAAGATGACAGTATGAACCCAAGTATTAATATAAGATAAACCAAGTATAATTGAGAGATATTAATGAATTGAAAAACATATGTTTGAAATTGAGAATACGCAAAAAGGAAATAGTCCTATTTAGTTTTATACATATTTGAAAGACTTTTTTCCACTGTATTTATTAGCTGTAAAATACAAATTTTACAACTAGTTTCTTAACTTTTAAAAATATTTTTGTGTATTTTCCATTCCTAAAATACAAAAATATTTTAATTATAAACCTATTCACCAACTTCTATCTGTGGTGACGGCTGTTTTCATTTGGTGGTATAATTATCAAACCGTATAGAACAGCAATGATAATTTTTGTTAACTGGTATTCAGATTAGATTGGTTAAAAATAAGATATATTAGTTTCAAAATACGTAAATACTTGATGATTTTATATACAATCTTTCTTATATTTCTATTTAAAATACATTGCAAAGTATTTTGTATTTAAAAAGTTTATTAAACAATGTTTTCATATCTCTCGTATAGCTAATAATATAGAGTAAATTTTTATAGTCTTAAGTTTCTCTTTTTTTTGGTTTAGCAAGAAAAAATAAGAATACAATGCAACAATTTATTTTTCACTAGTTTTTTTTTTAAAGATGGAATGCATGTTTTAAATTTCAAGATTTTTTGGTCTCAAGTATCTCTGTCAACTGTCACATCACTGACAAATGACTAAGTACTGACATTACTCGTTGGCTGGAGGGTGTACTGTGTAGTCAAAGTTTAAAGGGGCAATTACCAGAATGACGCTTTCAATTCATTTTTAAGTTAATATAATTTAATAAACTAATTCACTATGTTCTGTACTATATATAGTGTATGACAAAATTCTTAGTAATTTTTATGTGCTATAAAATACAAAATGTGATCTTAACAATGACACATTATGATATAAACACAAAACTATCTTCAGCTTAACGTTAATACAACAATGCATTATTTTAAATAGAAAACGGTTAATGCTTCGTATGTAGCGTGACAATGCCGACTTGGAAAAAGTATACAGAATTCGACGGTTAAATCCGTGGAAAGAGCAATATCCTCTACGATTAGGTGTTATTATTATATTTATATATTATATTTATATTTGTTTCTTTCATTAAACCTTTAATATATACCGATTGCGTTATTAAATTATACATATACAACCTAGAGAGCGTGTGAAATAATATGGAAGATAAATAAAATGTTACTTTCTCAGCTGATACAATCCTACAACAGCAACTTTCCTCTATTTAAACGGAATGAACTTTGTTTTATTTAATTCCTTAGTATGTTTGCTTTTATGGTCTTATTTATTATAGGTGAAATAGCTTTAATAGAGTCATTTTAATTATTCTATCCAAATGCAGTAAATTAAACCTACAAATGTAAGTCTATCCTTTTTTATAACAGGCTAGTTTTTATCTGGTACTTTGTCAGCGTGAACTTTACAATTAGACTCGGAAAGAAATGTACAAATTGTGTTAAAGCAATAGATATTATATGTATGGCCGCTAGCGACTCCTATTGTGTGTCACGTGACGTCATACTATACACAACAGTTGTGACGTGTTCAACGGGAACTAAAGGAAAGGAGGGATTAAATAATTATAACGTATCTCTTATTATTATTGTTATGTTTAAGCTATTATAAAGTCACTTTGTTTTTTCTTGAAAAAAAAAAACAAACAACATCCATAATTCCCCACAAACTTTCGCATACATTTTAACACGAATGTATTGAGAAGGAAAAGTAAATTGTAAAGACAAAAGCAAGAGAGAGATATAAGGAAGAAAGGAAAGGAATCAAGAAATAAGTTTTATTGACAGACAGTACTTTCAAAATTCTCAGAATAAAAGATTGATAATAGAATTGTCAGGAAACGGAACAATAACAAATAAACTTCCTACAGTATGATTATTCTGGGATAAAAAATAACTATTGTGCAACGATTATTGTTGTTGCATAGAATCAAATAGAAATATAATTAAAATCTTTTAGTAACGTTATAATTAATATTCACTAATGATCTTATGAGAACATTGATCTATTTACTTATATTGAGTAATAAAATTCTCAAGTATGACGAATAAAACGTTGCAACCAGGAAAGCATCTTGTATCGCAACTTTATCTGTGTTGTCAAGAACTACCAAGTTGATTGAAAGGCTAAATTACTTATTTAATCTATAAACTTACCCTAAGTTTTTTATCGTCACACTACGAACGGAGCGTTCACAGTTTTTTATCATATTTAACGAAAAACGAAAATTAATTATTGAACGAAAAACATTTCTTATGTAGGGTGTCATACAAACTTGTACCGACTATAACTACCTATTGACAACAATCCTATCCCTTTCTTTTGAGTCCTTAAACTTATTATTTTATTTCTATAATATTTCGTAAACCGGTAGAAATTGAATAGTAATCATCGTATTAAACTTTTATTTCTTGTTTTTTATTTATGATAATGAACATAGATTAAAAATATGCAGTCCTCTTGATACCTAAATTTTCGTTTATCGTAAAGTCTACTGTGGTTGAAGGAGGCAAAAGAATTAGTTATAAGAATAAATAGGAATAATTCGATCTAAAAATAATTGGCATATAGCGAATAAACTCATTAGTAATGCAATTCCAAAATTTTCATAGAAGTACAGTGGCAAATTAACATCCCATTGACTGATATTCTTGGAACAATTTGATGGTGACTTTAAATTCTAACGTTTACAAAAAATGTAAATGACTAGTTGGAACGCTATTACAAACTTCTTATTACCTAACATATCAAAATCTCGTCACGTCACAGTTATTGAGTGTAACGGTACAAAAACCGCACATAATATGTGCAAACACTGTAACAAGGTAACATCTATAGATAATTCAATTGATGAGTTATTTTATGAGGTAACTATAAGATGGACTTACATAAACTTTATATCCAGAAACGATTAAGTTATTAAAACATTCCATTTGTATGAAAACACATGCTTGAATCCTTGCTTCTGTTGTCTTTTAGACTCTAAATACTTGTTGGTTATATTAATCATCTATATATGTGAGCAATTATACAGTTTTATATCACATTCCACGGTAATAGGTACTGAGACTGATAAAATAGTCACTATAAAAGAAATTTGTCACTTCTATTTTAAAATCGGTTATTTATTAGACATAAGGAGTCTGTAATTTCGATATAATATTTATATCTCAAGTACATACCTTTTTCTTACGTTATTCTAAATAAGATGAAGTTAATGATTCTTAAAAGTTAGTCAGCCGTAAATAATAATTAAAATAGATGTCGTGTAAAAATGTTAAAACAATTAAAACAGTTTACGACCGAAAAGAAATGTTAACGAAGTAATTGTATGTTTTGCTTAATATCAAATAAATATTTAAACGGTAATTTCAAAGTAAAGCAAAATAAAGTAAAAGTAAACCAGCAGTCGCTTAACAGTTAAATAAATTACTTAACATGACAATGATGTTATATTTAACGGGTGCAATAGTGAAAATTAAATGCATTTAATTGTCCTTTCCAATGCCACAAATTAGGTTTTAAAGAGAAATTTTTATTTTTAAGGAAGTCATTGTATGTTCCTTGTTTGTTTCTTGTTTTGCTCAATTATTTTGGAAGCACGATCACTAATAGATTAGTATAAAATTAGCATCATATTATATAAAATAACATCATTTAGTCCAATTCGTAAAAGGAAGGCCTTCCATAAACCATTATATACGGAAGCAAGATTTATATTCAATACAGAACTAAAACAAAGATTTCAATCTATGTAAATGACTGAAGTAACAATTTTAACAAATGCCAATAAGATCCTACGTCTAAGTACTTTCTCTTGTTGATCTAAATATCAGTTTTTGCAAACACATAATAGGGTACTATTTAAAGTTATGTAAGCTAACCAAAGACCTGGTTTTAATTGGTGCCTATGTTTCTAAATTCATTAATAGCTAAAGCTTTCATAATAGCATTCAAGCATGATGAATTTAACATGCATTTCAAGTTACGCGTACTTGAAATGCATGGTCGATTTTAAATATCGGATACCTGCTGAAATTTATATTGTAATGATATACAAAAATGCATAGTGAAGGTTTGTTTGCAGATTACACAAAAACTGCCATCTATCTCAGACTGTAATTGATACATTTCGCAATCACGAGTAGGTATAACATTGAGATTCAATTTCATAGCGGCTACGATACAGTTCCTCGGACAACCTTAGGTTTACGTTTCGTAATAACTGACGAAGTTACTTGTTCCCGTTCATAACAAGGATTCCTATTGCAAGATTATTATTTTTATATGAATATAAACAAGTATTTCTTTCTAATAAATAAGGGCTTGGATTGTCTGTGAGATCGTGTTTTAGCGATAACACCCTTCTTTGTACATTTTTCTTAATGGTGTCTTTGTTTTACTTTAACGTAATGGTATGTGAAGAGTATTATTATTATTAAGTTTCATTGAAACATTCAAATTATTCTTGGGAATTTTTCATTACAATCGTTTTGAGTCATTACGACGGTTACTACAATTAAAGATGTTTTAAATATCGATAAGAAAAAATCAAGGGAATCGATAATTCTAAAGATGATATGCCAAAGTTTCAAGCATACAATTAATATTTGTTCGTTAAAAAAGATCCAATTAATTTTTACTTTTTAATCCGTTTTACCTTTCGCTGTTACAGGTTTTTTTTTGTTTCTATGTATTGATAATGATAACACAGATTTATATATGTAGTTAAGCATTTGAAAAAAGTAAAAAAAAAACTTTTTTAATTATCTCACATAAAACAATCTTGTTTTTATGACATTTAATAATTAAAATAACAGTACAAAGTTATTGATCATCTATTGTCAAAATTACTTCTAAAAATATAGACGCGTTCCATACATAACATTCAAATGCGTAAAAATACAATTGATATTAAATAACATTTAACTTTCATTTTCTATAAAACAAGTATAAATCGTAAATCTCCACTTACATTGCATAAAAAAAACTTAATTGCATTGCGGACTATAACTCATACAAATAACTTTTTGTATAATAACATATTACACAAGTTATATGACATTGTAATCAAATTAGCTCCCGTATTAATATTCTAGTATATAATTTATGAAGACCAGTTAATATTTAATATGTTCATATAAATTACCTATTTAGTGTTAGCTAAATTATTTGATTATAGAAATGTACACACTCCAGTACATATTGCGAATTCTATAGATAATCTTAATTTACATGTAGCAGATGACCGTCTTTTGTTCGAAATTGAACTTTGTTTATATGTATTTAAAGTCTCTTTTTAGTTTTAGCCTCGTCATCGCGTTCACTCTCGTTTGCAAGAGAACTCATTAAATTCCATTACAGTTTCAACATCACTCTTTGTTTTTATTTAGTTCCGCTAAAATTTATTATATTATCATAGATAATTATTGTTTATGGTAAATTATACAAAAATATTAATTACCTCTACTTAAAAAATGAGAAATATAAAAAATATATACATATGGGTTTACATTAATATTTAAAGTCTATAATTTTCATTATTATTTATATTAATGATTTATTTACAGCGAACATTTTTTTCCTCTTTATTCTCTACTTGTTACTTAAAAATATGATTTATTAAAAAAACAACTATCAATTCATAAATTAAAAGTAACCTTTCAGAAATTAAAGAAAACCTTAAACGAATTATTTTGAACCTAAATTAAATAATAAAAAATATATTGACGAGTTTATATTTCATATATACAATTCAAGTTAAAAAATAGTCTGTGTAAAAATTAATATGTTATAAAAAAAAATTATACAAAAATCTTAATTCACTAACTGACTGGATATCCACATGACATACTAAAGAAAAAATAATCCAAAAAACGCTCTATCGACAGTTACATTAGACGATGACTATTTAAATTTCACTGATCGACTTTTTTCTCTAAACAAATTTCTAACTATTGTTCTCAAGACGAGGTATGAACGCCAATGTACCGCTCTAAGTACACGTAATATCAAAGCTGTTCACTCACACACTGCCGTTAAAGAAACTGGGTATATAAGCGATGCAAATAGCAATTGCTTGCATTACCAACCACCCTTTGGAGGAGTATTGGACCCGCAACCAACAATCATTATGAAGTATTATGTGCGTAACTGTGTCCTGTGATAGTGATTCTAATAAGTTTTAACATAATCTACTTTTGTTATATTATTAATATTATTGATCGATCTCGTAATTAATTTAAAGAGTCAATGGACCGACAATTTAAGTGTATTCCTTCCTAATACACCGGTAACTCTTGTAATAGCTCCAGTATAGGAAGAAATTTTCGTTACATAAACTAATGTTATTGCGCGTTATAATCATATTTTGTTTACCAATAGCTATAATAAAATAATATGTTATTAATTATTAATGTTTTTTCACAGATATTTTTGGGCTTTTTTGCCGTGGTGGCAGCCTTCCCCGGTATCATTCATCAGGAGATTCCTCAAATTTCCGAGAAGTTTGATCAGCAAGCTATAATTGGTGAATCGGGTCACCACCATCAAGTCGAACACGAGCACGCCAAATCGCACCAGTCCATCAAATTCGAGCATTTCCACCCAGTACCTGTATACGTAAAGAAAGAACACAGTCATCTCCTAAAGCACCCTCTCGAAAAAGGAAAATCCGAACAAAACTTGAAACAAATCCACCCTGAAACTCAGCACAGCCATGGCGGTGGTCTTGTGCTGGAAGATCACAGATACAACACAGAGCAACTCATTGCCAGCTTGGGACATGGGGGCTACAGTCATGAAGGACTCGGACAGGCTGCTCTTGAACAAGGAAGCTATGAGCATGGAGGTCTTCAGCAAGAAGGTCTGCAGCATGAAGGAATCCAAGGAGGTTTAGAACACGGTGGTCTCCAGCAAGGCAGCTACGAACAAGGAGGTTACGAGCAATATTCAGGTAGCTACGAAGGAGGTGAAGGTTTGAAGGCATACGCTGAACCTGAGAACTATCACGCCCTACAAGCTCAAGGATACGGAGGTCACGGTAGCAGTGAAGGTTACTAATTGAAACATTATTGATCGCATTTAGCTTAATTTCTTCGGGCATCCGTGGATAACCACATTCTAATAATTTTAAGACTTCCTTCTTGCCTGATAGTTTATATTTCAGCGTAATTGCTGAACGAGGCTTGTGATTAATGATGCTTCAAAAAATACTAAAATGTACCTGACGTAATGTTATTTAAAAATATATTGAACCCGTGACTTCTTTTCGTGGTGTAAATGTTGCTTCTAATGTGTGTTGTAGGAATCTCTACTTCCTTTGTGTGTGTTTAAGTACAACTAATCCATTAATTCCTGCTTCTTTCCTTTATAGCGTATATTTTTATGTATTAAGGACGTATGTTGCGTTCCAGTGGAAATGTGATATTAAAAATGTTGAATTTTATCATATCTTCCTGTATTTTTATTTGTTACATTCTATTCTCTACCAAAAAAGGATCAATACCTGCAATTTTTTACGATAGTATTCAGTAAAATATAATAAGTAATACTTATAAATATTTCTTAGATAGTTTTGAACAGTGAAGATAGATTCATTATATATTATTAAACGTCAATGTGGTTATAAACATTTTTTCCATATTAGAAAATTCGGTTTTATATTCCACTATAATACCTAAATTTATTTAATGAAAGTATACACATACATATTTAAATAATAAAACTATAATAATGTTATAGAAGTTGTACTGTTACAAATGTATTATATTATTAACATTAATACAAAACTAAGTCAGTATGCAACTGCCGGTAAATTACGTAAATCAGTGGACACAATTATTTCATCGATTACAAAATGGATTTCCTGTAATTGGTACTCAGATACAGCGAGCGTTAAGTCGAAAATAAGTGCTGCATCCAGATAAGTTAAAAGTTGTTGTTGAATTGTTAAAGCAAAAACAAAATGTTAAGAAACAGATTACCAATACCTCGTATATGCATAATATATGTATCTCATGCTGAGTAACAATTATAACTAGCAATTTTGAATGCAACTTGATCTAGTTTCAATCTACGTAACAATCGTCACAAATTTTTCTATTCCATATAACGAAAGAGTTTACTAGTTTAATGACAGATTACAAACAAGTTTTTAATTATTCATATTTCATAGCGATTACGTTCAAATATTGCACATGACTGGTAACAAGTAACTAATTAGGTATCTTTCGTTAAACCGAGAAGTAGGTACGGGTACAAGTTACAATAATTACATAAATACAAATATGATAACAAAGTTTGCCTTTAAGCTTTTTTAATATGTCTTAATTTATGTATAAAACATTTTCTATACGTCACTGATAAATTTTTGAACAAGTTTACGTAACAAAGATTATGAGTAATATGTAAACATCGAATTTCTCTTTTCTGATATTGGAGTAGATGATTCTGTATTCAAAACAGTAGACACACTTTCTAAGCGTTCCTAATAACATTATAAACATTATGTAAAAAGTTGTGTCTTACATTGGTTATTGGATATTAAAACGTTGACTATAAAAAATATATTGACGGAAGATTACTATTATTTTTAACGTTTAACTTTATTTATTATTGCCTTTTAAACAATAGACACTTGTATTCAATGCAAGCAACTTTACTAATAATTAATTAATAGTCTCGCATTATACTTAATTAAAATACAATAAATTCTTTTACATTTTATTAAAGAAACAGTTTTAAAACTAATCAACAATCTTAATATAAAAAAACAATTTTAACAAGCGCAACGCAATTACATAACAAATTCACTTACACATGCATTCAATAATTAACCAAACATAAATTTTGATTTCCCATACCTATTTCTAAAACTTCTTCTCTCTTTGTCTCTGCTAGAAAAAATCAATATTGGTTTTTAATAACTGGGACAGGAATGTGCTTGACTACCTCGAGGGGTACAGGGTATGGTTGTGGAACTCTTACTGCGTAAGGCTCCGGAACTGGAACCAGTACAGGAGTTGGTACTTGAACCTTCACTTGTTTGTAAACTGGTATGGGATGATGTCTTGTAATGCTAACCTGTCTGTGAATTAGAATAGGAGGGCTTTGACTGCCGCGTGGAATCAATTGTTTAGAATTAAAATCTTGATGATTCCTTAGAATGCTTTCAATTTCCCTTTCAACTTCTGCTTTTTCATTTTCAGCGTTTATTTGTTCTTGATCTTCAATCTTAACAACCTTCTGTTCTTGATTAATAGGAATCTCTTGTTTGTCAGATTTGATTATCTGCTTTTCATTTTCAGCGCGGGACTCTTTCTGTGCCACAGATAAGCTCTTCAACTGAGCGCGATTATGTTCTAAAAGTCTATTCCAATGTTGGGCGAGTTGTTCGTGAAGAAGTTTTTCTTCTTGGTTTTTGTAAGAAACGGGAACATACGGAGAAGCATTAGAATTTATTTTAACTTGATTTTCTTGCTTCTCAGACTCTTTCTGGATATTTTGTGATTGTTGACTGTTCGAATTGCTTTGATCTTTTTCTTTTACTAAATAGATGTATGCGATATTTTTATTCTTCAAATTTTCATTAAAATTTTTCTCTTGCTGCAATAAGACTCCTTGTGGAGCGAAATTTTTAACCTGTGGTTCATCAGAAGGTACTGACTGAATTTGAGGATCAAAATACTTCTGAAGTCCTTCATTAGACTCCTTTACTTGTACCTGCTTGGCATTACCGTTTGCGAATCTTAAATTTTGAGATGCCCTAATTGCTTGTAAAGATTTTACTTCTTCGGGTGTCAGGTATAAGCTTAGCTCTTGACTTACATACCTTTTACCGAAATCTTGGGGCTTTGGTTTTGCTAGCCCCACTGCAAATAAAGCTATAAAACAAAATACCTGGAATAAAAGTAATTATTTGAAATTTCAAGATGAAGTATCGAATATTTTATTTAATTCAGGTGCTAATTATTAAAAAATATAAAGGAAAATTCAAAGATGTCATCTTTTACATAGATACTTACCAATAATTTCATTTTGAACTAGATAGAACGTTCTCGATGAGATCAAAAGATCTTCTGATTAAAAAACTGAAATATGGTGTATTTTATACTCGCGATTCCAAAAACAGCTATTCAAATAAATATTAGCATAAGTTACGTCTGTTTTTTTTAATTTAGAGAAATGAACTATAAAATGCAATAAGTATTTTTTTTTTCGAAAAAATGTATCTATGAAATTTTTATTTACGTAATTTGAAATTTTATGTTATCTTAAAATTTGTTCTATTTACATAACCAATTACATGTCAAAAGTAGTTTGGGTTCTTTTTATGAGCCATTAATTTTGTTTATTTTAAAATATTTATTTTAAAATATTAAGTCCATATGTGAAAACGTTCAAAAAGGAATATATGTAGGTATGTATATCAATAAAAAATCTGCTATAGAGATTATGATATGTGGAATAAACGTTAATTTTAACAACATGTATGTAGCTTAAATATTTTGATAATGCTAGTTTCAATAACATCAACGTCAAGTATTTATCAAATGAATTTACAAAGATTCTTTGAACATTTTAGAGCTACTTTCTTTCCAAAATAATAAAGCTTTTAGGATTCTTACAAGTCATGAATACCTTTTTGACATACATATATCAAGACAATTGGCATTTTTGAGTAAATAAAATTGAATTCAATTTTTTTATGTAAATATTTTTTTAGTAGTATATTTTATTAGAGTTAATTAGTTGCCAGTTACAAATGACCTTTCTCAAAATATGTTACAAAGTAATTAAGTGTAATTCTTTTTTTCCTCGTCGAATATGTGCAACATAAATTTCTTAAAATTGTCTGTATGAATGTAAAACAACAATTTAGGTATTTTTTTACTTAGGAATTTTTCATGATATCAACAATTAAATAAGTAAAAGCAGTACATAAATTAAACAAACATATTTATATTTACGAGATAGTGTACTAACCCTCGCTAGAGATTATGGTTTATGTTAATATTACAACTAATGTAAGTAAAATATTCTTATGTTGTTTTAAGTTACTATACAAGTAATATTGAAATATTAAATACAGCACAAATATTGGGTATTTTTAAATGCGGTTTAAAATTCCCGGTTAAACTCACAAACAGTTTATTTGTTCGTATGAGTTTTTTGTTTTCTTCGAAACTTGCATAATACATATATCTACGTATGCAATTTAGTATTTCTACGACAGTTCCAACACAATATTGAAATAAAAAGAAAATTATTTAACTTTATTGTTAAACAAAAGTTACTTATTGAGACAAAACAGATACGAGTGAACTTTGAATGATTACTCAAGTTTGCATTATCGTGCTACATACTGAGCATTAACAGTTTTTCCTTTACAAATACACATAATAAAGCATTCTCGTATTTTATTGTATAAAAAACTTACGTGATGATAAAGTTATACCTAGCTATTAAAAATATTAAAAGAATTGTAATTTTTAATACTTTGAATAAAATACAAAAGGCAATTTGCACAGCGGTATATCAAATTGAAAAGCAGGCACTTAGTCTGTTATTACTTTATAAGAATATGCAAGGAAGTTGAGGTAAATTCTCATCAAATTTTATAATATCTTGTTTAGGCATATGCGTATAAATGTATGTATAAAAATGTTTGTATTATTATACAAATATGTGTGTGTTTGTGTGACTATAAAAAGTAATAATATTTTTTTAATGACAATCATATCTTTTTACACATTACAATAATCGCACGGCTTGGTGCTAATTGTATTCGTCGATTTCAGGTTTTTAAATAAACATTATAATTTCAAACAAGTAACTTTTTATTTAACAACATTATTAAATATACACTTAAGATATATGTATGGTGAAAATGATTAAATCAACATTATGAAATTCAGCCTTTAGATTTGATTTGATATTGAATTTAATGGGCCCTTACAATAGGGATGGGAATATGCCTTATAATCTCAACAGGAACGTGATAAGGTTGTGGAACTTTGACTTCATAAGGTTCAGGAACAGGGACCAATACTGGAGTAGGAACAGGTACCTTCACTTGTTTAACAATGTTCACTGGATGATGCTTGGTTACCCTGACCAACCTGTGAATGAAGAAAGGTGACTTCTGGTAATTGGATTCCTCCTCTTCCTGGTTCTGTTTTTCTACGCCAGAGTTGGCTCGAGCCCGTAAGATATTCTCAATTTCTTTCCTTACACTATCGTTTTCTTGTTCCCTTTGGTTGTTTGATTGTTGAACCTGTTCAGATTGGATAGCTTTTCTATAATTATTTTCTTCAGAATCGCTTGACAAAGCCTTTAAATGAAGTCGATTGTTTTCCACAATACGCTTTAATTGCTGTTGAATTTGTTCACTCAAATTATTTTCTTCCTGTTCCTTGTTAGAGTACTGAACGAAAGGATTGATCCGTTTTTCCTCTTGGTTTCCTTGTTCATACTTTACAAACTGATATTGTTGTTTATTCTTTTGTTCTAAGAAGGATCTTAAAAATTCCAAACCTTCCTGGGAATCATCATTTTTGGGTTTTTCATTTTGTACTAATGGACTTTGAACTTGCTCAACGTTTTGAAACTGTAACTCCCCAGAAGGCGAAATTTTAATAAAAGGTAATAGAGGCCTTTCAAATCGTGGTTGACTTAATTGTTGGTTCTCTCCTCTTATATTTTGAGCATTATTGAGTCCAAGTGGGATGTAGTACTTAATTTCCTGATTATTTATATATCTTTTTTCAGGCTTCTGAGGTTGTAGGGAAGATTGCTGGTCAGTAAATGTTTGGGGTCCAACTTTAAGCTGAATTGCTGTACTTAATACTAATACTGAGGATATTAATAAAATCTGAAAAGATGTAAGTTGATATGTATGAGTAAAATTTTAAGTAGATTAAATAATGTAAACATTTTTTAAGGAATACTTACGTTGGTTAACATTTTGATATACTTATGCTTGCAGGTCTGAGATAGATCTGTGACAAAATGTAATAAACAGGTTCTTTTTATACTCGCAAAATCAAAATCCAAATTTTAGAATAAATTAATTCTATGATTTCAAATAAATTATATTCATGTAAGACGGAAGAACATTTTGGAAAGCCAATGTATTAGCATCGTGTAGGTTATTATAAGTTTACAAAACTATTCCTAACAGATTTCCTTTTTATAAATTAAATGTGACCTAAATTATTAATTCATTAAAGTATCTTAAGCATCATATCATAATAAGTATAATACTCAATGCTAGAAAACTTGTAAAAGTACATCTATTTGTCAACTTCTATACCATATAGAATAAAAGTGGGCATTCTGTATTTTATTTTAGACATTAATATTTAGATATTAAATACTAAATTTCATTTCGTCGACTATAATAAATGTATATTTCGAAACTGAATTTTCATTTGACTAAATTTTATAAAATGTTTTATTGAATAAGATTGAAAAATTATATTATTATTATAATGAGAAAGTTCGTTGTATGCCTATTGCCTATACTTAATATTTTAATATTAATTATAATGTTTAAATAATTCGATATAAACGGAACTTAAGATTTTAAATAGCTTAAATAATATGCAATTTCTCTTGTTATTCCAAAAAACAAGTAATAAAGATTTTTAAAAATTTATTTGTATAATATATCCTCTTTAGTTTTTTAAAACACCATCTTACAAACCCCTCGAAATTGAGAATGGTATACTTTGCCAGGTTTATTAAACAAATGAAATGGGTAAATCTGTAGAATGTAATTAACAAATACAGTATGTAAGTATGAACTGAATAAATGATGATTTTTATCATCATTAAGGATTTATCATTAAACATTTTGTTCCAAAGGAGCAGGTCTAGAACTTTTCTTGTTTATCGAAAGCCTTGATAACAAAATGAATATTTTTTGATATTATGAAGACAATGGTGGACTCCGAAAAATCACTCGTTATACATACGATTTTCCATAATAATGAATTGACAAGAACTTTAATATATAAGGCTATTATGACATTTTTTTTACTTAATTATCTTACTAAGCCTTAATTATCTTATGATAGGTTTTAAAAAATATGAAAGACCTAAAACAAATTCATAAATCTTAGTAGTACTAATATGTAAAGTCGCAATCATAGTTGAATTAATGAGACTTATATTTTATATTATATATGAGAAATAAAGTTTTAGTTGCATTAAAGACATTAAATCCAAGTAACAGATATAATATTAAAATGTAACAATGTCAGCTTTTGTAATTGTACTCCAGAATAACGTTTTACTTTACCATAATTTCTGTATAATATTCTGTTATAAATATTATTTAAAGGTTTTAACTGTAGGGGTTTTGACAATACTTTATAACATATTTTATAAAGATACATAAAATAGCCTTACAGAGTCTCTGTTGGATAAAAAATTGTTATTCAATTGCGCCTGGCTTTAAATTTACAAAATTTGCTTAGCTTTGTATTTGCTATGTATATCAAAGCTGGCGTATTTATAATGAAGAAGCAATTACATTTTACAATATTTATTAAGGATATTTTAGGGTAATTTAATCTCATATTTTAATTATAAGATTATTAAGAGTCAACATTGATTTGGTATTTATTTCGGGATTTATATAAGCTGTGTCATAAATATTTAAAAAGTTTTTTCGGAGAATTTTATAAAAAATGTATATTATTTTGTAACTTTTGGGGAGACCGTCAGTCAAAGATTTCAAATTATATATATTTTTTTATAATATCTAATAATACCATTTAAAAAACAACTTATACTATAAGACGAATTTTATTTTAAATACTTAAATATTTATATTGCATAAATGTAAAATATTTAAAGTGTTTGTTGTTTCCTGACAATTTGTTTAAAACAAGATAGTAATTAATGTATTATTATAAATAATAACAGTATATTAGTTAAAGTTTCATTTATTGAATAAAATAATAACAATTAAAAAAAATACTAATAGTCAACAGTTAATTTTTAAATATAGATTATTTTAATGATTCCAAACAGGTCGAAGAACCGTAACCTTCTTTGAATTATCTACTGGAATTTCAAGATGCCCATGCCTACTTCCTTCATCAATTAATTCTTGATAAAGGTTTGGCTTGTCTACATTAAAATAGAACTTATTCGACTGGGGTCCCTCGGCTATTATCCTTTTTCCTTGAACAAGAGGTAATGAAATATGTTTTAGGATGTCTTGTGATAGAGAAAAAATATGGGGTACTTTCACAGGAACAGGTGCTGGGAGTGCAACCTTCACTTGTTTCTCTACGGCAACTGGTTGATGTTTTTTAACTTTAACATCTTCGTGAACCAATACCGCAGGTGAATTAGCGATTTTTTCCGCTTTGGCAAAAGCGATCTGTCTTTCAAGTTCGTGGAGTTGACGCAACCTTAGAAAATTTTCAATAAGGATCGCTTTTTTCTGATCATTATATTTAGGAGCATATTGCAATTGTACAAGTGGTTTCTCAATGTGCACCAAGTTTCCAGGTCTGGGATCAAGTACAGACAAAGGGGATAAATACTGTGAATGATATTGGTTATGGTTTTCCAATTCCCCTATTTGTCGCTGTTCTTCTAGGCTGTGTACATGTCTTAATCCGATTTCAGGACTGTATGGTAGATATACAACCTTTTCGTCATTCAGGTTCACTGCTTGTTGAATTCCAATTGATTTAGCTCTATTTAATTCCTGATAGTAATGATGTAACCTTAACTGTTCGTCTCTGATAGCTTGTTCTTGTCTCCAATGATCGTATTCTTGTTGATTTTCTAAAGATAACACTTCTTCTTTCAGTAAGGGTTGCTCTAATTCATGATGCTTTTCATGAATATGTCCTTGCTCTATATTCACAGATTTAATATTATGTAATTGGTGTTGAGCCAATTCTGATTGATGTTGTAAGTGTGCCTGTTCTCTGTGTTCTGGGTGAACTCCTTCCGGTAAAACTTGGGGACTGACTAAGCCTTTACCTTCTTGTAAAGCCTTGATTTGACTTGGAGTAAGGTACAAGATAACTTCTCTAGTCGCATATCGTTTTTGATTTTTTTGTGCTGGTGCTGAAGTTGATTTTGATGTGGGTGATGCTGATGTAGATGATGGTGTCGCTTCTGTGATAGCTTGAGGTCCGGGTTCTAATTTTTTTGCATATACATCGATCAGTAGTACCAAAAAGGCACATAAAACAGTCTGAAAAAAATAAAACAAAGTATTTAATATTACATAGAGTTAAAATAGCATATATTGTGTGCCTAAACTAACTTACAGAAAACTTCATGGCTGCATAGAAGAGGAGAAGTGTGTTTCTATATTTCTAATATCGGTCTGTTGCTTGTAGAGGATGGCATCAATTTTATATACAAAACGCAACTCAAAAAGAGGCCCGATTTGTAATTTTTATATTTTGAATATTGACATAGTTTTCTTAAAAACGAAATCGAGAGTCCGTTGGTGATTTCAACCCATTTTAATGTATTCATTTTCGAAACGCGGAAACGTTTGAACATTAGAGGGATATTAAATAATATAATGAGTAGTATTTTATTAATGAATAAAAACTAGAAAAATAAACAATTCCATATATATAAAACTATAGCATTTTATATCTGTCACTGCACCACGCGATCTAAAACAGTATTAGAAAAAGTTATAAATATGTACATATTTGTGTATGGTTCAAATATGTTCCAGTTTTTTACAAAACCTTTTAACCCCTTGCTGCATGAATTATGAAAGAGATGAAATAAATTTTTTTTTTTTTTGGCAAAAATGTGTTTATTGTAGCTTAATTAGTGAGATCAAATCAACAAAAAAAAATATTAGCTTATAATTCAAAAGTTAGTAATCAACGCCATATGTGGCTTCGTATGCATTCTAGCCATATACGCTTCGGTCAAATATGGCTTCGTATGCATTTACGTGTAAAGTATTTTATTCCTCGTGAAATTCTTTGTAACAGTTGCGTTTGTCATTATAGCACAAATAAACATTACATTTTTCACACAATGTAAAAGAACGAAATTTAGAACAATTTTGGCATATTTGTCGGGCATTCTTCTTCCAAATCGGAAAATGGCTAATCCCATCGGTACGCACGGACGCCAAAGGCAAGTCTTGATGCCTAGCTGGCGTTTTTCGTGTCTTTTTTGCGGGAACTGGAGATTCAGGAATACGGGAGGAAGTGCCACCCCGGCTGGATGTCGGAGTTCCAACAATGCTCGATGGACGACCACGTTTCTTGGTCATAACTGCTTTTCCTGCTTTACGCAAATGTTCGGAAACGGCCAGTTTGAAATCATAAAGTGGCATGTATGAGTCAGCATTGATTCGGCGCCATAACAACCAAGCATTGACAAGTGTCATGTCCACCATGTGAAAAAAATCCTCTTGTACCATTGACGAGACTGCAAATGGATTCTATAATAACCCAGCATAGAATCTAGTAAATCCACTCCTCCCATATGCTGGTTATAAACATCTACAGCTTGGGGTGAAGGTATGTAAACATATTCTTTATCTTGGCGAACGTAACGCCGCTTTGTTGTTGTGGGTTCACTTCCAACGTAGGCTGAAAGAAAAAAAAAGAAGAAAAATCTGATTCTGACTCCGGTATAATGATATGTCGTTTAGGAGTTAAACTAATGGAGCCAATATTACAATTATCGTCACAATCCGAATCAACATCATCGTCACTAATGTCACCATCACCTGGAATGATGTTTACATGCTTTGCAGTGCCATAAAAGCGTGCTGGGTCCATTTCTAGAACAAAAAAGAAAGAAGCCTTAAATGCATACCAAGCCAAATATGACAGTACCACTTTTGACCATAATGCATACGAAGCCAAATATGGCAATTTTGAAAAAGTAGATAATTACGTCGAAATATGCACAACAAAGCAAAAATCAAACATTCACCGTTTATAAGAAAGATAAAAGAATACTGTGGTATTTTTTTCAACCGTTTACTCACCTTTTTGATATGTTTTTTTTTTAATTAAAAATTACACTTTTTTCGCTGCACCTGCTCCGCCGCACGCGCTCAACATAACCTTAAAAATATTTGACAGCTGACATTTGACATGAATGAGTTAATTACATTCCGTTTCACCATGAAATTCCGGATCTGTTGTTGGTTAAATTTTAAAAATCGGACATACCAGTAGCTTGGAAAAAGAAATGTAAACTTGGTCATCCATATATGGTTTCGTATGCGGTAAGGGGTTAAGAATCATAAGATTGAACCATAAAAAATTCTGATTATTTTTGCAAAGTGATAGTGATTTTTATTAAATTTGGTGTTTAAATAATTGAAGCACTAGAAGTGACAAATGGATATAAACTGAAAAGAAATTGTTTTGTTCTCCAATAATACAATTATGTGTGTTTTACGTTTAATTACAAATAAATATATTTTCCTTTTACATTTGAGACACACTATAAATCAATAAAACATATTAGTTTTTGTTGTTTTAGATCAATATTAAAAATATTAAGTTACTCATTGCTATTTCATCTTTAATTCCTGTAAAAAAAATTGTCAAACTAATAAGCTTTCATGAATCGTCATAAATCATGTAATATTGCAACAATGTGTATATTTTGTTGCAATAGTGAAATACATATGTACACGAGACATTAAAAGAAAGAACAGTATATTATATAAAAAAAATATGAATAAGTTTTTCCAAGAATGACTGAATCTTATTATGTATAAACATACATTTATTTAGCATATAAATAGTTATTTAAAACATTAACATTATTCATTTCATTAAAATATTATGCTATTAGTAAATAAGTTAATAACATAACATTAAATTTAATATTTACTTAAGTTAAAGAAAAGTTAAAATGTAACCATTTCGTTATAAGATCATTTTTACTGTCATATGGGTAAAGAAGCACGTTTCTTTTTTAGTGCTATAATTGGGAAACTTATAATTTGTATAAGTACTATTTGAATACAACGAAAATTTGCACACTTTTGAAAGAAAGTGCAAGTGAAAATCAACTAGTTATGTCCTAACATAACTTGTTGATTTGAAACTAAACTTTAACAATTATGTCATTAAAAAATGGTCGACTTCATACTTACTCCCATCCAATATAATGTAAGCCTACAGAAAACACAAAATATGTACATAGAAAAGTAAAGTAAAGGTACTTTTAGGTCATAGTCAATAAAACGTAACGCAGAATTAAAGTTGTCAAGGCACAAGGAAACCAAAGTAGTTTCTGTCTGTTTTAGTAAAAAATTAAATATCAAATTATATATTGTCAATCTACAATAGGATGAGTCTAACCAACGGTTCAAAAGAAACTACGAAACTTTCTTAGACGAGTATACATATTATACACATTAAAAATTACAAAACCAAACCCATAACTCATTCTAAAGACTACAATATGTCTTGTGCGCTATCGGATATCTGCTGGTAGTCGTACCTACTCGTAGGAGGCAGCAGTGTCAATCCTTTCATGATATTTTATCTATAAGACACGACGGTGTAGCTCCGACGATGTTAGTTCATCCTACTAATATTATAATTGCGAAACATTGTGTGTGTGTGTATGTTTGTTACTTCTTCACGCTCAAACGGCTGAATCGATTTTAATAAAATTTTGTATACAGGAGGCTGACGTCTACGAATAACATATAGGCTACTTTGCAACCCGGAAATCCCGGAAATCCGCGGGTAACACCGCGGGGCGCAGCTAGCTTTTGTATAAATGTTATAATCGTGCGTTAAAATCTTTGAAAGTTCTATTATAGTTATAAACAAATAGCCATGGGAAATTATAATTTTATTGAATTCATTGGTAAAAAAATAATAATTTTAATCACTATACTAAATAAGTTTGATATCCTAAATAATTCAAATGAAAGTGAAAGTGGACATTCCTCATTAGTAGTGTTGCTCTTAATGAATTGCTTTTGATTTATTTATAAAATGGATTCGTATAATTTCGTTTCAAAATAATATATATTGCGCTATGCATATAAATAAGTTAAACAAGAATAAAAATAAAGAAGAAATGATATTCATATAACTTTTAGGAGATAATAGTAACTATTTATAAATGAAACTTGAATTGCTTGACCTTAAATATACTTATTTCAAACTTTATGTCTTAATAATTTATGGAAAAGTGTAGGTTTGTTCGAACAAAATTTAGCAAAATTGTAATGATGAATTAAAAATATTTCATGTATCTAACATACTTTTAAAATCAGTTAATCCACTCAAATAAGTCAGTGTTCAGTAAATTATTCAATTAATATTTATAAAATATATGTTTAGTTTCGGAAATAAAATAATGCATATATGTATATGGTAACATGCTTTTTATTTTACTATTGGTATTTACAACTAGTGACTAAAGTATTTACAATGTATATGACTATTTGGCACCATCACAATTCCTAATAAAATTACCAGCAACAGCTCTTTTTCTTGTAGTGAGTAACATGCTTGATGATATGAATCGGGTATGGTTTCCATACAGGTACGGGTACCTCAACAGTTTTCTCAACAGGTACGTGGACCTTCTTAATCACTTCTACAGGCCTATCAACAGGAATGTGGACTTTCTTGATAACTTCAACGGGCACATGCTTCACAACTTCAACTGGTACGGGCCTTTCTACTTCAACGTGCTGAGTTTTGTATACAGGGTAGGGAACATGTTTAACAACATCGACGTGGACGGGGTAAGGTTGTGGGACGGGTACTCTGACTTCCTGACGAACTGGGACCGGTACAGGCTGAGGCACAGATACTTGGACATGACGAACTACCTCAATTGGAATTCGGCGAACAACGTTTTGTACGACTGATTGAAGCTCGTATCTCGAAGCTTCGGCAACAGGACGGCCAACGGATACACTGGTTCCAATAACTCTAGGAGCTCCAACAGCTGGAATAGCAGCGTTGTTAACTAGGGGTTCAGAGAGAACAGCACCGCTAGCTGCAAGACCGCCAACTCCGGCACCACCATTAAGCCCAGCATCAACCAAGGCTCCACCAGAACCTGATGAGCTGAAACCACCGAGACTGCTAAGATCTCCACCTCCATTACCAAAAGCAGCTCCATCTAGACCTGAACTTGAACCTAATCCTCCAACAGCTCCAAAATCAGAACTGCCAACTGCCGCACCACTGGAGATGTAACCATTGTCAACGGATGAACCAGCAACGTCACCACTGTAACCATTTCCACTTGAGAATGAAGATCCGCTTTCAACGAACGACGAGCTTTCAACTGATTGACTGTGGCTTATTTGAGATTCATGTAGGGCAGCTCCAGCTGATGGAGCACTTAAACCAAAACCACCAGACGGTGCAGATAAAGCAGGAGGTCCATAAGAATTTGAAGGTGCTCCATATGACGCAGAAGGGGCTTGTGATGCTGATGATACATAGGAATCATGACTGTGTTCTCCAGACAGTACACCGGCACTTGCAGCATAAACAAGCGCCGATAAAAGGGCGACCTTAAACTGTAACAAAAAAACAAGTTTAGTTTTAATTCGGTAAGTTCAATGAACACGTATTTACTTTTTTATGAACAAAACTTACAACAAACACCATGGCTATTAGCTAACCGCTGAAAGCCACACAGGAAAAGTAGTTGTTGTTTGTTCCGAGTTTCGGTAGTGTGTGATTTGATAACGAGATTGAACCGCATATTTATAGTAATAGACGACACTATTTCGTTACGATACCCATGCATAATTTATCTTGACGGATCTTCGAATTTATGCAAATATTTTAAACCTTTAGATATATAAACTGTATAAAAATATCTTTAAAAAAATTTATTGATAAGTTTATATTTTTTATCAAATAAAAAAAAACAAGCTTAGAGAAGGCGTCCGTAATTTCATAATTTTATTTATATTTAGTCAGAAATCCGAATCATGTGCTGAAAATAGTAAAAATGTCCATTTTATACTACTATTTTGTTAATATATTAGCATGCTCAAATATAATAAACCTCAATTAACTTTGCGGTTGTAGTAAGAAAAATTTCGAATATATTAGTTTTATACTATAGTTCTATAGCTGTTTGTAAACTAATATTGGAAAGGCCCCTTAAAAAAACGTGTAACTATTAGTAAACTACTATTGAAAAAAAAAATAAATAAGCATTTTTATTATAAATCAAATTTCATCAAAAAATCCCAGATATATCTAAAATTGGACTATTATATATAGAATTTGGTTTAATTGAAGTTTAAAACAAAAAAAACTAGAGATAATGTTGTCTTAGAAATAATTGACATTTAAAACAATTTTATCTGCCATACTTTTTGCACACAAGTTTGTTCGTCACAAGTGATTCTTCAATGTTTTTAGTTTAATCAATGTCAAGTATAATCATGTAATATTTAATTTACTTACATATCTATTTAATATATTCGATCTTTACATTGCTTTGTTATTGATTAATTACAGCGTTTCTTTTTGAATGAATCATTTTATACCGAAATATTCTCTACTCCTCATATTAACCACTTAAATTGGAATTTTATTTACAAACGACTAAAATAATTATAAACAATAATTTTTAAACAAAGATTGTCAGTGCCTAGTAAAATCAAAACTGAAATCGTGATGTCAGTGTAAATTGAGTCCCTTCATATTACATAAAGATGGAATAAAACAGTTTTTCGACTGTTTAAATTAATTTAAACATATGTTTTTTATGAAAAGAAACATATATTCTACTTCCGGTGAATTCTAGGCCAATTTACGTAATTTTAAATCTGATCGTCATATTTTTTAAGGCAAGCCCAAATATTACATAAAAAACAGGTTTGATCAACCAGTTTTCTTTTTTAAGTTGTCGTCTCAAATTTGGCCATTATAAAAATAGATCATTTCTTTAAAAGTCTGTAAACCAACCAGTTTCACTTTTGTTATTGTTATTTGACAATCATTTACGCTCTTAGTATGTATTACATTGCTCATTTCCAAAAACTAACAAAAGAATTAATTAAAATGACCATACTACTTCATATATATTTTAAATAAACGTGGATTATTAATACATCTATAATAAGCTCTCATACTTTCATTAGTTGTATGAATGATAAGAATTAGGTAAATAATACGTTTTACTAGCCATAACAGCTGTCTAACATCGGACAAGATTAATATCATAATGAAATCAATCGGACATTCGATAGACTTTAGAAATTATGTTAATCGCAACTTGATTTCACATTTACGACCTTCTTAACCTTTATTAATATTTTTACAAATGACATATGTAATAGAGTCTATAATTTATACTTTATTTAATAGGCCTAATAAAGCATATTTCTTAAATAATCTGTCAAATCAATTCCTTTTCTTTAAATTAAGTGATCATTATTATTTAGAAATAAATTTTTTAATCAAATTTGATTTAACTTCTCCCTGATAGATGTATTTTATTTAAAGTGTTAAATATATGAAACTAATTTTTCTTGAAACTTTAATTACTGCTTCTTAGAAGAATCTAACGGTTAACAGTTGAAATCTGTCCAATGACAGATTTCTTAAAAAGGGATTACAGGCTCGACATCCCAGCTACGTCAGCTCACTTAGATACCAGTTTTCTTAGCTTAAAAAAATAAACATCGCAAAAGAGACGAAACTTCTCAGCATTCCATGGATTCACCGTGCGGGTGCCGGGTCCATCGCGTTGCAGGGGGAGGAGCTTTAACAGTGCCTGGGACTTGCGACCCAAGTGTAGGTTTAAGGGGCCCCTTAACTAACGCGCGTTATACGCTCACCTCCACTGTCCAAGCTCCTCTCCCTACCTAACCAAATTTGAAAAGAACCTACTAGGGCTGCCTTCGACGTACGTTCCAAGAATGCATTAATGTGAGTTCTGGACAAGCCCAAGTCCTTTAGTAGGTTATAGAGAGATTTCGCTGTTATACCTCTCGCTCCCACCTCTACCGCGTACAAATCTACTACGAACCTATTTCGAGTGAGTTCGTTTGTGAGCTCGTAATATTTGTTGACCTTGATGGTATGGTCTTTGGGGATGTTGGTTTCCCAAGTAAGTAAGTAAGAAGTATTTTTTATATTTTCTGTATTATTTCCAAAGGCTTCATTCAATGCTTTCTACAACTGGTATAAAAAAGCAAGTGTACATCCTACCAGATTTTTCTTTAACATGTTGGAACATACATACAGACATACATAAATATAGTGATATGAAGCTTGATATCAACTTTATCATTCTAGTGCACATAGATTTAAAAATAATCACTGGTCAAGTTGCTTCGCTGGTAAATAATTGATTTAAAATAAATCTTAAAGTTAAAATTAAACTCTCTAGGTACACCTCCTGTGTAAATGAACAATTTATACACTGTCTGTCGTTAATTGGTCTTAAGTTTGTTTTTAGGAAATTATGGGCATTGAAAAAAATATATATTTTATTTATTTATTCACCAATTAACAAAAATTCAAATTATAAAACGTTTTTTATGAAAATAATGCTATATGTAAACAGATTAAAAATATTTCGCATCATTTATGTACATACTGAAAATAATAATAAATAATAAAAAAAAGATTATTGTGTAATAATCGGAATCAAAGATATAAGTTATTAGGAACTAGTAAATATATAAATATTTATACTTTTGTAATGTATAGTGCATATTTAAGAATATTTTTTAAGGAATATACATATATTTTTTTCTTTTTAGGAACACAAATAAAATGAAATTTTAATCTGCGGGTAATAATTTTTATTTAAAAATTATCAATCTTATAATACTATTTACAAGAGCATTAAGAAGGTACAATAAGAAAAAACAATTATAAAAGAATTTACCTAAATTAATGACTTAGTTAACACCCTACTTTGCAGCCTCACGATGAGCTTTTTACTTGGCATATTTACAAAACAAATAGACTAGGTTGCATTGTACATGAGGTATTTCTTACAGTTGTTTTTATTGATGAATTACCATTTAGACCAGCCGTGTCCATGACCGTGGCTAGAGTGAGCCTTATGATGTACAGTCTTAACTACTGGTACTGGATATTTCTTTACAACATGAACTGGAATCTGAACAACTTTGACTATTGGTACTTCAACAATCTTTTCAACAGGAACAGGGCGGTCAACAGGTACTTCGACCACTTTCTCTACGGGAACCTTGACAATTTTTTCAACAGGGTAAGGTACAGGTTTGTCAACTTTCACGTGCTGAATCTTCACTACTGGGACAGGTACGTTCCTTACAACTGGAACTTGGACAGGGTAAGGTTGAGGATAGGGAACTTGAACCCTTTGTGGCACAGGGTATGGTACTGGCTGGGGAACTCGGTGGGTTACTTGGCGGACGACTTGGTATGTTTCATCACGTACACGATACTGAGTGGGTGCTCCGTTGTTGTTTGCAAGACCATGAATTTCAGTGATCACTGGAGCTTTAGGTCCAGCGGGTAGTCCATCGCCACCAACAAATCCATTGCCCCCAAAGCCTACTGAAGAAGATCCAACAGCCTGTAGTCCACTTCCAAGTCCTGGTAAGGCAGCTCCAGCGCTAACCGGCGCAGAAACGAGAGGTCCAATTGATCCCGATCCACTTAATCCTGATCCAGATAAACCTCCACTCGCAAAAGAAACTCCAGTTAATCCAGCGGATCCTAATCCTAATCCCGAGTTTGATTCAAAACCACCGCTGTTGAAACCGGATCCTGAATAAGTTGCTGAAGGAAGCGAACCTTCGGGGAAGGAACTGGGTGAGAAACTTGAAGACAATGAACTGGAGCCTGAGTAACTTTGCAAAGGTGGAGGTGATAAACTATGGCTGATTTGTCCATGGTGATGATTTCCATGCAAAATTCCTGCGTAGCTGCTGCTCAATAAGATTGCTAACGTAGTCACTTTGAGCTGTAAAAAGAAAATTATAAGAAATAAATTATTTTATTTACGTTTATACAGTAGGTAAGCCAATAATAAAATTTAACTCACAATGGTAGCCATATTGTTTAGCTAATCGCTGGCCACTCAATAAAATCTGTGTGTTCTACAACAAGACTATCTTGTTTGTGTGAAATTTGACGTCTGTTGCATTTTTATATATTCATCACTTTGATTCTAGGTCACAACGATAACGTCGTGTGTTCGAACTGGTTTTATTTCTTTCTTTTTCTAACGGATATAATATTCATCGGAATAAATTCAAAAGCGGGTTACTTAATAGGCATTTCTAAAATTTAAGCGCATTAATATCTTATTATTACAACATGATACACCTTGGTTATTTTTATAACTTTATATTGGAATATAATGACGTATCTAAGATTATTTGAAATAATTAAACATATTTTCAATTAATATTGTGTTACGTGTAGAAATATAAGATAAAAGAAATATATCTGTAAGATATAAAACGAGCAATTAATTATTTTTAATAATCATTTACATAGTGAAAATAGATTATTTATCATCCACGCAACGTTTGTAACAATAAAGTGACAGATATAAATGTAGCTTTATAATTTGCTAAACAATCTCCACTGCAGACTGCGAGGCGACTCTAAGCTCAGAAAGCGAGACGTTTCAGACACGCACATAGATATTACTATAAATGTTTTCCTCGAGGAGAATGACATGCGTGTAATATATGTAATTGATTTTAGTCATAATATTTAATATTACATTTCCAAAAAATGTACCTCATTATTCGAGCATTAAAAATAAGTTATGATTTTCGTGAACAATCAAAAAGATTTAAGGGGAATTTTTTAATAAATTCCCGCTCATTACATAACAATGTGTTAAAGAGTAAAATTTTTCATAATGATCTATTAGAATTCAGTGAAATCTAATACGTTTGTAGGTACGTGGTGAAAATAAAACTTGTTATATATTCCACTAATTACTTTTAGTTTTAAAATAATAATAGAGTTAATGGTGTGAAGTAAGATATTGGTTTTTAGACAACCATGTATTTTATATAAGAAAACTAAATAAAATTAATATTTCCTCAATAATATTTTATTTATAACAAAGGTTTTTTTATAACAAATAATTATTAATAATAAAAACTTATAAGTCATTAACTTTATATTATTAAAAAGATTTATATACAATTTAATTGTTATTTTACGTTATTGAAACTTATTCCTATACTTAAATTATTTACAACAATAAATGCCAAAATATTATACGCTATATAAATTTTGCTACGCCGTTTCTGTTTAGGACGTAGAGATAATTATATTTATTATTTAAGCACAACATTAGTTGGTACATTTAACATGAGTAAAATAAATGTAAATTAAAGTTCCAGCATTTTTATATATTATATTCCTAATTTATATATTGACTGTTCATTATTTATTATACCTCTAAATTTCTGACTTTAAATCTCCCTTATAACTTATAACAAACATAACGAAAATCTAATACAATAAGAAAACTAAGTGCTTTCTTCCCCGTCAATAACATCTAATTTGTCTTGTGCAAAAGGGTATTTATAATGTGTAGTTGGTTTATCTTCATCTTCCCTTCCTGATTCGAAAAATGGTTCCGATTTAAAGACTCGAAATATTTTAGGTCTGTTAACACGTCTTCGATTACTAATTTTGTCCTTTGGCAAAAATCTATGACGAGATGTACGAGGAGGAGGAGGCTTTAATAGAGGGTAAGGTTCATCAGCATCTAGTTTAGAATACTTTCTTTTATGAGTGTACCCACTTGTATGTTCACTATCAGGATGTTTTGGTCTTCTACCTATTGGATTACTTGAACTAAGCGGCGCTTTCGAATTATCTTCCTCAATATTGGAAGATAACTTTTCTTCTTGTGCTTCAGGTAAACTAGGAGCATCCTGACCACTAACTGATTCTTCAATGACAGCCCCTATTGGATGATTGTTAGAAGAATCTGCAATTGGAATATTTTCCGGCTCTTCTTCGCTACGTGAATACTTTACACCTTGATAAGGAACCCTACCTCCAGTATAAATATCAAAATATGAGTTGCTTAATGTATTTCCACCAGTATTAAACGACATAGCGTTATCATTTTTTAATTGTAGTAATTGTTGAAGTTGCGTAATATCTAGCTTCATTGGTAAAGATTTGCTGTAATCTCCTCTAAAAGCTAACATTTGGCTATCATCAATAGCAGGCTTACCTTTTAACATATCCGCTACCAATTTAAGGTCCACATTAAATGGATTTGCTACGTTAAAACCATTTATTGTTGATATAAAACTACCAGCCTGAGAATCAATTTCTGGCCGATTTGTGTTTAAAAAGCCAAAATTCCGTTTACTTCCCATTAATTTATTAAGGATTTCTGTGGCGACGTCAATATGATGATTTTCAACATTTTGGTTTATACGGACTGGCAACGGTGTAGGAATATTTCCATAATTACTGTTGTGAATACGAACAGGATCACTGTTAAACCCTTGTGTTAGACGGTATGGTAAATCATTTAGTTTTAAAATACTGCCATAGTCTGAAGATATTTGAGGTCGGTGATGTAATCCATGTTGAATACCTGTTGGTGTTTGTCCATTGTCTTGATGACTGTTAGAAATTTGGTTTGCATAATTTAATAACTGAGTCATTTCATCGACAGGATGTTTCTTTCCTGTATTAATGGTATGACTATAAAATCCTTCAAAGGAATTAGGTTTTCCAAAAAGAGTAGCACTCTGTTCACCTTGTCGTAACTTATCCGATTCTGTTATCTCATCGGATGTAGTTTTAAAATTAAATGAGTGCTGAGAATTCTTATCCTTATAATAAAGATCAGATGTTGGTCCAGAATGTGCTGAATCCTTATTATTACTTACTATACTATACCTATTTTTTGTATCTAAATCCGAATGGCCTTTATTTTGCGAATCAGCGTTTTGTATAACGTTTGATACATCTATTGGAACTATATTTTTTAAAGCTTTATCGTGATCAAAAGGCTGTTTCGATTTAGCATCATTGGTATCTTTTTGATTAAGATGGTATAAAGGGGAAATGGTGATTGATTCTGATTGTGAATATCCGAAAGGATTAATATTATCACTATATAACTTATTTTTATGATGATCGTTATAATTATAATAAGAGATAGAATTTGTTAAACCATTATTGTAATATTGACTATTTGAGTACTTACTAGCTTCTAATTGCTGTTTGTAATTTTCATGTACCTTAGCAGCAGCGCTTGCAAATTCGTCAGGTTCAAGTTTCTCAGAAACTGGTTTTATATTGTGGTCATAATTATATGGTTTGCTGGAGTCCATTTGGAAATTTACCTGAGTTACTGCTCCTGTTTCAGGTTGTAAACTTTGTATTTGATATTTAAAATAATTGTTTGGGTTCGTAGAAACTTCAGAACCAAAAGATGTCTTTCTTTCAGAAAGTTTCCACCCATAGTCTCCATGAGAATAAACTTCTGAGGGACTAGATTCTTGTTCGTTATCACGGGATCGTTCTTTTCCGTTCAATGATTGTTCAGGTTGAGCATAATGTAAGTAGATATTATTAGCAGAAGGCATATTTCCTTTTCTGTAAATATCATTATTCGTATCAAAATTGACAGGCTGTCGAATTTCTTGTTGATTATTATTGTATGTATAACTTTGATATTGTACTGGGACATAAGCTTGTTCTGACTTAGACAGGGCATTTATAGCATTCTGCCATGTATCATTAAAAGAATCAGGATGCAGTGTAGAGCTGGGGGACATAGTTGATGAAGGATGGTCATTTTGATGGTGATTTTGCAAGGGATAATGTATTCCATTAATTGAATTATCGTAATGATCAATTTGCATTAGTTTGTTTTGATCATTTACATTATAATTAACCACATTGCTTGCTACAGTTGTGAAGGGGCCAGTTGGAATATGTGAGCGTGGTGATGACACATATTTTTGTAAAGTTTGTTGGCTAGAAACGTAAGGTAGCAAAGTGGAGACATAATTATTTGCAGATGTATCTACGTATTGAGAACTAGGTGTAGATAAATATGGAGGTAAAGCAGTACTATGTTGATTGTTTAAATTATACGCATTTTGATTATATTGATATGTGTTCCCATTTGATTGATAAACTGGAGTAAATGTTCTGGGCTCAGCAGGGGCTATTTGATTTGACTGTTGCATATTTTCATATAATTGGGCAGCTATCGTGGAATATTGATATGACGGTTGAGGAGTGACTGTATATGATGCTTGCGTCGATAACTGTTGCTGTTGATGATATTGATTTTCTCTCATTTGTTGCAAAAATTCTTCAGGTGGCAATGAATATTGCATTGCAGGATATTGATTACTGGCTCCGGTAGCGCTGTCCTGAGAATAATTACTGTCTTGCAAAGATTTAAAATAGTTTGTTTGCTGGAATGGATTTTTAATTCGGTAAACTTTTCTGCTTCTTCCCCGGTCCGATCTATTGTTGTCACCATCGTTCGTGTCATCTGTTATCTGATAATTCTCATTGGCTGAATTCGTTGGTTCTCTCTGTACTGTATTTGTATTATAATTCATCAAAGGGTCACCTTGGCCATTGTTAACAGCATATTGCTGTAGACGGATAAGATCCTGGTTACTATACTCGTCCTGAGTACAGACCGAGTTAATGAAGGAAATTACTACTACTATCCGTATCTGGAACAAAAAAATGTAATGTTAAAACCTATTTAGACTTTTGAATGATAAATTTATTTAAAGAAAAATATTGTCTATAAAATATGATCAGTTAAAAAGGCCCGTACATGAAATTCCAATAAAGAATAAAAGGTTCGCTGCCTTCTTAGGGTAAAAGGGCGTCTGATAAATCACTCCCACGGAGGACTAATTCTTTATATAATAACTTTCTATTTATAGTATGATACCTTTAAATCATTACGGTCAGAGAAGTCGTGAGAACTTGACCCAAGCATAATGTAAGTGGAAAATGTAGAATATTATATTTGAAAATACATTTTTAAGAATTGAAATCGAGTTTTAGATTATCAATCTCATGATCCCAACCTATATTAAAACTTTAATTATTCATCTTACATAAGTAAAAGTTTACATTTTCACAGATATAAAAAATTAAACAACAAATCGAATTCATTGCATCATTATACCCTAACATAGATCAATGTCAAAGACGATTTTCCTAAAACTTACGTAAAATAATCCGTTAATTGTGCAATTGTAATATTCATTAACTAAAACTTATGAAAATAATTAGCATATGGAATATATTCGGCTAGATAAAAATAAATATTCTACAACTAAAAGAATAACTATATGAGAATGGATGCAAAATGTGTGCATTGATGTATTTATGAATACGTAAAAAGATAACATCATAAATTATTACTGTCATATATATTATTAAATATAAAATTATATTTTAATTATCATAAAGCAAATATGCAAGTTTTATATTAATAGAATTCACCACATGTAAATATTGTTATACAATATTATTATATCAACTTGCGTTGTTAATACAACCAAGGATACATTCATATAAATTTCTATCAAAATAATGTTCCGAAGTGAAATTGAGTAGTTCTCCTTAAAGTTAAACCAGTCCCATTAGAAAGCAATGATGATGATTTCGTTAACCTATCGAGGTATAGACAAAGTCTGAGGTCAAACGGCATCGCGACAAGGGACCTAGCATCTACCCACCTTTCTATGCCCTTTCGTGGACACGCTCAGGAATCAGGAAGAGGAGAAAGTCGAAACTAATATTTCTGCTAATAATTTACGTAATAAATTCTAGCAGAATAATATCATTCACATCTTATTATAACTAATTTATTAATTCATTATAACAAATTACATTCTCATGTTTTTTTTCTCAACAAATTACGTTCTCATGTTAAATTTATATCTTTTTTACATTATTAATTTCATTAATGGTATGCAATTACGTCAATCAAAGGTCTAGCCAAAATGTGGAAAAATACTTTGTGATTTGTGTTTCACATAGAAGGAATCCATGACATCTATTAATAAATTAAGTTAATTTCCCAACAAATTTGGAAACTAAACTAACGTAACACAGGTGTCGTAATTCTGTTTTAACTTTATAAACAGATTTTTAACTTGTTTTTTTAACTGTTAAAGGTACATTGATATATCGCGATAGAAAAACAATTCCTTTGTGCAGCGAATTATGCATTTCCAAAAAGTTTACTTATTTTTTCTTCTGAAGTGCTTGAACTGTATTTAAAAATTTGTTTGTGCCTTATTTGGTATAGATTATATAACTTTATGATGTCGCGCAACAGTGAGAAAGTGGTGCATTAGATTCCATTGATGCTGGAAAGATTATTTTTCTGTTACACCATTCATGACAAATGACAATAATTTATTTTTATTGATGTAATATTTCATTTAATTATAATATCAAGAGCTGGATATACTTCGTATATTTCGATACTGAACATTTGGGAAGCTAAATAAAATTATATTAAATGCAAAAGACGATATAAAATACCACTATTTAAAAATACTAGTCATATTAAATTCATTTCAGATATTTCGTTCATTTACGGTCCCAAATTTTATTTTTAGGATTTTTTAGTTACATTGATTTAAATTAATTGTGGATAAATATTGCTAATTTTCTTATATAAAAACACGAATACGTCGACGTTTTACATATAAATATATTATAATTTTTTATTTGAATAGTTACAAATCTTTAAGTATTTAATATATTTTATATATGAACTTTCACTTTAAAATTATTCAAATATTATAAATATTGTAGCTACTATATTAAAAAGGGAAGGCGAAGTGAATCATTTGAATAAAGAGAGGATATGGTTAATTTACTTCCTTAATATCGTACATAATTTTAAAATAATGTAAAAAAACCACCTTTCAAATAACTGTCTGATTCATTGAAAAATAAACCTACAATTTGAAGTTAATAGTAGCTGAATTTCAAAAATTTACGACATAGTATTTTTTTCAATAGAAGGTGTTTTAGAATTTTATACAGTTCAATTATAATCCATTGAATGAATTTCACTTAATTATATTAGTTAAGTTTTTATGATAAAAATTTTAAAATACAACATCATATTTTTACTTAAACAATTTATGTTTTAAATATATGGAAAAAAAAATTGAGTATATCAAACTTTATATCGAATTTTGAAAATGTTATTTATATTTTACTACATTTGTATGTTTAAATATCTGAATTAAACTGTAAATCAAATAGTCATAACAAAAAGAGCAGACTTCGAAGCCAAATATCTTCTGAACAGATCTAGTTGTAAATGTTGTCACAAATATACACATACATACTTAAACGAAATGTTATAACACCTTTTTAGTGTAGAAACTTTTTGTATATTTTTACATTGAGCAAAAATGTTTTATAGTTCTTTGCAAAGTCCCTGAATTCCTATTTATGAAGAAAAGGTTTTAATTATTTTGCTACATAAATTGAATAATGTTCTATTTTAGTGCATACTCATATTTAACCAATTATGCCAGTTATTTACCTAAACGTTTCTATAAGGTTCTTTAATTCAATAAAGCTTAAATAGGAAATTTCTTTATAAAATGAACTACTATTTAGTAGTATTTTTCTCGTTCTATATAATAATAATGGATTTAAAGTATTTCAGAACAAAACCATTCATAAAAATAAATGACTTACAGCCTCCATAACAGGCATCATTCTTCTGAACTTCATAATTGTTCTTAATATCAGCACAAACAAACAGTTTTATGACATATCACACACTACACGAACACTATAATCCAGGTGTACAAAGATTATCCAGGAGTTTTAAATCTTTAAGAGGCCGTGGTGAAGTGAAGTTCAAGGATAGATAGTTTCTAGTTTATATACTGGGGTGGCGAAGCGTGGCGGTCTGTCTGTGTGTAAGTGCAAGTGCAGTGGGTGCAATAACTACACACCTGCACACATGCATCACGACCACTTCTCCGAGATGGGGAAGTCTTTAGAATTGACAATTGAAATGTATTCTTTTGTGCGTTAAGGCCGACTTTATGCAATTATATTCTAAAATAAATCGACATACCTAATTATATATCTTTTATTCACAAATTAAGTACGTTTATTTAATAATAAATAAAAAAATATAAATCCCATGTTTAAGAATAAAATAAAATTCCAAACTTTTAACGAATGAAAATTCGATATAATATTATTGTAATTTTTTTAAATACTATTTCCTATTATATCATATTACATATATTAAAACTTTCTCTAAACTGTTTACACAATAAAGCTAGTATCACCTTCAGGTCCCAATGTCATAGTTCATTACAACCTTCACATAAATATCTTCTTCATATGATTTAACTTAATGTGAACAATTTATATTAGATAAACATCGGGGAAAATGTATTAATCCTAACCCGAGAATTAGTCAAATTCAAAACATAACCACATATTAATAATGTAAGGAATAATGACTTAAAACAGTTACGTAGTTTTAAGTCAAGTCAAAATGTAATTTACAACACTTATAGTAATCTCAATAACTATGAATCTCTTACTTCCTGTTAAGTTCTATTGCACGTTTCAAGATCAGTCGTCATCAAAATCAAATTCATTGCCGATCACTTCCTAAGATAAACCTTAATTATTCGGTCAGAAATAATGTCAAAGCTTCGCTTTAAAGCGCTGTTGTCGATTTTGTAAAATAAAACAGCGTTATTTACAACAGTGAGCTGAAAGCGCTTTTATATCAAAAGTTGACTTACGCCTGAGGAAGAAAATACAAGATTTTAGTTTATGTATTTGATAAACTACGAAACACCGGAGGCGTCAATAAGAATGAATGATCATACAAAATAATAGCCTTTCAAAATTACAACAGCGATACTACGAAATATATTTCATTGTTAATGTGAGGCGATAAAGATAATGTACTATGCAAAGGAAGTACTATAAACCGTCATACAAAACACTTTAGTGATTAGTTTTCCTCTTTAGGCATTTCATTACTGTAAAGTTTTCAAGCGAACTTCGAGAAATTGGGCTATTTAATGAGTTAGTTACATAACAAAATATTTCGTAATTAATTTTTCCTATATCCTCATCATTACATAATATGTTAGTAGTTTAGAGCAAAACCTACTTCAAGAATCGTAAATGGGCGAACCGGAAATAAATACGGATATTTTCACTCTCCTTTTCGTGTTTCCGCATTTTCCTTCACTTTATCGGATCGAAATAAAACTGGGTGGGAATAAGGAAAAGGCGTGACTACTTGTTAAGCTGGTATTATAGTGACATACGGGCAGGAAAATAAGTTCAGACTATGTCTCAAATTCCTATTTTTCTCATAATTAATATTTTGATTGTTTCTCTAATAATCTTAAAAAAACGAACAATATCAATGACCGTAATATACTGTGTGTGTAAAAAATAATAAATATTTATTCGCATATAGCCTTCCAAAGATTTTTTACTTGAATTTCAAAACTACAACATGCATCAAAAAATACTAAGGCGCTAGATTTATTTTCTTTAAAATAATACAATACAATAGAGAAACAGTATAGGAAATTCTAGATTATCAATTAAAACTTGTTGAGGATATACGGTTACGATAAACGAGTTACGTAAATAAAAGCTATTACTTTGTTGGGATTAAGTTAATTAGTGTTTTATTTACAATAGCAGTTACATTTTAGTTAAATGAAACTAATATTTTTCGTATATACTACGAAACTTTATTTTTGATCAAAACACACACTCCCGACTTTTCAGCAACGGTGATCATGGGCAGACGAGATCAGGGTTGCTGAAAAATAGCCGAAAAATATTATTATCATTTTAATGAATAAAACTCGGGAAAATTTAGATCTCTTACATTTTACTTTCGTCAATAAAATTTATTTCATAAAGTTCAAGTCAATTTTTGAGTTTTATTAGAAAAATTTATGACTAATCGCAAACGTACACAGTACATTTGTCTAGAATAAATACACAAGAAGTGATGGGGTTAAGCACATAATAGACAAACATACATTCAAATACATGCATCTGCACATATACCGATTATTATTATTATTTATTAGATTTTACCTCTAATATATAATAAATTTATTAAAATATATTACATATAAGAAGATAATAAGCTAATAAAAAAAGTTGCATTCCTTATAAAGTCGGTAGTATAGTAATCACTTTTATGAAGTTTATATCTTAAACAGGTCAATTGTGATATTTCGCTCTGGTTTAACTAAATAAACTTTATCAATAAAAAGAATTATTGATCTTGCAATGTAGAAAGCGTGAATAAATGGAAATCCTCCAAAAGGCTTTTCCGAAAAAGGACAGCCGTATCCATAAGTTTCCATAAGTTAATCTTTTTCAGTATATATAATCAAATAATAAAGAAATTACACATTAGAAGTAGTCGAGCTCAAATGATTAATTTAATTACTATAGATAAAATGTTCTTTAGTGTAACAAATAGTTAAAGTCAAAAAGCCTTATGAATGAAAAGTTCTCTATGTTTGAACTTATATTGATACATATTTATATGTAATTTGATATAATTATATTATGAGTATATTGAGACACATTTTAAAGCCGTATATATTTATTTCAACAATAACAATAATACAGATAGTTTGACAAATTAACATCTTTTTACAGTATTGTATTAACGTTTTATCTTATTATTCTAAAATATTGCACATCTAGCCACTCTGCAGCTTTAAATAAACCCTTTTTTAGGAAATCTATTTCACTGAATAAATATTTACTTTTTAGTATAAAAATTCAAATAAAAAAAACATTAAAATTATTTATATACTTTTTTCAGTATATCAGTTAAAAAAATTACATTCATCTTTAAATAACACTTACGCTACCAACTTATTCTATGTACTAACAATATAACAATAATAATGTAACCTACATATAAACAAGAGTAGATTAAAACTTAATTACTGTGACTGTTTCTTGTTATTTCGTTCATTTTGTTTTTTAGCTGTCTTATTAGTGACTGAAGTTTCTTGATTGTTCTCCTGTTTAACCATCCTCTTTGGATGAGAATGGATATTTCTAGAATATGAAGGTTGATTTGATATTGACGAAACGTATCGACCGCTGTTGCCATAATCACTCTTCGTTCTAACATCAGAGTAATGACCAACTTGCGTGTAATGCATAGGTAATGAATGAGAGTTTACGTAGGACACCTTCTCGTCATTTGGATTCTTGAGTATGGTTTGCGGTACCATTATCCTGTATTTAGATTGATATTTTGCTGATGGTACTGGTGTTACATAACTGACTGTCTGGATACTGGATTGTGTGGGCTGTTTAACTGATTTATAAGCGTAGGGTAAAACCGTAGCTATGGTGTGATCTTTGCTTGGATAATTTTCTGATAGAACTAGAGATTTGCTTGAATCTTCATTATTTTGCGATTTATATTCATAATTCTGAGGTACACCTGTTTGTTCTACTTCTTCATATTGTTCTGTATGAATAAGTCTTGATGGATATACAGAAACTGGGCTTTTCGGACTTTGTGATGGTTGGTAATAACCTTGGGAGCTATATCCACTGGTTGATTGAGATCCTTGTTCCAAGGCGACATTTTGTTTGTATTGTTCATCACTTTCCTGATTCGCATAAACTGAAGCTCCTTGGTTAACAGGAGCATACTGTTCGACAGCTGATTCTGCATTACCTTGTGGTGCGTTTTGGCCCTCGTAACCTTCGGCTACAACTGGTTTAGACTCTTCGTTACTTGTTTGCGTTTGATATGATACAACTGGATATGATTCTTGATCATTTGTTTCAGGTTGTCCGTTCTGGTATCCTGTGTCATCTTCGATCTGGGTATTTTGGTGATATTGTGGTTGAATATAATAAGATTGCATGTTAACTTCTGTTTGTGGAATGTATTGGTATTCGTATTGTTGCTGTTGGACAGGACGTTGGTACAAGGATTGAGGTTTAGGGACTGAATATTGTTGTTGGTTTTGGTATGAACTTGGATATTTTGCCATAACTGGTTTGACTCCAGAGTATTGTATACCGGAAAAGTCAGCCTGAGTGTACGATGGTCTGACATGAGGATTGGAATAATGTTGCGGTTCCACTTCAGGAGTTGATACTTCGGGCTTCTGATAAGACATTATTTGTGGAGCAGATGAATAACCATGGTTTTTGAAATATTGATTTACCAAACTTTGGAGATTCACATGGTTTAAATGTTGGGATAAAGGATAATTTTTGGGTAAATCGGCATATAGTTCAGCCCTAGGATTATTTAAGTATGAACTGGGTATTCTTAACACTAAAACGGGGACAATAGGTTTATTTTGATTTAAATATGAGCTTTGAGAACGTAAATGGTCTTCTGTTAAGCCTGCACTTTGATACTGAGGATTATTTAAAAGTTGACTGGGATTAACAAAATAATCAGACATTACAGAAGGAAACTGTCCACTCACGCCAGAAAATTCTTGACCGTTATACGTGGTATATAAAGTTTGTGCAGGTTTTGCTGAATGTGAATTTACATTTGGTGAACCGAAACCTTGTACATTCTGATACCCTGTTTCAAAAGGTATGGCAGGTTTATTATATTGATACGAGGGTTGTTCATCCTTCAATGCAACAAGTTCATAGGCTTGCGACGGGGTTATTTCAACATTATATGTTTTAGACGATGAATATTTTCCACTCGATTGAGATGAATGCTTGGTATTATGTTGTAAGTTTCGGACTGGAGGAAGGTCTTCTTGAGAATAAGGATATATCATAAATTTTCCTTGGTCTAAGTTAGATTTTCCAAAATAAGTATAAGAATAACCATCATTTGTCCTATAGCCGTAACCCAAATTTGCATCGATTGTACGTTTGCCCTTTGATTTTTCGGTATCATTTACTATTTCTATCGCGATTACTGCAGGAAGTGGTGCCTTTTTTTGACCATCCTCCACATGTGTTTTATTTTCTTTCTCAACACTTTTCTCTTCAACTTTATCTGAAACATTGGACTTTATGGCAAATTTTTCTTCAACGTCTCGTAAAAATTTCTTTTCATCATCTGTCAAGGACTCCGATTTCTTAACTTTATCATTTGATTCCTTCTTATATTTCTTGGGATCAGGATCTCCGATTGTTGTCGATATTATCAAGCAAAACAGAATCTGAAATTTGAAAAAATCCTCATTAATCTCCGAACATTAGTATAAAAATTATAAAGTTCAGTTTATTATAAAATAAAGCCTGATTAAACATGATTTTAACTGTTTCTTTGAATAAATAGTAATATAAATATATAACTATGTTTGTGTTATAAATAACAGAAAGTATTTATTACTAATAATATTCATGAAAAGGTTTGCATCCGCCGTACATGACAGGCACATTTAAATTGTTTTCACTCTCTACAAAGCCCTCCCACGAGTTCATTTACAAAAAGTATGATTTCTAATAATAAAAGTACTTTAATAAACATATATTTTACAATTCAATAAATTTTTAAGCTTTTAAAAAAGGGAGTGGTATTTAGTTGGACTCTTTGGGGTAAATATACGTATTCTAATTTGATGAAACTATTTCATTTAAAAAAAATTATATTGTATATGATTTCTTAGAATATTTATAAAGGGAATTGATGATGTTAGTTCCCTGATAGGCATGTGTTTAATTCTAAGGCATATAAAAGATCATCCACATATCATGTTAATCACATTCATCAAAATTTTAGTTAGATTCAAAATAATTCATGTTTCAAAAAAATAGAATAACATGTAATTAACTACTCTTTTTAAAAGGTTGATACGAAGCATGTTTACAAATTGATTTGACTACAGCATTCCTTAAACAAACATTTTTAGATTATATGTATTTTTAGCATTAAATAATTGAATTATTTATATTTACTGTAAACGGATAAAATATACTAATGAAGGCTTCGTTCCTGTAAAACTTAACTTATTTGTCTGGCATCAACGTCAATAATATATGTACATAGAATGATTTGTTTCTTCCGGTTGGCACGAAATATCTTATATTATAGGAATTACGTTAAAAGTACGAACTTACGATTCTTTAATACTTAAGTACATAAGTTTGGTGAACACCTACAATTTATCCAGCAATAAAGTGCTTACTCATAGTATTTAATAACCAAAATTTTAATAGGTTATTTGATATTTAGTCCTCATTTGATTATTAAATTCAACATAATTTTAAAAAGTAAATCTATAATAATAACCAATATACATACTGTTCATATTTCGACTTTATTCGACTGTAAATGTATATAATTTAATGTGATTCTTTTCAATCGTACATTTTGTTATTAAATGTAATAAACTTAATTTTTTAATTCCTTTCCTTGGTCTTTTTATTTTTAACTTTAGATGCACAAGCACTTTTTTTATAGGAGAAGAAATCAAGAAGTTCTTATCAGATGTTCTTATCATTAAATATAATTTTTATTTAAATATTTCAAAGCACATTATAAATTACCATAAAAAGGAAATTATTTATGGAGTCAAATGTTACGTTGGGTTACTGTAGAGAAAATGTTATAAGCCAAACACTAATTATTAAAAATTCATGATGTAACCAACACGTATGTGAGTTATGAAAATTTAAATTTATGGAAATTCCGTTATCTCACGAGTTGCGCAACATTGTAATTGGTTTGTTAATTTTTATTAGTATTTTTTTGCTCACATAATAGTATTTCCTTTTTGGTTATTATTCACAAATTCTATACGACTGCGACTACTGCATATATACTGGAGTTTATAAGAAACAAAAATAACAAAAAACTAGATGGCGCTGAACGCAAGAGTGCTCGAAATAAAGTTAAATTGCAATTTAATAAGTCATTACTCCAAGTGCATGCAAAGATGAGCCGCATTACGTACACAGTAATGCCAGACGAAAGTGAGATGCAGTCATGTTATCGACATAAAAGAGAAAGTCTCTTCGTCCAGTGATATCCACAAACATTTTCCGGTCAATAATCCTCGAATAACGTTACTTAAATAATTTTATTCGAATATTATATTATAGTCATTCAAATATTATTATTATTTCCTATTAAAATCTGTATTCTCATCGGATTTTTGTTAATATGTATTTAATACCTAAGTATTAAAGTTGATTTTTTTTTAAATTACAAATGGGTTAAACGTATTAACATTCTGTTACAGCTTAATATTAATAGTCTTCAATGTTAAGACGCAATCATCATGACAAGCAGAATTGATTTAGGATCTGGGTCAAATGATTACTTGCGACCATATATTTGAGATTCTTGCAAGATCCGTATTGTGCAATGAACCTTTTTACGCTGCTGTATAGAAGATGTTTTCGTTTTGTGGCGAAATAGATTAATTGACATCATACGTAACCACTTTGAACCACATCTGTCTGTCTAATGATAAAAATATTTCTAATCTATAATGATTATGTCAGAGGAAAACATGTGTTTCATCAAATCATAAATCTCAATTTTCAATTTATACGGTCTCTTAGACATATATATGAATTTTTAATGATAATATAAAGTGTATCACTCTCATAATAATCTGATGATTGTGATAATTGCAGGCTGATAAAAAATAACCTCTATAGTAATCACATTTAATATGCATTTTTTCAAGTTGTCACATATATATTTTTTTAGAAATCGTTTACCTTAGTTTATCATTCAAACTCATATCATTATTAAGTTATAACAACATGACGTATGAAACTAGGGTTTCCAAATGTTTGGAAACCCTACGCGAAACTTCACTTACATTACAAAATCATATTCACTCTAACTATTTATTTAATTTTACAACATACATTATTTTATATCAATATCATCATATCATCTTAGATTGACATATTGTAATTATACCACAATTTAAACTTATTTTAATTAGAGTATATAATATGACGTATGAAATAGTATACTTTTACAAATATTAAATGTCTAAAAAAAACTTCACGAGTCAACGAGTAAAAGGCTGATCCTCATTCTTTTAATTCTCCTATTACATTTTTAATACGTTACACTCCACTGTATATTGTACGGTCAATTTCATTAATTATTCAAGTTTTTCTAACATACTGGTTTTTGAATCATTACTATTGAAAATTTTCCGTTTTACATAAGCTTTAACATGTGGTTAATACGCAAGGAAATAACCTATAAAAATCTTTACAAATTACTTTATATTTACTTAGTACGTAATCAAAAAACGATATTTATTTTTCAATTTAGTTAAATTAAAACATAAATATTTCCTAAATTTTAAAGATTTAAGACTTTTATTTCTTTTAAAGAAACAGTAACGTGTGATATGTTTGGTTTTAACTTTTGTTTTTACCTTAATAGTTTTACATTATGTAACTATTATTTTAAATGAATTAATAATTATAAAATATTAATTTTCTAATCAACAAAAATTATCATAATATTTTAAAATATGAATAATTTTATTGACATCTAGTAAAAGAAGACGTAAGGAAACTTTATATTCAATTTAAAATCGGTTTTTTGATAGATTTGAAAGTTTTTGTATACATGAAATAAAAATATGTCGCTATAAATGTCTTAAAACGTTATGACTTTGCGGTCCATCGCTAACAAACGAATTGATCAATTATAAGAGAATTATTTTGATACAACATCCATTAATATAATTAATAGTCCAATATATCACCTCAAAATGGAAAATAATGATTAATTTTGTCATTATTGGCAAATTGATTGAATGCACGAGTACTCTTAAAGTTTAATATTTAATTGGTTACACTATCTACTAATAAATCTGTATGAAGTAAACACGCTTCATATGTTGTGATAGAGTATAAGATAAATCAAATAATTGATTTTACAATACTTTATTTGAAGTGTAAGAAATATTTTCAAGTTTTGTTATCTACAAGAGATCGTCTATTGAACAAAACAAGGGTAAGGCTTCACAGCGCATACTAAAATGTAGGTAGCTCAAGTATTGTCTAGAAACAGTTAAAATACCGTTATATGTACATTGTTATAAATAAAATATACATATATGTATAGAATAGAATACATATATGTAAATTTTTATATAATCTTTTTACAATCTTAGTTTTGTATAAATATATTGTAATTCATAATTACGTAAAAATAAAAGTACTTCTTCAGTAATTTTAAAAAGAAAAGTTTTTTAAATTAAAGTTTAAAACGTGTATAAAAAGGGATAAAGAAATGAAAATGTTAAAGCCACTTTGACTGTGATTGATAGTTCACGGTGAACATCGGCAAGAAAGTGGTTCCATTGATCTTACTCGTAACAGTTGATAATGATATACAACATCTTGAATCTATTTAGACTCTGCATCAAAGTTTTCCTTTTATATTGATACAAATAATATATACATAAAATTCAAGCCATAATTTTCTGTATTGAACTGAACTGAACTCAAAAACATAATATGAAACAATACATATTAATTATATATTACGTATATGCAATTTTAGTGTTTAGTCTATACGACTTAAGTTTTTAGTGATAGAGAATTAAATTTTCTTTTAAAAATTATACCTTTATTTATCTGCATTAACATGTATGTAGAATTTCATGTTATTAATAATGAATATATGTTTTAAAGAAACTATAATAATATTATATATCAAATCGCATCATGGGCATCGTAAGCATAAACAGTCGATAAAGATACTTACAATAATGTACTACGAAATATATTTCAATGGCGAGAATTTAAATAATTTTGACAAATTTAATCTAACTGATCGTCCACATAAAGATTGCATCTAAACCATTATAAAATTGGCAGTTTCTGAGAGTGGTTTAAAATCAATTAGCACTAAAGCAATAGGAAGAAAATAATTTAAGCTGTGACTAAAAGATTAATAAATATAAATGTTTATAGTTATCTTATATATTCTCTCTTTGTTGTATAACATAAATAGAAAGTAAATCTAACGACATATTGCTTATTTTTTATACAAATATACCGACTTGTATCTGATGCGCTTTTACTCGATTATATTATTATTATTATATATTATCTTTATTTCTGTCATTATATTTGAAATTCATTAGTTTTATAAAAGACACGTAATGAACGAATACATAATATGTAAGGATTAATAAGTTACTAATTTATTTTCATT